TTGTGTAGAAATCCTTAAAATCAAAGTACATACCCTTTGGTAGATATCTGCATCATCTAAAAACTGCTTTCTAAGAATATTTTTGTCTGATATGGTCATTTGTTTGCTAATCTACAAAAAAATTATTGTAACCAAATAAAAGGAAATTGTGGTAGACTTTCTGTTCCTCTCTATGTTTGAGAGATTAGCCCTCCTGACTTTGTTGATCTGCTTGAAGGAGGTTTGAAGATCAGATAGGTATGAGGAGGCTAATCTGATCACCCAACTAATGGGAACATTTTCTGCCAACATCAGATAAAACCAGTGTTCTTCCGAACGGTTGTTTAGCCTCTTACTGGTAAATGGATTTATTGACGTTGTTGCAAACTCTCCACACTACCAAAAACTGCACAAAGCTTTGCTTTTGAATTTCCCAAAAAAATGTTCATAGAAGATTTATCACTGCCCCCATTTTTTAACGATTAAGTATAGAAATGTTATTGATTAAATAACCTCATAACAAAAAACTCTTTGTTTTTTTTTACACTCAATGAAATCCTTGCTGTGCTCTCTTCAAAAATCACAGGGAAATTCAGCTTTTAATTTTTCTTAATTCGCATCTTCCTGTTGAACCAAAGAATATATATTTCAGATTACCTAGTTCTCCAAATTATACAGAGATTTAGATGTGTAGGAGGGGGTGCGCAGGTGTTTGCGTGTGTGTGTGTGTCTGCTGGGATGAGCTCCTGCCTGGACAATGGGAGGATTTTCTGCAGACGTTTTCTTTTTTCGGTATATTTTGGGTTGGCTCTGGCAGGAGGATGAGCAGAATCAATACTGCAAGCTGTCTGTGTTGTCCCAATACCAAAAAATACTCTCCTCTTTTAAACATTTTGTTTTTCATAATTAATGAATTTGCCTCCTTTTTAAACTACATAAAGAAACCTGCTAACAATGTTTAAAATTCCTTTCTATGAGTAGAATATAAATAACGAAACGATAGCTATGGCTTTATATGCTGCAGAAAAAACGAATAACACGAAAGCGGAAGGAGAATCTGAAGAGTGTGTTTGGATTTGTGCATGTGTGGAGAGGTGAGTCAAGTGGATGCTGGGAGTGGCCCTGGAGAGAGCAGGAGGATGAGGTGTGGCGAGATGGAGTGGGGGATGGGAACACAGAGGGAGGGACAATACGGGGGATGGGGGACAGATATATTGCTGTGTGGTGCTGGAGTCAGGAGGGTTACCATGGAGATGTGGGAACTACAGAAAGTGATGGGAGGGACTCACGCATATATGTCCGCACATATTTCACTGTGAGAATTGACAACTTTGCCCTTTGATTAATTGACACTATACATGTTAAACCTTCACCAAAGGAAGGACGAGGAGGACAGACTGTTAGGAACACTGTGGAAGGATGAGAAAGGAGAGAAGGAAATAAAAAAAAAATGGTTTTCTCAACGAGGGATGAAGAAATGCAATCTCCCATCAGGGAGAGGGGTAACTAGATACATGGTTGTTGGAAAGGAGAGAGTGAGACAGTCAGGATGGTTTCAAGTTAGGTTTGGAAAAAGATTAAATATATACTTAATCTCTTTTTTTTACCACAGTAGGTTGGAAACAATGAGCTGATTCCTAAAATAATTTTGGATGGGAGTAGGTGTAACGCATTGCAAAGTTAACAAATTATCTGATATCTGCAAATCTCCATGGATGGATGGATGGATGGATGGATGGATGGATGGATGGATGGATGGATGGATGGATGGATGGATGGATGGATGCTTTAGGATTACACATAAATCAATAACCCCACTTATTCTGATCAATCCATCAAACCATTCTGCTAAAAGCAAATTATCTCATAAATCATAAATGAGGCTTTGACCGTTGCATTAGACCTGGACCAGGTTGTAATGTTTTCAGCTTTACAAACCAAAACGGTGAGTCTTCCTTTAATGCAATCATTTCATTTGTTCAATTAAATTAGAACACATCCTGGTTCATCCATAATGGGGATTTTTTCTTTATTCTATTCTGTTTGTGTTATAACCATCACTTATTGTACAAAGGTAAATGCTGATCTACTAGATCTCACTTTCACCGATGCATGCACTGGTCAGGGGCAGACTGTAGCCTACAGACCTATGAAGAAGTCTGATTGAAGCTAAAAAAGCTCCACAGGGGTTCTTAGATGGTCCAGACTGGGATGCTCTGTGTGAAAGGACATAAATAAAAAGACAGTTGGGAGTCATTTAGCTGTGTATTGAGTAAAGTAAGGACATTTTTATGGAAATAATAGAGTGTAAGTTCTGGACAAACACTATAGGCAGTGTGGTATCAGGTATGAAAAATGTAACAGACAAAGTGGAGCCCGGACAAAGTCAATTAGCTGAACATGTTTTCCTGCAGCTTTAGCTTGAGAACACACTCAGCCTCCTCCAAGTTGCCATCAGCAATCCAGATCTCAAAGGCAGTCCATGTAGGTGTGTCTGCGTTTAATGGTCTATAAGGAGGATCCTTTCCTTCCTTGTTCAGTTAAAGTATTTCAATACAGCGACTGTAGGGGAAGATTCAACCGATAGAGAAGGGCTTCTCAAATGAAGAGTTCCTTGGCTGCCTGATAGGCTGATGATTGGCACAGCTGATCACAGTCTTCTGTGAGTCTGGAGTCCTATCTCTATTACTGTAGGTTGGTTTGAAATCCTGCATTAGGGTGTGTCTGTGCTGAGCAAATGAACTCCACATTCACTGTAATCTTGTAAAAGTCAGGTAATTTCTAATCAAAAGGAGGCCAAGGAGATCACTATGGATTCCTGGTTTGTTCGACGCAACTAGTGGCAGAGCTAATTTGGTGTTTTATAAAACTGAACTTAAACTGATGCTCTGGGATGTATATCAGAAAAGACTGAGGACAATTAGGCGTTCTTGATTTTTGTAAATAGATATGCATTTTGATAGAAGTACTCAAAGAAACTTGACCTTTTCAAGAAAATGCCGTCTTTGATGCTGGATATACCTCAGCACAACACAACACAGTTCCTTTAAAGATTCTCAGTAATCAGCAGGTTATTCACCTCGGTATGCTTTTAGACAAAATGATCCAGTTGTTAGATGGTATACAAGAAATCTGGTGCACCATTCAACTGGGTAGCACCACTGCATGATAAAAACACCAAGACTTGTCATCATTTGCAGCATCTTGTGCAAGTTTCTCAACACGGCCTTGTTAAAATTGTCTTTACCTTAATCTTATCTAAATCCCAAATATTATCCTGAGGAAATAAGGAAGTGATTGTCGAGACATCAAAACAATGAGATTGAAGCTTTTGATAGATGTGGTGGTGTTTGCACCCTGAGAGCTGGTTCCCTCTCTCAGCTGGAACCTCTCACCCCTCGGCTAAATTTAATAGATCCCAGCTGGAGTTGGAACCCACCCACAGTGGGTTGCTATTTATCCAGGAACGTTCCATCACTAATGACATATTTATGCATTCCTGTGCAATTGCTTTGTTTGTCGTGTTGATGGAGCAAATTGCAAACACAACTGAGAGTGGGGCTTTGTGTCTGCAGAGGTGACTGAACCATGTTACAGCATTAACACCTAATTTAAATGTGAAAGAACCATTCTGAGCTCTGAGACCAGCAGACAATCCCCATTTCCCAATTCCCATTAGTAAATTTGACTATAACACAATAAAGGAACAGGAAGGAAGTATTCTGATTATAATAACCTACTACTTTTTTTTTATATCAGTGTTTGGCTTTTTATTCTAGTTGTTTATTCTTATTTGATTTTTATTTTCTATCTTACCATTTTGGCTTGGTTTGCAGTTTGTTTCATATTCTAATTAGAAATGTATGGGGTTCCACCATACCCAATTCTTTGATTAAAATCTTTTTTCTAATTAAAAAGACACATTTTCTTTTCAACAGAACACTTAAAAAAAAAACAAACAAGAAAAGAGACAGAAAACAGAAAGACAGAAAAAAGAAACAAAAAACAGTTCCTTAAACAAACACTTGAGTTCAGAAACCTTTTGGCAATTGCGCAGATTTCAAAAAGTGTTTTTGCTGAATTCTCGTAAAGCGAGCATGTTCACAGAGATTCTAACTAAGCTTAAAGAAATCTTAAAGAAATCTTAATACTGGTGTTTTCTTACGAATTTGAGACACAGATTAGGCAGGTGTGGTGTGTGACGCTTGTCGCCAAAGGAAACCACTGTCTCTGACTACCAGGCAGAAAAGCGAACGATAAAAGTTTTTACCTTAAAGAGACATTTCTGTCATCTGATTCATAGCCATCTTTTTTCCTGTATTTACCTACAAATAGAGCCGTTATCAGCCATTCTCTCACTAATCCATTTTCACATGCTCTTACAATGCACACACAGTTACACACCAATTAGCATATTGAGAGCAGTGTGGGGGTTCCTTGTCCTGCCCAAGGACACTTTGACGTCTGGCAGGGTGGAGATCAATTAGCTAAATACAACCTCTCCACCTCTGATTCACAGCCAAGAAAACATCAAAATATAAATTGTGGTTTAGAGGACTCAAATCCACATACTGACAGATCCTGACATTCAAGTTGTTGTCTTTATTAGTCACATTTAAAAGGCTTTAATCTTTTTTTCACATATATTTCCAAGGCAATAGAGTAAGAGAAATCTTTATATAAATGGTTGAGAGAACCTGTGTTATCCAAACTGGACTTCAATCTTCCAGGTCCCTGAGTGAAACTGTACTATCAGCTCATACAGTCCACTGGATCTCCCCATAAAGCTCAGCATACCGTCTTGCTAACCTGCAGTCTACAGACTGACCAACTTTATCTATCTCCACTCCACCACCAGTTTCAGGCCTGGGGGAGGAAACAGCCCTATTCTTTACTCCTCTTCATGCATGTCTATCAAAATTAAGCGCTATGTTTCCTGCCTAGGTCTGAGCGCCAAAGACAAAGTAATTGCATCAATACATTTCTCCTAATTGTCTTTTCTCTTCGTGTGAGTTTTTCAGATTAAACTACTATTACCAATGAAAGCCAATACTGTTGTGTGCTACCGGCTTAAAGAAATTCCACCTGTCAGAGGTTCTGATGAAAAGGTCCAACCCTCCCATTTTTAAAGCATTCTGTTTTTGTGGCAGCCATCTACGTAAAAATCTCTTAATTGCAAGGTGAGCTCATTCTAACTTCTTGCTTTATTAACAATATAATGCTTCAAATCTTAACTATTTGGGCTTTAAATTTGTCCCAGTATTGCTAAAAACTGCTGAGACCACACAATTTGTTTAGTACTGCCTGGATAGCAGAAAATATGTTTAAGTACCCAACAATTTATTCTTCTTTAGCTGGAATGACTAACAGGATGCTCCTGCGGATCTGTGATGCACCAGGCAGGGGAAAGGGAAACCCATTTCTGCCTCCGGCAAAGGCTGAAAATAATAAATCCACTGTGGTGATAAGTGATGACAGAGATCCATGATCCATGATAGTTGATAAAATAAGCAAAATTAACATTTGCTCTACAGGGTGATGGCAATATGAGGTGCGTGTGTAGTTAGCCACAGAGGGTTGCATGTTAGGCTACGTTATCTCACAGCAGGAAGATTCTGCTTTCATATACAAGCTGCGGCTTTAAGTTAAGGTTTGCATGTTCTCTTCATGCATGCGTGGGTTTCTTTGTGGTATTCAGCTTTCCCACTAAATTGCCCCAAGGTGTGACTGTGTGCTGGAGATAGGAACCAGCACCCCCATTGAATCTGAACATGATTAAGCAAGAAACACATTAACAGAAAAAAATAATTAAAAGACAGAACTCAGCACAGAAAAGGAAGAATTTGGTAACTTAATACGGTTATTATATGTTATTCAGGTTTTTTTTTTTTACTAAAACATTCAACAGTAATGTTTTACTAAAATTCTGTGATATTTCCCATAAAAATATTACCCAACTCTCCATCCATCAAGGTCAAGTAGCAGGAGTAGAAATGTCTACGTCTGCAGTGTAGTTAGGATGGTGAACAAGAAAAGTAAACCAAATTTGGTGTTTGGGAAAATAATGTTGTTATTGTAATTATTGTCTAGGTGATAAATGAAGAAACACTGGAGAATCTCTCTCTTTAAAGATATTTTTCCTTGAAGAGAAAGACCTGCAGTAAATCTAAAGGTAGAGAGGAAGAGGTGTGTGTATGTGGCTGCTAGGTGCTATCTGTTCTGATTTCTGCTTTTTCCGCTGATAAATCAGCCGCGTATCTTTGCGAATCAAATGCATAAACCAACGTCTTTCTGATCAGACCTTGTCTAGGCTGCAAGGGAAATACTTGATTTATCTGGACGTGGTCCTCTGGGAGATGGTTATTTTACTGGCTGGAACAAACAGTGAGCACATTAAAAATGTAATTTACAAAATTAACTTCTAAGGGATTAAAGTTGTTAATTCTCTTTACCATTTAGGAAATAATACATTGACTTTAATGATAAGAGAAGGGACAGATAGCTCAGTTTGTTCTTTAAACTGGAATAAATAATTAAAATATAATTATCTAATAAAGTTAAGCTGAACTAAATTATGCACTTTGTGTTTCAAACTTCTAAGCTTCTGGCCACAAATCGCTTTTCCTGCCTCTTCAGACGTTATACCAGGAAATAACCTGGTGTGTGTAATGCTGGTGTGAGTGTGGAGGCGGTATGCGTTTGTGTCTCTACAATATGATTAAGATGTGTGTGTGTGTGTGACTCATGAATAATGAAATCAGCTGTATTTAGGCCACATGGACTCTAAAAGGGGGGAAGGCAGGAATACCTCTTTATTTTTTCATCCCGTACGTCTGCGGTGCACTCACTGGAAGATAATTACCCCCATCTTTCTTCCTCTGCTGCTCCTTCTCACCTTTGCTTGATCTCTCCATCCACCTTTCCACTTTTACCGATTTTTATTCTTGCAGATGGGAATCTATCAGTGAGTTAATTTTTTGCTCCGTTGTGTTCATGGATTGCACCTGCACCCCTTGTGCTCCCTGATCCCGGCCCTGATTAGATTGCTCCACCTACACCCCTCCCTTCCTGTCCTTCTCCTCTGGGCCTCCACTGGGAGTAGTGGCTGATTGTGTCCATCTGCTCTGCTGTCTAAAGCCTCTCAGATTCACTGGAAGGGTTCAGACAGATTCAATTGTTTAGAAGCTGGAGCTGTTTAAGCTTTACAGTGTTTTTTTTTTGGCCGTGTTCTGACTATTTATTTGCCATCAAACATTCAAGGTTTGTCTAGACTGAAAGCAATCACAGTAAGCAGTTACCCATAAGCTCCAAGTACAACAACATTTCAGAAAATATAAAGTATCTCTTGTCAAGACTGGGATTGGTATGATTTATAGTCCTCATGAAGACAAATTTGTGTTACGGGGAGAGTGATGTGTGCTGGGCACAGGTTGTATAATAATTAGGCCCCACGGGGGTCTGTATATGCCAGCTGTCACTCCCTTCTATCCCATGTGTTTTATAAGAAGCCTTGGCAAAAGGCCTAAGCCAAAAAGCACTTAGAGAATGATGCTATATGACACTTCCTATAACTTCCTTTGACCTTATAGCTTATTTCAGAACCTCCAGATGTACGATCAAAGCAGAAACACCTGAACCTACAATCTGTACCTCTGGCAGATTTATTTGCTTTCTGTTACCAATTGAGAGGTCTAAATAAAACTGGCAGACAATGATGATTCATTTTCAATAAATGTCCTAATCTATAACAACTTGATCTATGAGAATATTTTCTCTCTTAAAAAATAAATAAATAAATTTCAGCTCTACCCTACACAACCATCAGGTATCGATAGGTGGCTTTTCGCCAGGCCGTTTTTTTCAGGGCACTTTTGCAAAGTTATGCTATTACTCTTAGGATCATAAGCTTTAAGTTCTTGGCTGTAAATGTTTACAAGCCACGTTATAATTTAATCTGGTTCCTTGAAGCGCCCTGTAATTTTAAGCAAAATATCTTGTATTTTGTGGAGAAAATGATCTGTACATTTGAGGAACATATCTTACGGGAACTTGAAAATTAAACTTCTACAAGACAACTGAGTCTCTAACAGTATCTTATGATTTCAGGAAAGAAATCAATGAGGTTAAGGGGAATACCTCGTAATTTCAAGTCCATAATATATAAAGTTAATCAAGGTAATCTAAATGTTCTGGCAAGAACTTTAGTGTATGCTGGTCACTCAAATTGGCTTTCAGCTTCTACTGAAAGCAGATGTTCAAGAGTGACACTAAAAACAAGCTATTCTGTAAAAAACAATATTAAAACAAACAAAAAACAGAAAAAAAAAAAGAAAAATAACCTGTAATTTTTAGGGAAACATGCACGATTCACAAAACTGAATCACATGTCACCCCAATAAAACAATGGGGTTTTATTGAATATTCATGAAAGCATGCTGTAAATTTAACAGGGTAACCTGTAAGACCCTAATAAACTAGATGGTCACAGGTCACCCTGTTAAAACAGGGTCCCTGAAGGAATCTTGTGATTTCTCAAAGTATCAATGTAAGTGTTAAAAAGGAACTCATTAAATTTAAAAGATAGCCCATAATTTTAAAGACAGTATTCTGCAGCTTCTAAGAAGATATAAAGTCACAAGTTACTTCAAAATAACCACCCGTCACAAAATAAGGATTTTAGGAAAATTGCTGACAGAAAAAATGTATGTCTAGAGATTAACCTGTGTGTATATGTTGTTTGATTTTTTTTGGGTTTGTTGGTTTTTACATCTGCAAGAAGACAGATTTAGGGGAAAAATGTTATGAATAAAAATGTATATACAGTCAAAGACAACTTTTTTTAGTATGAGAAAAAAAATGTATCAGGTATAGATCCTTTTGTTGCGTTACTCTATGCTCCTAGCTCTCAGACCACGTCTGTTCCATTGTTTCATGCTTTTCGTCAGTATGATTATTCCATTTTCTACAATGACAATGCTGATGACTAACAGCGTCATATCTCTGAGTCAGTGCATGACCCCAGTCTCTTCCAGTCACCCACTGAGAGTGACAGTAGTAACCAAAAGTCATTCCTCATGCTCCCTAATATGCCTACAAGATTAGAGATCTTCACTCAGATTAATCGGAAATTCCAACTCAATCGCACAGATTATAGAGTCATTTGTGAAAAAAATAAGAGAAATGATAAATGTATGGCTTTGAGCTGCACGGAAACAATCAGTGGTATAAAGACGCAAACGGAAGAAATGAGTGCTTCTTATCACCCCCTGACACGCCTACTGTCACGGGTCAGTGCCCCGTCATCTTCATGGAACAAAGGAGATGTTTAGGTGAATGGATATTCAGTGTGGCAGAAACACTCATGCTCTCCATCCCTCATTGTAATCTAATTTATGGGGAGGATTTTTTTATCTGCTTCTTTGATCTGAGCTGGACTTAACTCTGTTATCTTAACACACATGCCTTCTGAAAAACGTACTTTTTTTAAAAACCAAGATTTGAGATAAAAGTATTTTTTTGATATTTAGGTTTTACTTACAGAAGCTGTTGTGCATTTTTTATGAGCCATAATTGTTCATTTGAATTAATCTTGTTTGTCTTGTTAGATGAAATTAATGAGCTTTCTTTTATGTCTGTCTCTTCCTGTCCCTTGTGCCCTGGCCTCTTCCCGTCTTATCCCGCCTTTGTTCTCCCGGTCAACCCCCATGTTCCTCTCTCCCTCCTTCTTTCCCCCCATTCTCTCTTATTTTTTTCTTTTTCCACAGTTGGCTGCAGAAGGAGGGATTGTTGAAACGTCAGAGAGAAGCACACAGTTTCAGGATCCTCAGTCAGACACTCGCCTCACACCACAACAACAGATCCCTGGAAGACCAAATTAAGGCACACAGTTGTTAACCCATCGCCTGCCTCCAGCAGGCCTCCCTGGAGACTGTCTGGCTTGGTGCATGAACTGGGAGGTTCTGTGTAGTCCCGTGTTGATGAACGTGTGGGTGTTTTTTGTCACTTTTGATGGGACATTAAGAGATGTGCGTGTCACAGCATCCGTGGATGGGCTGTAGGGGGCCATACTCCCCTGTTCTCCCCCTCATCCTCCTCCCTTTGTCCTTCCTGCTTGCTCAGGGAGCTATCATCCTCCCAGAACATTGTGAGTACTGCTCCACAGCTAACTTCTCTAGAAGTATTGTGGGGAAAACGTTTTCCCAAACAGTATTAACAGATCTTTTCTCACCTTTAAAAAAATTATTCAGTGGTGAACCTTCATTTTCACAGTTTGAATTAATTTACCTCAAAAACCCACCAGCAGCCCTCCAATAGCATGCCACACCCCCAACCCGCCCATCCATTGACACACAAAACCACAACTGGACACATCCAGAGCCTAATGAAAATGTCTTCAATTCTTCTTCTTATGCCAACATAAACAGCCTAACTCTGGAATACATTGTATTGGGTGACATAACAGATGATATTGAACAATTGGGAAGTGGAAAGAAAAGAACCCATGTTTAAAAAATAGACTTTTTAAAATTGTGTTTCAGTTAAATTTGAGTTCCGACCTGGACGTTGTCCATTTTCAGGGGCATTATGGAGTTTTCTAATAATAATACTACCACCTTTGGCTGAAACACAGACCTGCAGCACTGTTCTTAATTTTCAAGGTTTTTTTTGCTTTTTTTCACCTTACATGGAGTTGCCGTTCGTGTCAGAGCTTCTAAGTGTCCACAAAATCCATCTTGAATATAACGCTTTGATTGTTTTTTAGGTCGGACACTATTGAGTCCTCTTTCTGACTCCATAGGACACATACAACATGGACACTCTTCACGTCACACCAGCTGAACAATGCAGGAATTTCCAACCCAAAGTAAATTCAGAAAAATAGGCTACAGGCTTATAGATGCATCTGTGCCGAACTACAGATGTGTCAGCCTGCTCATCAAAGGATTTTTTTAGTCATAAAGGGAAAAATAAAAAGCCCATTTTAAAGATATTTCTCAGTAAAATCTTACATATATCTTTAAACACATGAATATGCTTTAGTGGGAATCTTCCTTTTGTACATGGCATACATTTCTGCAGATTTTCAGCATAGGACAATAAACAGGAACACATTTGTGGAAACCTGAAATGAGGACCCAACGAAAACCTGAAGGCTCAGTAATAATGAGGGAAAACAGGTGCAAGCAAAAGGTAAATGAGGAGACACAGGTGAATGGAATCTAATAATTAAATGAGGCTCTGGAGAGGGAGAAATTATGAAACAGGGAAAATTGTAAGGAAAAAACTACAGCTCGGGTTAGGGTTAAGGTGCACCGTCAGTGGATTGTTATGTGCTACGCCAGTAGCCCCTTCTTAACCTGAAGCATACAATTATGCTACAGACCTGCCTCAGAGGTAGGACCATAAACGACGCAGGCTGGTTCAGTAGTATGGGTCAGTTTAGTCATCAAAAACACTCCAATGTTTGGATTGGATGAGACCAAACTTCATTATACTACTTAGTGATAGCAGGTTTAAGATAAACAATCCAAAACTTACACAAATAATGACCAGAGAACGTAAGCGAAAACTAACTAAAACTCTTCAGAAATACTCAAGAGAAACTTAACTAGAAAAAACCTTGCAAAAGATAAACAAACAGATTTGGATTTATCATGTTCAGATGAGGGACTGAGCAGAACTCTGTGAGATTTTTAATTCTTAGGATATATTTGACCTCAGAACTATTCTTTAAACTTCACCAAAGTTGTCTCCCTAAACCAGCTTGCTGTGTTCCTGGGTTTCATGATTGATGTTAATCAATTCTCTAAAGAGCCTTTTAGCTGTATTCACAGGCCACTTGCATTTATAAGATTCAATTCTATTCAGCAATTTGATCACAGTTTACAAACAGGGTGACGTCTAACAAAATGATTTAGAGCAGGCATCCCCAAAGTCGATCCTCGAGGGCCACTGTCCTGCAGATTTTAGAGGTTTCCCAGCTTTAGAGGTAACAGAGTCTGATTAAATCCACCCATGTGTTTTTTTTCACTTCACAGTTTCATGCTTCTATGTGTTGGGATATAAAGTTTGTGGTTTAATGAGACAAAAGGCAGAGAGGGGTTGACATTTTCCAGGCTCTGCAGGTTACAGTTACAGTTTAATATTTTACTTCTCACCTGATAGAAGCACCTTCACTTTACTTCTTTTCTGCTAAATGCAGTTTGTATGTGATAAACCGAAAGCACGTGGCTTCAGCACACGCAGCCCCAAACAGAGTAGGAAATATTAACCTGATTTTAACAAAAGAGAAACAAACATATTAGCTGGATAGTAGCACAAAGCAAAGCAGTTAAGTAACAAATCTGGAAGGGAAAGCCTTCAGGATGCTGTACTCATTTTGGTCTTATTTGAGACTCACCCTGGTCAGATTTGGCACCTCTATTGGTTCTGACAGACCTAACTGAATCTTCTCAAGACAGATTGAGGACCACCTTCAGAGATAAGTAACTAATGATAATGAACACCTTTATCTGTGTTGATTTAGCAGCATGAGGGCCTGATCTGACAGGCGCTACGGTCCAACTGTTTTACTCTCTGTTTACAGCCATGCTGACAGCTTCATTACAGAAGACTGAGGCTGAACCTTATTAAACATGTTTGTTTCCTCTTTTTCCTTCTTTTGTGCTTCCGTGGACAAACAGATAAGTTACAAACCTGTAAGTGACTTCCATTGTTGTAACACATGTCTGTGATAGCTCCTTATTGCTGACAGAAACAAAAAGATGTCCTACTTTTAAACAACACCCATGATTTTTATCATTTTTTTTATTTCTATCAGCAAATATGTTTAATTGTAGAATTTTATGAATGAATGAAAAACCGGAGAGTAAATCATTATTTGGAGCTCTTTGGAGCAAAAATACATACAATTTTCTCTGCACTAATGTTCCTTTATACAAGTAGGCATTCTGTTTAAAGCTTCCTCCTGCATGTATAGACGTTTCTCTATTGCCCACTCTGCAATAGAGAAGCGTCAGCTTCAAAGTGTCGTGCACAGTGAGCCATTTATGTAGGCTTATCATGCAGAAAGAATAAAGCATAGATTAGTTTTAAATCTAAAGGCAGGAACCAACCCAACTTTCTATATTTAAGGAACTTCAATCTTAAAAATGTTACAGAGGTCATAGAAACCATGTGGTAAATGTATTTATCTACATGAGTAATACATTTGGATCAAGAAATATGATTATATCTGATACTTGGGGAAAAAAATGAGACCTCTGCCTTACTTTGAGATTAAAACTCCCTCCTGCAACGGAGATCAGATTGCAGCTTCTGTAATGTCTGCTTTTAAGTGTCGTGCTTAATGTTCCATTCATGTAGGCCTCCCATGCAAAGCTGATAAAACATAGATTTGCTTTCAAACTTAGGGCCATTCAAGGGTTAAAGAGATTTTCTACATTTAAAGGGGTAATAGAGATGCCATACAATGTATGTATTTACCTGCATAAATAATACATTTAGCTTATAAAACATGATGGTACCTGATAGTTAAAAGAATCAGACAAGATTTGAGCAAATAGAATAAACTAAAAACTCACTTTTATTTTTGCATAGCAAAGATTTTATGAAACTGTCTGTGAGGATAATTCAGTTAAATAAGATTCCAACTCTGTCATCCGTGAAAGAAATTCTCATCTTTCTTGATCGTCACTCCCCATAATCTTTTTTTTACACCAGACTTAAGATGATTTAGCCAACATGGAAGCTCTGGCAAACATGAGCAAACAAATTAATGCTAACTGCAACTGGACTAATGATCTGTAAGAAAATCATCAGAAAAATAATAGAAATATTACATTTTGGGCGAGGGAAATCTCAATAAACATTGGTTATCTACTGCAGTGCAAGACCAGATTTGTCTGCACTTTGGACTATGATGGATCTGGGTCCATATAAAGAAAAGAATTTGATAAAATGTATTACTAATCCAAAAAATAGGAGGTGGAGCTGAAGTGTCTGTGCTGTTGAAACAAAGTGAGTCTCCATTCTGAGCTGTGTTTGTTGGTATCACTGGATGCTTTGATGTGGGGACTGTCTGAATCTGAAATTAGAATGATAAAGAATAACATTGTATTTTAAATAAACGTGAAAAGCACGATTTCATGTATTATTGTAAATGCATTTGTGTAGGATTAATGTAGGCAGTGAAATTAAGTTAATTAAAAATTGTGATGCATGTTTTGTTTGCTTGTGTTTTCAGTGGAAACTCTTCCCAACCTGACACAGGTGCCGATATCGGTAACAGCGTTTTCTCGAGAAGATATCATCCTGAAATGTGAGGCCACTGGTAACCCAACGCCCCAGTGAGTACAGCGTGATTGTGCTTGAGAGTACTGAACACCAGACATGACAAATGTTAATGTCCAGTTTCCTCTGGCTGGCATTTGTGTTGGCATGGAAATAAATAGTGTTTAATAAGATCAGAGGTAAACATTTTCTGTCTCACTCTGTCATGTCTGACACCACTTCCTGTTTTCCCATTTGCTTTAGAACGTAATGTCATAATGAAAAGGGCGAATTAAATCACCTGTTAGATGAAAAAATTGTACTGCTGGGTCGAAGCTCTAAGACTAGATGCTGGCTTATTTTCCTCAGCTGTGACCATGAGTCTTATTACCTAACATTTATCCGAAACGTTCCTTATAGGGAATGATTGCCACACCACATTGTCTTTAAGGGCAAATGAAGAAAAACATAAGAAAATGATGATTACTGTTTACTATAAAGCAAAGGAATTTAGCAAATGTTCAGCTGCTCTCTGTGTTTCTCCAGATAAAACTCAGTTGTGGGGAAATCTTTACTCAAAGCTCTGCTGCATTGCAGTTTCAAGTAAGCAGTTGGCTCTGCCAGTTTTAGATTTCAGAGGGAAGATTAAGACAGCTACCTTACATTTCGCAGGATTTATATTCTCAGAATTAAAAGCAAAATACATTTTCAGACTGATACAGATATTGTATCTGGGACAAAACTGCAAAATTCTATATGTTATCCAAACTATTTGAACTGAAAACAAATTCTGTTATTTATCACATGCTAATCTACGGAAGAGGATTAGGGCCACTGGAAAAAAAAAAAGAAAGTTAACTGATTTTTTTATTTTATTTCAGCTTAGTATGGGGGAAAAAAAGTCAGAATTCTGACTTTAATCTCAGAATTCTGACTTATATCTCAGAATTCTGACTGAATTCTGACAATAAAAAAGTCTGAATTCTGAGATTAAAGTCAGAATTCTGAGGAAAAAAGTCTGAATTCTGAGATTAAAGTCAGAATTCTGAGGAAAAAAGTCAGAATTCTGAGATTAAAGTCGGAATTCTCAGAATTAGTACGGGAAAAAGGTCAGAATTCTGAGATTAAAGTCAGAATTCTGAGGAAAAAAGTCTGAATTCTGAGATTAAAGTCAGAATTCTGTGAAAAAAGTCAGAATTCTCAGAATTAGTACGGGAAAAAAGTCAGAATTCTGAGATTAAAGTCAGAATTCTCAGAATTAGTACGGGAAAAAGGTCAGAATTCTGAGATGAAAGTCAGAATTCTCAGAATTAGTACGGGGAAAAAGTCAGAAATCTGAGATTAAAGTCAGAATTTTGAGATTAAAGTCAGAATTCTGAGGAAAAAAGTCTGAATTCTGAGATTAAAGTCAGAATTCTGAGGAAAAAAGTCTGAATTCTGAGATTAAAGTCAGAATTCTGTGAAAAAAGTCAGAATTCTCAGAATTAGTACGGGAAAAAAGTCTGAATTCTGAGATTAAAGTCAGAATTCTGAGGAAAAAAGTCTGAATTCTGAGATTAAAGTCAGAATTCTGAGGAAAAAAGTCTGAATTCTGAGATTAAAGTCAGAATTCTGTGAAAAAAGTCAGAATTCTCAGAATTAGTAAGGGAAAAAAGTCAGAATTCTGAGATTAAAGTCAGAATTCTCAGAATTAGTACGGGAAAAAGGTCAGAATTCTGAGATGAAAGTCAGAATTCTCAGAATTAGTACGGGGAAAAAGTCAGAAATCTGAGATTAAAGTCAGAATTTTGAGATTAAAGTCAGAATTCTGAGGAAAAAAGTCTGAATTCTGAGATTAAAGTCAGAATTCTGAGGAAAAAAGTCTGAATTCTGAGATTAAAGTCAGAATTCTGTGAAAAAAGTCAGAATTCTCAGAATTAGTACGGGAAAAAAGTCTGAATTCTGAGATTAAAGTCAGAATTCTGAGGAAAAAAGTCTGAATTCTGAGATTAAAGTCAGAATTCTGAGGAAAAAAGTCTGAATTCTGAGATTAAAGTCAGAATTCTGAGGAAAAAAGTCAGAATTCTGAGATTAAAGTCGGAATTCTCAGAATTAGTACGGGAAAAAGGTCAGAATTCTGAGATGAAAGTCAGAATTCTGAGATTAAAGTCAGAATTCTGAGGAAAAAAGTCTGAATTCTGAGATTAAAGTCAGAATTCTGAGGAAAAAAGTCAGAATTCTGAGATTAAAGTCGGAATTCTCAGAATTAGTACGGGAAAAAGGTCAGAATTCTGAGATGAAAGTCAGAATTCTGAGATTAAAGTCAGAATTCTGAGGAAAAAAGTCTGAATTCTGAGATTAAAGTCAGAATTCTGTGAAAAAAGTCAGAATTCTCAGAATTAGTACGGGAAAAAAGTCAGAATTCTGAGATTAAAGTCAGAATTCTCAGAATTAGTACGGGAAAAAGGTCAGAATTCTGAGATGAAAGTCAGAATTCTCAGAATTAGTACGGGGAAAAAGTCAGAAATCTGAGATTAAAGTCAGAATTTTGAGATTAAAGTCAGAATTCTGAGGAAAAAAGTCTGAATTCTGAGATTAAAGTCAGAATTCTGAGGAAAAAAGTCTGAATTCTGAGATTAAAGTCAGAATTCTGTGAAAAAAGTCAGAATTCTCAGAATTAGTACGGGAAAAAAGTCTGAATTCTGAGATTAAAGTCAGAATTCTGAGGAAAAAAGTCTGAATTCTGAGATTAAAGTCAGAATTCTGAGGAAAAAAGTCAGAATTTTGAGATTAAAGTCGGAATTCTCAGAATTAGTACGGGAAAAAGGTCAGAATTCTGAGATGAAAGTCAGAATTCTGAGATTTAAGTCAGAATTCTGAGGAAAAAAGTCTGAATTCTGAGATTAAAGTCAGAATTCTGTGAAAAAAGTCAGAATTCTCAGAATTAGTACGGGAAAAAAGTCAGAATTCTGAGATTAAAGTCAGAATTCTCAGAATTAGTACGGGAAAAAGGTCAGAATTCTGAGATGAAAGTCAGAATTCTCAGAATTAGTACGGGGAAAAAGTCAGAAATCTGAGATTAAAGTCAGAATTTTGAGATTAAAGTCAGAATTCTGAGGAAAAAAGTCTGAATTCTGAGATTAAAGTCAGAATTCTGAGGAAAAAAGTCTGAATTCTGAGATTAAAGTCAGAATTCTGTGAAAAAAGTCAGAATTCTCAGAATTAGTACGGGAAAAAAGTCTGAATTCTGAGATTAAAGTCAGAATTCTGAGGAAAAAAGTCTGAATTCTGAGATTAAAGTCAGAATTCTGAGGAAAAAAGTCAGAATTTTGAGATTAAAGTCGGAATTCTCAGAATTAGTACGGGAAAAAGGTCAGAATTCTGAGATGAAAGTCAGAATTCTGAGATTTAAGTCAGAATTCTGAGGAAAAAAGTCTGAATTCTGAGATTAAAGTCAGAATTCTGTGAAAAAAGTCAGAATTCTCAGAATTAGTACGGGAAAAAAGTCAGAATTCTGAGATTAAAGTCAGAATTCTCAGAATTAGTACGGGAAAAAGGTCAGAATTCTGAGATGAAAGTCAGAATTCTCAGAATTAGTACGGGGAAAAAGTCAGAAATCTGAGATTAAAGTCAGAATTTTGAGATTAAAGTCAGAATTCTGAGGAAAAAAGTCTGAATTCTGAGATTAAAGTCAGAATTCTGAGGAAAAAAGTCTGAATTCTGAGATTAAAGTCAGAATTCTCAGAATTAGTACGGGAAAAAGGTCAGAATTCTGAGATGAAAGTCAGAATTCTCAGAATTAGTACGGGAAAAAAGTCAGAATTCTGAGATTAAAGTCAGAATTCTCAGAATTAGTACGGGAAAAAGGTCAGAATTCTGAGATGAAATTAGAATTCTCAGAATTAGTACGGGGAAAAAGTCAGAAATCTGAGATTAAAGTCAGAATTTTGAGATTAAAGTCAGAATTCTGAGGAAAAAAGTCTGAATTCTGAGATTAAAGTCAGAATTCTGAGGAAAAAAGTCTGAATTCTGAGATTAAAGTCAGAATTCTGTGAAAAAAGTCAGAATTCTCAGAATTAGTACGGGAAAAAAGTCAGAATTCTGAGATGAAAGTCAGAATTCTCAGAATTAGTACGGGAAAAAAGTCAGAAATCTGAGATGAAAGTCAGAAATCTCAGAATTAGTACGGGAAAAAAGTCAGAATTCTGACTTTTTTCCCGTACTAAACTGAAATAAAATTTTAAAATCAGTAAACTTTTTTTTTCCAGTAGCCCTAATCCTCTTCCATACTAATCACATGTTCAAAGTGTGCATTTTTCATTTGCCTGTCCTCTTGGGAGAGATTGTGGTTCAGTAAAAGGGCAAACAAAGTCTCATAAAAAGTGGGAGAAAATTGTCCATTTGAAATATACAAGTGTAAAGTTACAAATTTCTGAGTAATATAAATGACCATTCAGCAATATTTTCTTGTGTTCAGTTGTGGTTATTTTATCAAGAAATTGCCAGATTGCATCTCGCAAACCTCCAACTGTTAGAACCAATTCTAATTGAAATAATGAATATAATTTATGTTATTCTTGCATTTCTACACTCCCGGTAATCCTGTTTTTAAAACAATCCTCTCTTTCTGTCTTTAGGATCCGCTGGGAAAAGGATGGGAAACAGTTTGGTCCAGAGCAGACAGGGTCCAGTGTTGTTGACGCCTCAGAACATGAAGATATGCCCCTGGATTCATTTGCAGGCATCTACCAATGCTTTGCCGCCAATCACAAGGGGACCGCTGTGACACAAACTGCAAAGGTTATAGTAGATTGTGAGTCTAACACATTTTCATACACACTGTAAAAATAGACCAGAGTAAATCTCAGCATAGTAAAAATGTATGACAGGTGATGATTCATGTGAAGAGAATCTCTTCACGTCTATGCTACCATGGTCTTAGACTTGGAAAACCAGTTTTGCTCTCTCATCTCTTGTTGCTCTGGAAACCGTTTCCTAGGAACAGATTCGTCATTCAGCCATGAGGTTACAATACCGGTGATGGGAGGTTCATGTTTTAACCCTATATATGTCATGGAGCAGTAAAATTTAGCCTTTTTTTGTTAGATTTTTTTGTTTTGTTTACTTCAAACTCACAGTACAGTTAGGTTTATTCATCAAAATCAGTTCATTCTACCGCAAACGAAAAAGTACACCCTGATTCCAAATTTACTGAAACATTATGGCAGTTTTTAAAGGGTCTGAGAGATAAAACTACACAAAAAGTGAAATATATGCTTACCAGTAATTGATTAACAAAAAATAATTTATTAAAAACTATGAGTTATTATTTGTTATGTAAAAATTTGTATAAAAATAACAAACAAAACAGCAATTAAAATTTATTTAAGTACAAAGTGATTAGAGGGGATCAAATAATAAGAGCAATAAGGATTAGATATATCTTAATCAACACAGACACTGAATGTCCTAAGTATTAGTTATTTTTTCTATTTTACCTCCAGTTGTTTACAGAATACATTTCTGCCCATCCATCTATTTTCTAACATGCTTAATCCCAATTGGGGTCACAAGGAGTGCTGGTGCCTATCTCCAGCTGTCAATGGGTGAGAGAGGTGGTACACCTTGGACAGGTCGCCAGTCCATCGCAGGGCAACACAGAGACAAACAACCATTCACACACACACACTCACACCTAAGGAGACTTTAAGGAGTCTAACAGTCATGCTTTTGGACTGTGGGAGGAAACCAGAGTACCCGGAGAGAACCCACGCATGCTCAGGGAGAACATGCAAACATACAGAAAGACCCCGTGAATCGAACCCAGAAACTTCTAGCTGCAAGACAGCAGTGCTACCCACTTCCTCTCTTAGCAGCCCTCATTTCTGCCCAAATTAAATTAAAAATGTCTTCAGTCCATTCTGGTATTATCATACAGGCAACAAAACACAAGTGATTACATCAAACTTCGCAGGAATCTAAATCTCTGACAGAACATGTGGAGACAGTGGAGAGCAACCAGTCTGTTTTAAGAAGAAGAAGAGAACCAAACCCCGGATGAGTGACCATCTGGCACAAGTGGTTAGAGGTTGAGAAGTTAAAAAAACATAAAAAAACACAAAACAGAACAAGGAGCACTTTCTAAGGTGGAGAAACAATAATAATAGCAGAACAAGAACCTTTGGAGTTTTATGGCAGCATTAGCAGTGTTACTTAATCCATCCAGGAAAACAGCAAAGCAACAAGCCTTCTGTGGGACAGAAGAATGGTAGAAAAAATGTCTGCTGGATTTACAAAAAGAGGAATCAGGCAAGATGCTCCTTTCAGTTGAAAAAAGGGGAAACTAAGACATTATGGCAGCTGATGACATAAAAGGGCCTAAATTTAGAGTATTTGGAGAAATTAGACAAATTGTCCAGTATGTCCCCAAGCCTAGTAAGGGTTACAGTAAGATACAAACCAAACATTTATTTTTTCCTTAAGTGACCTTTATTTGAGGGAAGGAAAATAGGTTGAATTTTTCCCAGAAAGAAATCAGAACTGACAGATCTTGAAAATACCTCCAGTCAAACATACCGGCCTTTCAAGAAAAGGGTACCGCTTTGTAGCAACAACGCAGTGGATTCTGCTGAACAGAGAACACCTCCCAGGTTGAAGAACACGGCTGCATGAAAGAGAGAAACTAGTACAAAAGTTTTCTCAGAAAAGTCAATTTTCTTATCACTGATCTCTGAGTCACTGCCAAACAGCCCTCTTTAGTTGAGGATAAACCACACACAACACTAAATATTTCAAAAGTACATATATCTGTCCCTTATGCATATAAAATAAACTATTAAAGCTGTTGTATTTTTGTTTCAGCTGTTCCGCTTGTAACAAAAGAAAATGAACTCCACAAGACGGCATTCGTAGGAGAGAGCATCATCCTGACCTGCAACCCTCCAAAGAAGTCCACTACTCCTCAGGTCTACTGGATGGGAAAAAGTCAGTATTTCATCCAGTTTGTGTTTATGCTTTTATGTATTTATTTATTCTTTCCTTCTCACTGCTCAGGTTCTTTTCCTCTACACTAAATTCTGAATCTCACATCAGAGATATTTTTATTTTAGAAATTGTAAAGCTGAACTTTTACGCTTTGACTACTCTATTTGGCTTGGTTTCCACAGAAATGCGACACATCGACCAGACTGACAGAGTTATTATTGGCCTGGATGGGAATTTGTATTTTGCAAATCTTCTAAAGAGCGACAGCCGTAAAGACTACAACTGCTATGCTCAATATGAGGAAGCCAGGACTGTTATCCTTGTGACTGTTGCGAAACTCAACGTTGTGTCAAGTGAGAGCACGCATCCACCCCCACAAATACACACTACTGCATCTGTTTTATCTTGATGAAATCTGTGCAAGTCTGTAGCAGCCTGACATCTAATTTCACATACATGTGTGTTAGGGATGAAATCAGGTCAACAGCAAATGAGGGAATACAGCTTTTTTTGTCATTGCAAGAAGAAGCTTAAAGGAGAAGTTCGGTTTTTTACACTTTAAGCCCATTTTCTGTAGTGTCCAGGATGAAATCGAATGATCGACACCAAAAGTTTGACAATTGGTCCTGTCTCTGCTTTTTGGCTCATTTAGAATCACCCCCTGGCTGCTTTAGAATGGCTTGCATAGAGCATGTCCGATAATGTCCTTAAAACAACCTTAAACGTTCTTTTTTTAAAATATGCTACTCACCGGGTCGTCAGCGCTGTTCAATGACGTTCCAAAAAAAGTTTCGTAAAGAAAAAACGTTCCTGTAGTGTTTTATTTAGCATTTTGTAAATCCCATTGAGTTCTGTAGGAATACTCAATATTCCCCTGCCACCGGAAACGGAAATGGGGCCTGTTTACACAGTTGTAGTCTTTTCGCTTCACTCTGTGTACTCCGACGTCGAGAATCAAGAATCCACCTTTCGTATTCCATTTTCAGAGTTTTTTAAAGTGTTTAACAGAGACGTTAGCACCTCGACGTCGGAGTACACAGAGTGAAGCGAAAAGACTACAACTGTGTAAACAGGCCCCATTTCCGTTTCCGGTGGCAGGGGAATATTGACTATTCCTACAGAACTCAATGGGATTTACAAAATGCTAAATAAAACACTACAGGAACGTTTTTTCTTCACAAAACTTTTTTTGGAACGTCATTGAACAGCGCTGACGACCCGGTGAGTAGCATATTTAAAAAAAAGAACGTTTAAGGTTGTTTTAAGGACATTATCGGACATGCTCTATGCAAGCCATTCTAAAGCAGCCAGGGGGTGATTCTAAATGAGCCAAAAAGCAGAGACAGGACCAATTGTCAAACTCTTGGTGTCGATCATTCGATTTCATCCTGGACACTACAGAAAATGGGCTTAAAGTGTAAAAAACCGAACTTCTCCTTTAAAGGGTACATTTTATGGGAAACACTTCTGTTGATGCAAGTTATTGCTCAGTGGAGGTCTCTGCTTTTTTTAACGTGTGCACAAGTCCAGTATAGTTAGGAAGCTCAGCAGTATGCAAGTGTTGCTTCTTTGTAAACCAGAAGGAGAAGCTTGGTAGAGTCAGTCAAGGTGCTGTATGTAGACGCATTTTATTTTTATAATGACCTATTTCACCATGTTCATTTAATTATCTTTTAAATAAAATTATTTGGCAATGATGTCATAGCTTAAATAAAGAACAGACCAGTGTGAATGTCTACTTATGAACTCTTCTCTCTCTATTGCTTTCCAGGTAACGATGTTATGCATGAAAAAAAACCACATCTCCTCCAGCCCCAAGGTTCCCATACTGTAAAGCAGGCCCTCAGGGGTCAACGTCTCACCCTCGAATGCATCCCTAAAGGCCTGTAAGGATCACAGATAGTTTTGTTAGGGTAGTATTTTAAAGTAGAGGTTTCCTATAGATTTTCTTTTTTAAACTGATTTATTGATACATTCATTCAGTCGTCCATTGTCATTTGCTTAAAATCCTCTTGAAATTAACTCAGAAAACAAAGTTAAATACAAATGACCTCCTTCCGTGGAGAAATGAATACAAATTCAGCAGGAAATATGATCAAAGACAAAATGCTTTGCTGCATTTTATGAGTCAGTGTAGCTCAAACATTATTATCTATTCAATAGGATGCGACAAGTTAACAATAAAAGCAAATAAATAGATAGAAATCATATAATCATCACTAGACGTTAGACAAAAGTAAAGTGGTATGATATATGGTATATTATGCTGTATGAACTAAATGTATTAGGTCCCATAAATAAACCACTGTGGAGATTTAAAGCTAAACTATGGTTGGTGACTCCTACTTCCAATAGGTAAACTTGTGTGATAGTATATCAAGGAATGACAAGACACAACATTGCTGAGTCAAGTTTCCTATAATAATTTAGTCAAACACTGTCGACTGTTTGTGGTGAAAAAAATACAAATATGAGGCGATGTGATTGTCGCTATTTAATATTCTAATCTCCTTCTGTATCTCTACTGTATTTACATACATATATATATATATATATATATATATATATATATATATATATATATATATATATATATATATATATATATATATATATATATATATATATATATATATGTATGTTACTTTGTCATTATCATATTGTATTAGGGACCTCTCTTGGCCCCTGTGAATCATAGGCCTCTAGATTCCTTTTCCTTTTTTACTCCTCTTTTGCGCCTCTGACTCCGTACTCGGTACTTTGACTGCAAGCTGTTCTACTTTCAGAAAAATACTTTAACTCTGTGAGGGCTGTGAACGCTTTTCTTAAATACCACTTTAAATTTTTTCACCACCAGGAGGATTAATATAAAAACTCATAGCAGAGGCAAATCATTAGGAAATTTACATTTAATCTATCGACACAAAGTTTCCATGAATCTCTTCGTAAGACTTACTCTGTTTGCCCCCTTATAAGCTCCAATTTTATAATTCCTATTATAGTTATTGTTTTGCTCTTCATTCCCTGTTTATCTGTATCTATTAATATCTACTTCCTTTGATGAGTTGATCTGATCAGATCTCTGCCAGTCTCCCTTTCATCCTTATCTGTTCCCCACAGGCCGACACCCAAGGTGGAATGGGAGAAAACGGATGGTGATCTCAAGACCACAAGTGCCAGAATTGAAACCTTTAATCGCTGGCTTCATTTTGAGAGCATCACTGAAGATGATGAAGGGGAGTACAAATGTAGGGCTCACAACAGTCATGGGAATGCAACACATTCCTTTACTGTTACTGTAAAAGGTAGGCACACTGAACACATTAATAATAACAAGACATATTGTCAGTTATTTACCAGCAAAATTTTCAGCAGCACAGAAGACACACCAGCAAATTCACCAGATTGTCAAAATGCTTAAAAAATGAAAGCTAAAACACGTCTAGTGTCAGACTGTGCAAGGTTCTGCCAATATATTTATTGGTGTCTGAGATTTTCTGAAAGAGCTGATTCACTGCGGATTCACCTCTTAGGTTAACAGAAAATGATCCAGAAGAGAAATTAACTAAGCACCAATGGACTGGGGTCCAAATGTTCTGCAACATGTGGCTCATTGGACTTTCCAGCTATATATATATATATATATATATATATATATATATATATATATATATATATATATATATATATATATATATATATATATATATATATATATATATATATATATATATATATATAGATATATAGATATATATATAGATATAGATATATATTTATCTGGGGATAATCTTTGGAAAAGTCTTGTAAATTAGGATAACCTCATTGACAAAGAGCTGGTTGTAGGAAGCTGATCACCAATAAATAAAGTCAGGCTCTCAGTTATAAGCAAAAAAAAATTATACAAAATAAAAAAAAAGATCTAACCATTTTTACAGTGTTTTGTTTTGTTTTGTTTTTGTAAGAAGTAATTACTGTTTAACTATTTTTGTTTGCTTCTAGCTGCTCCCTACTGGACCAAGGAGACCTCAGATCTGATGTATGCACCAGGGGAAACTGTCAAACTCGACTGTCTGGCCAAGGGGAACCCAGAGCCCACCATTTCCTGGAGTATCAACGGCCAATCGCTAGCAGGTCTGGCACCTTGCTTGACATTTTCATCTTTTTGCATGTTTTTGCATCTCACTTTGAAATATAGAGGAAAAACATTTACTTAACTTTTTGTTTTTATAATTAGAGTGAATTCATCTTTTTGCAGAACAAAAGTAAGAGAAAATGATGCAAAGAGAAGCACAAATGAAAAAAAACTAAAGGAGGGTTAGGATAGAGTAAGATAAAGGGAAGCATGAAGGGGAAACATAGATAAGGAAACAGAGAATTTAGAATATAAGATATATGAAGAAGTTAAATTCAGGAAAAAGTTGAAGAAAATATAATATGGGGCAGGGAAAAAAATCTGTTTTTCAGGATGAGGAATTAATGAATGAAGATGTAAAAATAGGCAACACATATATGACTTCAGCAATATTCTTCAGGTCATTATGAGCGGATAATCAGATTGTTATGTATTTATACTTATTTTATTATGAATATGCCTTGCTAACAGAGCTGCAAGGCATGCTGAGGGCTGTAAATACCGTTTGCTTTATGGTAAGGTGGTATAGCAAAATTTAGTTGAGACATCAAGCTTAGAATGCACACATAGGACACTGAAAAAAAATTAAATAAAAACAAAAGTGAAAGCAGAAAAATATGCATCCTATTTAAATATATTGTATGCAATTTTGTTTTATCAAACTGGTCCTATTTTAACTCTATTACAGAGGAAGAAATGTAATGAAAGTAAAGTCAAGGCATTATTAAAGTATTTCTGATTCTGATTCCTCATTGATGGGACAGGTGTTGTGAATGAAACGGTGCCCAGCTTGAAAGAGCTCCTGTGTGTCGCTGAATGTGAGCATTGATGACTGAAAGACATCTTCTGCCTCCATTTATCTGTTTAATACAGTGCATTAAAATCATGTTAATGTTTATTTAAAGACATTTTAATTAGTGGAAAATTTGCAGGGGGGAATATAAAGAAACAATTCTAATCAACCAAAACTTTTGTGACCCCCATGCACTACCTCTGTGGACCCCATATGGGTCGCGGACCCCCTGTTAAAGACCTACGTGTTAGAGGACTCCTTCATAAATGAATGAGAAAAACACAAAGTATTAACACTATCAAAGCAATAAAAAAAGGAGAAACGTTTTCTAGAAGATCTTGTAAAAATTGTAAGAAAAATAAAGATGGAAATTCATCATGTATTTTCTTAAAGGTGCAGTTTTTGATGTGAGTAAGTCTGTCAAAATTGCTGGTGGTTTATTTAATTGTCAGCTAGAGTGTTTATTATACATGTAATCATGTTGTGTGTGTCTGAGATGGTGTGTGTGTGTTTGTGTGGAGGGGAGATGAGGGATAAAAGAGTTATGAAAAACAAAAGATAATTTGAAAAGACGAAAAATGGAAACTTCAAAAGGCATAAGGTTAGAGAAAGACAAAGATGTAAAATTGAAGTCAATACACCTGTAAAGAGAAAAGGGGATGATTTACAAAAAACAGTTACAAAAAATAAGAGAGGAGAACTTAAATATGTCTGTTAGCATTTAATCTGTCTACGTTTTCCACTCATTTCCTCGGCCCATATCTCTCTTTACTATGTATATGTCTGTTCAGTGGTGGATGACGATCCACGGCGTATCGTAACAAGGACTGCTCTTATACTGAGGGATGTGAAGACGTCTGACACAGCCGTCTATCAGTGTGAGGCCACCAACATGAACGGCTCCATCATCCAGAATATCAACCTGTTTGTTGTTGGTATGGATACATTCTGCTCTCACAAGTCTGCCGTATAAACATGCTGCATTAAAATCCAAATTAAAAAAAATACTCTTGTGACTTTTATATTTGTAACTAAGGCTTCATGGATGGGTCTTGCTTTTTCCTGCAGAGCTTCCTCCTCAGATCTTGTCTTCTGATGGGATAGTGTACAAAGTATTTGAAGGTGAAGACGTCTACATGCAGTGTGAAGCCTTTGGTGTTCCCCTACCAGACATTTCATGGTAAGAAGCACATTTATTTTAATCCTGGATTTAAAAAAAATAAAAATAAAAAACAATAAAAAAAGTTTACGTTTACATTATTTGTTGAGCAGAATCTCACGGAAGTTGCTTTCACACTACCCTTATCCATAGTATGATTTATTTTCTGCAGATGGAAGCATGTGGCTGTTTGAAATCAATATTGTTTTCTGAAGCTGAACTGTATTTCACGGAGATTAAATAGGCTTTGATTTACATGATTGACAAGCTGTTTTGTGGCACGTTTTTCAATTATCTTGGAGACTAGTAGGATACATACTTATTGACCTATAATTACATGGTTCCATAGGATCTCCTGATTTATAGGTTGGTATAATCACTGAGATCTTCCAGTTGTCAGGGAATGTGCTTTGTTGTTGTTGTTTTTTTTGGGAGATAATTTATTATACTTCTGAATGGAGCATTATGTGGTTGGTTAAATGCCTTAATAATCTTCATACTCATCTAAAAAAAAAACATCTATTGCTACAGAAATGTTCAGACAATCCATCCGTCCATTTTCTGACATGCTTAATCCCAAGCAGGTTCGCGAGGGGTTCCAGGGTAGCAGTAATGCTGGTGCCTATCTCCAGCTGTCTACGGGCGAGAGGCGGGGTACACCTAGGACAGGTCACCAGTCCATCGCATGGCAACACAGAGACAGACAGGACAAACAACCATTCACATTCAGAGAAGCCAATTAACCTAACAGTCATGTTTTTGGACTGTGGGAGGAAGCCAGAGTACCCGGAGAGAACCCACGCATGCTCAGGGAGAACATGCAAACTTAATGTAAAAAGACCCAGGGCCGGGAATCAAACCTGCAACCTTCTTGGGTTGGGCTTGCTTGTCTTCGATGCACAGGAGGCGACCGTAGACAGAGTCCAGAAAGTACCACTTAAAAAACTGATCCTATCTGTATTTGGTTAAAATTGGAGAAAATAATACATATTTGTGTCCTTTATCACGGAGAGGGTATCAGATTTCTCTACATGATTCCTATTTGACTGTTATTTTGTACCTTTTCTTTTCTTATATGGCTACAAAAGCCCTGAACAACTCTCAACACAACAAGCTGTCTGAGATGGAAATCCACTGTAATGATTCATTGATTTGATTTTTGTGCAGGTTCCGTGAGGATGATATTCCTCTGCTCTCAGATCAACGTGCTTCCCTGTTTACTAATGGAACTATTGGGCTGGGTAACGTCTCCCATAATGACCAGGGACTGTATACCTGCTCTGTTGATAACACCAACATCTCCATTACTGCTAACCTGGAAGTTTTCAGTAAGTAATTATATTTTTTAGTAGCAAAAAACACAAGACTCTGTAAGACTGTATGATCTGGTTGAACTGTAAAGTGCCTTGAGATGACTTGTGTTGTGAATTGGCGCTATATAAATAAATAGAATTGAATTGAAAACTCCAACTAATGCCAAAGAAAAATGTGTTTTCCTTGCCATTTTCTTCTTTGTATTTGTATTAAGTTTGATTTATGTTTCTTTACATTTTGGTGAGATTATATTAGTACTACAAAGTGCATATCAAGTAATCTCTTGAGTGATTCATGACGACTTGACCAAAAGGAACAGTGTTAAATCTGCAGCTTGTGGTTCCTCTTTCTTCCAGATCGAACTGTGATCCATAAAGGTCCTCAGGACATCCACGTCCACAGAGGAGAATCTGCTTTCCTGGACTGTCTTTTCTACAAAGATCCTCGACTGCTTAAATACGAGGTCCATTGGAAGAAACATGGACAGAATCTGGACTCAACAATGGACAAAAAGTAAACTCACACATTTAATTGATTAATGCATGAACACACACTGGTTTAAGTAGTTTCTGCTGAGTTGAAATGTTAAATTAATTGCGCATCACATTTCAGAAGGACAGTTTAATACAGGATGAAAAACCCTAAGACCTGACACAATGTGTCTGCTATGTAAACCATCACAAACTGTCCCTCATTAAAGCTACACTGCATCCATGATAATAGTCCTTTTATGTTGAAATATTCCACATAAGTTTTACGCTTCTCGTGTCTGACTTCCTATCTGTCTCATCTGCTTTTAGAAATTGTATTTATTTAGCAATGCCATCCATCAAAAATAGCCTTGGTACCTATCTATATTGGCAATGCAGATGGATCTCCATTATGTTGCAGCCCGAGGGATATATGAATTACCTCACTGACTAGACTGTATTGTACTTTCTTTAAAGAATAAAACACACGGCTGGAAAAGTGGAAAAGTAAGTTAATTGTATAACAAATAGAAAATTTGCCATATTGTATAAGAAGAAGGAGATTTTTTAATGTAAGTTCTAAATTGCATCTAAAAATGCACAAATCTTTGTTTAGAGGGTATCAATATTTGTTCCTGCATGTTATCAATTAGAGAAAGGTCTGATTTCTTGGCTGCCTTCTATGAACAGCCAATTTAGCACTGAATAATTGGAGAGAGATTTATGGACCAAGTATACATAAATGCATTTTCCAAGGATCCACAAATGATTCTACATTATTTGGGTCTGAAGGTCCAATAATAAGTACGTTCTCCTTTTTTTAAACAGCTAAAACTAAATTCTTAGGAAAAACTCTCATGTCAGGCATGTATAATTAAAATTAAAATAAGAGAAAGGTCTGTGATATTGATTACAATTTGCAATTCTTTCTTGCTACTTAAACCGGGCTATTTCTTGTGATTTTGCACAACCTGACATTGTTACAATAAGATATCTTTGTGGTTCAGTCTTCCTTACAAAGGTTTGTTTAAAAGTGAACCAAATCAAATGAAGGTTGAATTAACATGAACTTCCTCTTCAATCGAACGTAGTCCCCCAGACCTCCTGATTACGAACTCCCCCTTATGTGAACACTGCTGGATTGAGACAAGTACGGGACCCTCCAGCAATATAAATTTTAGTCAGGACGGTGCTGCTGTATAAACACAACAAATCTTAACCTTAAATCTCTCACACTGTGTCAGTAAGCAACAAAATTGTCTTTTTCTTGCTTCGTTCAGGGAGTTTCTGACCCTCTATTGTCAAAATTGGCCATGATGTGGAAGACTAAACTCCATTAAACTCCATTTCATGGCTGATTGGGTAATTTCTTCTCTATGAATAATTACCCTAAAAGCTACTCACAAACTGATTGTTCTCCGTAATTAAAAAACAAGTAAAGCGGTGTGCTCTGATACTATACCCACTGCTGATAAGACCTTACAACTAAAACCAATACTCTGCTTGGTTTTAACATCTTCTCAGGGCTTTAATCCAGTGTGAAGGCATCATTGTTTTAGAATGCCGGTTTTTCTATATTTTTATACTTTCTTTTTCTTCTTTTTTCTCCAAATCCAGGTACACTATGTTCAACAATAACACATTAAAAGTGAAAAATGTCCAAATAGAAGACACAGACAATTACTCCTGTGAGGTCAGAACCGAATCATTGGGCCAGGTGACAGCCACAGGCTCCATCACTGTTATAGGTACGGATATGTGTGTTGATTGTGTGATTCTTTGTGTCCCGCAGTTACAGACTTATGTTCAGAAGTTTACGTTCAGTCAGGTACAGAAATTTATTATTACCATAGAGCTTTTAACAGCTTCTTTTTTATTATTTTATTACATTTGCCAGCAAGCTGTGGGCTTTCAAGATGCATTCTTCAGTGCCATTGCAAAGTTAATTGAGCAAAATATTTTTTACAAATAGTCCAAAAAATCAAATATGCCCAAAAGGATTAGGCAGAGGCAAAAGTTTATTTATGTCTATGCCCTTTCCATATTAAAAAAATAGGTAACCTGCCTTACAGACTCATAGACATCAGCAGTCCTTCCAAACAGTCATGTTACAGCTATTAGAATTGAATTGAATAAAGAGGAAAAAAAAATAAGCAAATACATAAATAACTTATTGGGACACCGATTGTTTAAAAGCACATCTTCCTCCTTGTACATGGTGAAAATCATTTTATTATACTGATTTTTAAACTGCATCATTCTTGGACATTGCTTGAGCTCCACACCAAGTTTTTAATTAACTAATTTTTTATAAGGTATAACAATTTTAAAATTCATGGTTTTATATTTTTTCTACATCTTAAAAAGTTTAGTTAGAATAAACTGTTAAAAGCTCAAAGCTAAAGCAGCATAAATGATGATTACTTGCATGCAAACTTCTAACTGGAGCTGTATGTTTGGCCAACAGCTCCACCGGAACCTCCCAGCTCACTAACGCTTTCCGTTGACAACGACTACAGTGTCACGCTCAGCTGGATCCCTGGAGCCTCAAACAACAGCCCCACTACAGGTACAGAGGCATGACGTTGTAAACAAACAGCAAAACTAAGAGGAAAATCACTTCCTTTGTCTCCTTAAAAGGTTTCCCGCTCTCAGGTGGATTTTCACTAGATTAACACCCATTTCAATGATTCTTTATTTATATGCTGATGAAGGTTCTCAGTCATCCAGGTCATAGTCATTCCGTAAAAATTCAAAAAATATCCACTGGACTTGGTTTTCAAGATTTGAAGACGTTTCGCCACCTCTCCAGGAAGCTTTCTCAATTCAAATGTCTGGATCCGCAGTGAGTTTGAGTCTTATATAGACAACGCCTTGTATCGCTTGGAAACATGCAATGGTAACCGATGAATGGGTCGTTAGTTCCATCGTTAGCCTGTAATATCTGAACCTGTCTATGATTCTAGGGGTCGGTCGTTAAAGGGGGGATGCCATTAAGGGGGGGATTGTCTCCTGTAATACCTGAAACCTGTCTATGATTGTTAAGGGTTGGTCGTTAAGGAGGTATTGTTCACCGGCTGGGGCGGGTGAGTCCCTCGTTCCTCTGTGATGGGGTGGGGGGTTTGGTGATATCTGGAAGGGATCATGTCTATGATTGAATTGTATGTTTTTGGAAGCTGGAATCTGAGTCCACCACCTCTGTTTAAAGTTGGTTTTTCTCTCTTAACATAGATGGCTTCCTTCACGCCCCTCTCAAACCACCTATTTTCTTTATCCAGAATATGGACATTCTGGTCCTCAAAAGAATGTCCTTTGTCCATAAGGTGTAGCTGTACTCCGGAGTCTTGTCCAGAGGCAGCCGCTCTTCTGTGTTGGGCCATGCGTCTGTGGAGAGGTTGTTTTGTTTCGCCAATATAAAGATCAGAGCATTCCTCGCTGCACTGAACAGCATATACCACTCCGCTCATATTTGGTCTGGGGGTTTTATCTTTAGGGTGCACTAGCCTCTGTTTAAGGGTTTGGTTTGGCTTGAAATGTACTGGGATCTTGTGTTTGGAGAAAATCCTCTTGAGCTTTTCAGACACTCCAGCAACATAAGGGATTGTGATGTTTTTGCGTTTAATTTTCCCATCGCTGTCTTCTGTTGCGTGTCTTTTGGATTTCCTTGCTGATTTGATAAAAGCCCAGTTTGGATATCCACAGTTTCGGAGAGCATCTTTGATGTGTTTCTGTTCTTTTTGCTTCCCATCTGTTTTAGTAGGGACATGTTCTGCCCGGTGTTGTAAGGTTCTGATGACTGAGAGTTTGTGTTCCAGTGGGTGGTGTGAGTCAAAAAGAAGATACTGGTCTGTGTGAGTAGGTTTCCTATACACTTCAATGTTTAGGCTTCCATCTCCTTCCATGCTCACCAGGCAGTCCAGAAAGGGTAGTTTGTTGTCCTTGGCATCCTCTCTGGTGAATTTGATGTTACGGTCAACAGAGTTGATGTGTTTGGTGAAAGCTTCCACTTCCTCTAGTTGGATTTTGACGAAAGTGTCATCCACGTATCTAAACCAGTGGCTTGGTGGTATTCCATTGAAAGTGTCTAAAGCTCTCTTTTCCATTTCTTCCATGTAAAGATTGGCTACAATTGGTGATACTGGAGATCCCATTGCGCAGCCATGCTTCTGTCTGTAAAAATTACCTCTGAATTTGAAATAGGTTGTGGAAAGACAAAGGCCCAGTAGTGTGCAGATCTGGTCCGGAGTGAAATTAGTCCTGTTGTTTAAATCACTATCTTGTTCAAGACGTGTCCTGACTGTTTCCACTGCCTCTGTTATAGGTATGCATGTGAAAAGTGAAGTAACATCAAACGATACCAAGGTTTCTCCTGGAGCCATCCTTAAATGTTTGGCTTTGTTGGCAAAGTCTTTGGAGTTTTCTATGTGATGTGGTGTGTTCCCCACCAAGGGAGCTAAACAGCTTACTAATATCTTAGCTCCCTTGGTGGGGAACACACCACATCACATAGAAAACTCCAAAGACTTTGCCAACAAAGCCAAACATTTAAGGATGGCTCCAGGAGAAACCTTGGTATCGTTTGATGTTACTTCACTTTTCACATGCATACCTATAACAGAGGCAGTGGAAACAGTCAGGACACGTCTTGAACAAGATAGTGATTTAAACAACAGGACTAATTTCACTCCGGACCAGATCTGCACACTACTGGGCCTTTGTCTTTCCACAACCTATTTCAAATTCAGAGGTAATTTTTACAGACAGAAGCATGGCTGCGCAATGGGATCTCCAGTATCACCAATTGTAGCCAATCTTTACATGGAAGAAATGGAAAAGAGAGCTTTAGACACTTTCAATGGAATACCACCAAGCCACTGGTTTAGATACGTGGATGACACTTTCGTCAAAATCCAACTAGAGGAAGTGGAAGCTTTCACCAAACACATCAACTCTGTTGACCGTAACATCAAATTCACCAGAGAGGATGCCAAGGACAACAAACTACCCTTTCTGGACTGCCTGGTGAGCATGGAAGGAGATGGAAGCCTAAACATTGAAGTGTATAGGAAACCTACTCACACAGACCAGTATCTTCTTTTTGACTCACACCACCCACTGGAACACAAACTCTCAGTCATCAGAACCTTACAACACCTGGCAGAACATGTCCCTACTAAAACAGATGGGAAGCAAAAAGAACAGAAACACATCAAAGATGCTCTCCGAAACTGTGGATATCCAAACTGGGCTTTTATCAAATCAGCAAGGAAATCCAAAAGACACGCAACAGAAGACAGCGATGGGAAAATTAAACGCAAAAACATCACAATCCCTTATGTTGCTGGAGTGTCTGAAAAGCTCAAGAGGATTTTCTCCAAACACAAGATCCCAGTACATTTCAAGCCAAACCAAACCCTTAAACAGAGGCTAGTGCACCCTAAAGATAAAACCCCCAGACCAAATATGAGCGGAGTGGTATATGCTGTTCAGTGCAGCGAGGAATGCTCTGATCTTTATATTGGCGAAACAAAACAACCTCTCCACAGACGCATGGCCCAACACAGAAGAGCGGCTGCCTCTGGACAAGACTCCGCAGTACACCTACACCTTATGGACAAAGGACATTCTTTTGAGGACCAGAATGTCCATATTCTGGATAAAGAAAATAGGTGGTTTGAGAGGGGCGTGAAGGAAGCCATCTATGTTAAGAGAGAAAAACCAACTTTAAACAGAGGTGGTGGACTCAGATTCCAGCTTCCAAAAACATACAATTCAATCATAGAGATGATCCCTTCCAGATATCACCAAACCCCCCACCCCATCACAGAGGAACGAGGGACTCACCCGCCCCAGCCGGTGAACAATACCTCCTTAACGACCAACCCTTAACAATCATAGACAGGTTTCAGGTATTACAGGAGACAATCCCCCCCTTAATGGCAATCCCCCCTTTAACGACCGACCCCTAGAATCATAGACAGGTTCAGATATTACAGGCTAACGATGGAACTAACGACCCATTCATCGGTTACCATTGCATGTTTCCAAGCGATACAAGGCGTTGTCTATATAAGACTCAAACTCACTGCGGATCCAGACATTTGAATTGAGAAAGCTTCCTGGAGAGGTGGCGAAACGTCTTCAAATCTTGAAAACCAAGTCCAGTGGATATTTCTTTATTTATCACAATCATCAGAACATCAGCAGCACTGAGTCACAAAGGTAAACTTAAGAACAGCATGGAGGGAACTTGAATTCACCAAGAAAGAATTTCAGTCATGAGGACACCTTACAGTTTGAACAAAGTACTTAAAGAACATTGATGAAAGAAGGTGGAGAAGGCAGAAGGGTTTACCTCAAGCATAGAATTACTGAAAATAAGCTAAACGGTATGCTATTTTTAGTCCAATGCAGTAATGCATTCCTATATCTCTACAATGGAGAAACTCAATGTTGACTATGCAAAAGGAGGACCTGACTACGAGGAGCCAGCTTATTTGGTCACTGCTGCAAACAAGATTGTAAGACAAGTGGTTCTAGAGAGGAAGAGGCCATATGTGGTAAACATCAATATTGTAGTTTAAGTAACAAACCAAACGGTTTTGATCTCGGACTATTTTTTTCCCCCAATTCTTTGAGCATTCACAGCCCTAGATCTTTGAACATTTCTGTGCACCTTGGGAGGAAGTTTTGTGGTGAACTTTGGGGTCTCTCCACTGCTGCCATAACTCGTCCCCCAGGCGGTTATGCTACGTTCACACCAGATGCAATTTCTGCAGCAAAAAAGCTTCTGCTGCCTCAGTTTTTATGCTTGAACATGCCATGATCAGACGCACCTCAAGAGCATTTTGAGGCCAAATGCGTCCAGTAACGTGTGTCCAGATGCATTTGATGCTTCTGCTGCTCCAGTGTTCAATGGTTCAGTGAGAGTGGCTTTGCTTTAATTGCTGTGATCAGTGGGGGGAAAAAAAAGTAGTTTAATGTTTAAGTTAGAAAGTCCACCTAAAAACATTGTCTGTGCAGTCAGTTCATCAAGGTTATGATCCTGCATTAAATATTATTTGGCTGTCGGAGGTGTGCATACCCAGACAATACCGGCTGTGGGCTGTCACTGAAAAACCCTCTGCAGCAGCTGACTTAGGCCCGATCGCGTCTTGAGGTTTTTTACCTACAGCTCATGGTGGCTGTAAGTAGATGTTAGCATTTTTATAGATATACACTGAAAAAAATTATGCAACTGTTTTGGCATTTATTTAATCATATTTGCTTACTTTAACACCATTGTTTTATGTCCTGTCATAATTTTATCTAAGGCTCTGACCCACATGCAGTGAAGCCAAAAAGAGAGACACAGAGTAAAAGTTGAACGGGTTTTATTGAAGTGATATGAGCTCGGTGCACAGTTTCCCCGAACTCTGCTCAGCCGGAACTGGAAGACGAGGGGAAGACAGACTGTTAGTTCAGGCTCAGTAAGAAATATGATTCGTTGATCTTGAAGGAGCGGATTTGTTGTTGACTCACGTTTCCAGAGCAGTAGAGAATCCTTGACTCGGATCTGTGTGTTGGTTTACCGGAGTTTGTCTGATTTGGTGGAGGGCGGAACAGGGTTTACCCAGAACTCGGACGGATAAGATGAACGGAGACGCTGGTTGCCACTCAGATTTCCTGAGGTACTTGAACGGGTCGTGGTGAAGATGATTTCCTTGCTCAGAGTGATTTCAATGATCTCAAAGGTGACTAGATCCAAACCTCCAGTTTGAATCCGTCGCTCTGTTTAAGGCTCAGTTGATCCCTCCTGGGAGAGGCGGTCCGAAAGATCCAGTTTGCAGGAAGGCTTCCTGCCAAAAGGCAAAGGCAAAAAAAAAAGTTGAATCTCAGGGAGACAAGCTCTCAGTCAAATTCAATGAGATCTCAGCTTAGCTAGAGTACTAACTCGCAATACAAAAACTCAGGTTAGACTCAGAATAAACAAAGCTTGGCAAGAGTACCCCAAACTGGCAAACACTCTGGCGTTGAGGTAGTGGCAACCAGCAGCTTAAAAGCACTCCGGTAATGAAGGTAACTGTCCACAGGTGTGTGAGGAGGCGGGTCTGAACCAGGTGCCTCCTGCTGGTGAAAGGGAGAACAATACAAAGACAAACAAACAGACAAACACAAAGACTGGAGTCCTGACACTACCCTGCTAACATGAAACAATGGTGTTAAAGTAACTAAATATGGTTAAGTAAATGCCCAAAACGGTTGCATTATTTTTTTCAGTGTATAGTACAAACTGCAGGTACCAGAATAATAAAAGGGAACATATTTTATATATTTAATTGATAACAGCAGTGCTGTGTCTGTCTTCCTGCCAGCTCCGTGATCAGCTTCTCTGATTGGTTGATGTGGTGTCATGCCTCAGAAGCTCATGAAGCGCTGCTTCTGCTGCTCGAGACTCGTTGCAGGACCTTCTAATGATGAGGGTCAACCATTGAACTTGCATGTAAACCAACTGCTTCTGCTTCTCCAATCACATACTGTGTGAATGTTGCATTACATTGCCATTCACAACTTGAGACATCATTAGGGTCGAACCACGAGCGTCAAATGACAAACAGCCAAATATTGAAAAAAAATGGAAGGTAGAGCCAATGACTTGAGTGGTCTTAAAGGCCCCTTTAGTGGCCCTAATGGTCACATTAGTCAACACAATGGCCCCATTAGTGACCTTAATGGTCATTTAGCCAGATTGTTATGACTGTAACCTATTAGAGTATAAACAGCGATGTGTGGGAACATGTTTAAGAAGGTGTGTTAAAGAGAACTTGTTATAAAGAGGAATAGAACTAACAGTGTTTTGTCTTGATGATTCCCAACAACTACCTTACCTCAGCCACCAAGTGAGTCCAAATCGACATGCAAGCATCACTGATAAGGAGAAAATATTGAATTGTACATAACTTTTATTTGAAATGATTTAAAGGGCTGCAGAGTCAGCCAATGATCAGCTTTAGGGTGATCAAAGAAGTTGTGGTGCCACCTAAGATATTAGCAATGGTGTTTTCTTAAAGAAATTATGTATTCTAAAGGGACTACATGACTTGACAGACTGATCTAAAGACAAATGAAGTAATTTTTCTGCAGGCTATTATAATTTTAGGTTTCAAAGATTTTGTTAGGTAATCCATAAACAGTTTATGGCCACAGAATCCATCGGAGTATTGTGTCTAGGCATGTAGCAATCATTGTGGGCATAATATTTGTATTAGTTGAAAAGGTAATGCTTTTAGATAAGTGTTTTAACAAGAAAAAGACCCCAGACACATCAATAATTGTACTGCATCTTCAATTAAAAGCAAAAAGAATAACATTATAGACCTTAATCTAATAGAAAGTGTGTGTTTGGACATCACTAAAGATGTCACATCTCAGCCAATGGAGCCCTCAACTCCACTGATCACAGCTTCGAAGCAGGCCTCTGAAACAGTTATTCTGTAAATAAATATTACATCTGTGCTTGAAGAGATAGCTAAAACATACACTTCTTTTATTTATAGTATTTTTTGGTAAAGTAAATTTAGACATTATTTTAAATCCAATATATATTTTTGAGACACTGTTTTGAGGAATGGGATATAACATATTTCTGTGACCTAAAACATGACTACATAATTTGCCTCCAGAGTTCATTGTGGAAGCCCAAGAGCAGCCCCAGACAGATAGCGGGAACCCAAGATGGCAGGTGCTGAAGGAGATACCCGGGGATTTCAGTCACATCCAGCTCAGCCTGCAGTCCTTCTGCATTTACCGCTTCAGGGTTATCGCTGGTAATGAAGTTGGCAGGAGTCACCCAAGCAAAGCAACCAACAAGCACGCTACACCACCTACAGGTAAAACCTTGTCACCTGTGTTGACACCACCTGTATTTTCCTATATATATTTCTTCCTAAAATCCAATGAGGTACAGAGCAAGTTCTTTATAATTTAGGATCACAACATGTATAAACATGGGATTATCTAACAGATGCTGATGTTTATTTTATACTGAAGAGCTTAAATAAAAACTGTCTCTTAAATGTATGGACAGGGGTGGATTTAGGAAATTGGGGCCATACGCAAAGACAGGCTTGGGGCCCTCCGAATTGAGAAGACAACACATAAAATAGCCCCAATATACAGATACAGAAATTTTAATAGAATAGACAGATTATTTGTTCAACGTTTTCGTCCCTTTTCTTGTTGTTTTTCTCTTAATGTTTCGTACTCGGCTGACTTTAAATGCTGTCTCATAAGGAATAAAAGTTTTTTTCCAAGCATTAACCCTTTATAGGGGAAGTTACTGTTTTTGATCACTTGCATACCCCTTACAAATAGAGTTCCGCGTCCATCAGTGAGGTCTAGAAGCAAAAGATCTATATCCACCCATTCAGCAAGATGCTGCTACATGGCTATACATCTTATTTTGGGATTTGATCAATTAGATGAGCCCTTGAATGAGATTTTAACTACTGTAAATTAAATTGAAAAAAGTAATAATTCAATAAAAAAAGGTAAAAAGCTAATTAAAAAAAGTTAAAAAGTTAATAAGCCTAGTTAACAATTATATTTAGGTTTATAAATTAAAGAATGTAAGTGCCAGTATCAGCATTATTGCCTCTAGGTTAATGTTGTACCAGAAAATGTGTTTCTTTTGCTCTTTGTTTTTCATTCATTTCTTATAGAACCACTTTTGTTATTTTTCTTAATATATTCGGCAAGTTGGCGTTTCTTGACATTACTTTTTGCCATCAAAATATCCATATTTTTTTAATGTTACAAAGGTAATAAGGTCTTATCCTGGATTCCAATAACACTATTGGCTTGAAATGTTTATTTTCAAAGTATTTCACTGAGGGCCTTAGAAAGGATTAAGCTCACTTAGCTGATTGCTCCTTCCTGTGTTTCCAAAAAGGCGATGGCAAAAGTAAATAACCCAGTCCTTCTTTTCACTGTAGACAAGCCGTGATCTGCTTATCTGTTCTCCATTTTTCATTTGGATGAAATAATGGCTGCATGATTCATGACAGCAGGCAAGATATAGGAGAGCAGGAGGCGGGGTTACCAATCTACTTGCTCTGGAGAGCAGAGTTCGCTGCTTTTAGATGTTGTCGACAAAGGCGCTAAAAAAGCGCTAGAGGGGTCTGAAAAGTCGCTAACTAGAGCAACAAAAGCGCTAAGTTTACAACACTGCTCTTCTCATCATTTGCTTTCTGTTTGAACCTTCCTGAACATGTGTAGCAAATGGACTGATCTGATGTGGTGGACACTGAAGGGCCTGAGACACACTTAATATTATAAGTTTTCTGATGACATTTTAGCAAAAGGAATTATATCAAAACATAATTAATGTGCACAATTAAGGAATAGTTGTATTCAACCATATGGGGACCCTAGGAACTTGCGGCCCTATGCAACTGCCTAATATTGCCTAATGGTAAATGTGTGGGTATGATTAAACTCTTCCCAACATTAATTGTCGTCTTCTCTTCCAACTCCCACAGTTCCATATTCAAACCCCATTAATGTGCGCACTAATTCAACAGAACCAGGGATTCTGCTCATCACGTGGGATGTAAGTGCCTCTGTGAATGAGTTTGGAAGTTTCAGTTGTTACACCGGTAGAACCAAATCTTTTTATTCTATGTGTCACTGCAGGAGATGGAAAAGCGTCTCCACAACGGCCAGGACTTCCGGTACCAGGTGTTCTGGCGGGAGGCTAACAGCCAAAACACAAACTGGGAAAGTTCCTATGTCAAGTCTCCTCCGTTTATAGTAAATAACACTGGAACCTTCACACCGTTTGAGATCAAAGTCCAGGCTGTCAATGCAAATGGATCAGGACCTGCACCAGAGGCGAGGACCGGACATTCAGGGGAGGACAGTACGTCATCAGATCTTTTCTTCTTCATTTTTCCGTTCTCATAGTCATTGTGGTTATTAAATGAACACTAGGAGCAATGCACTATATGGGATTATTCAGCTTGATGCATTTGAGACTTCATAGCTACTTTTAATGAACTTTTTGATTTGAATTCATTTTAACTTGACAGATTTTATTTAAAAACACATGTTAAATGTATTTTACCCTATTCTGGTTGAGGCTATAACTTGAATACATTTTCATATTGTGACTATTTTGATTAATAACAACATATTGAACACCTGCTGTGATGTACTTTGTGATTGCCCCCTAGTGGTGGCAAAATGCATAACAGACAGAAAAAGACTATCCTTGATTTTTTTTTTTTTTTTTTTATACCCTCCACCAGACATTATCGCTTGAACTTTTTTGTACTTTGTTACATTTTAGCATCAAACTTCAACCCATTCTATTTACTATATTATTATTTATTTTTGGGGTTTTTTGTGGTGCACACAAACAAGCAAGTGCACGATTGTGGAGTTTTAATTGTTAAGTAACACAAGTTTGATAAAAAAAAAATATTTATATTCAGCCTGCTGAGTCAATACTTCTTACCTATACCTTTTGCTGCTGGTCTGTAGACTTGCCTCTATGGCATCTTTGCACTTTACACTACTCCGATATTTGTCAAATGTCTTTGCAAAATAGCTCCGTCTGATTTTTTTTTCTGATTTTGGACACAGGATTATGAGTTAATGTCAGCAGAGTCCTGTACAGCTCTGGATGTATGTATTTTGTCTTTGGAACATGAATCCCTGCTCCAGTCTCATCTCTTTTGCAGGCTCTTAGAAACTTCCTCATCCCCACTTAATCAGAGCATCCCCACAGTACGATGTTATGTTTCACAGTGAGGATGGTGGTTTTTCACACAAATAGTTCACCAAAATGTTCAATTTTGTCTGACCAGATTTTCTTCCACACCCCTCTCTGAGAATTTTTACTTAAAAAAAAAAAAATGTCTAAAACACACACTCAAAATAATTGTAAAAAGAATAACTCAGAACCAGCTGCCTTGGTGGTCTTCTGATATTGGGCTATTAAAAGCACCCAGAAAACAACAGAATGGTAACGAGATATATTATACTTTCCTTTTTGTATGAGTTTGAGAGATTAAATGAAAAATGTTGAATATGAACATCCAAACAATTACTATAAAAAATATGTTTTCCTTTCTAACATATTCTGCCACTCTGCCCTAAAATCACACCAGGATATTCAAGTAAAAAAAATAGGAGGGTTGTTATACAGGTGCTGGTCATAAAATTAGAATATCATGAAAAAGTAGATTGATTTCAGTAATTCCATTTAAAAAGTGAAACTTGTATATTATATTCATACATTACATACAAACTCATATATTTCAGATGTTTATTTTGTTTAATTTTGATGATTACAAATGACAACAAATGAAAATCTCAAATTCATCATATCAGAAAATTAGAATATTGTGAAAAGGTTCAAAATTGATGGCCCCTGGTGCCACACTCTAATCAGCTAATTAACTCAAACCACCTGCAAAAGCCTTTAAATGGTCTTTCAGTCTAGTTCTATAGGCTACACAATCATGGGGAAGACTGCTGACTTGACAGTTGTCCAAAAGACGACCATCGACACCTTGCACAAGGAGGGCAAGACACAAAAGGTCATCGCTAAAGAGGCTGGCTGTTCACAGAGCTCAGTGTCCAAGCACATTAATAGAGAGGCGAAGGGAAGGAAAAGATGTGGTCGAAAAAAGTGTACAAGCAAGAGAGATAACCGCACCCTGGAGAGGATTGTGAAACAAAACCCCTTCAAAAATGTGGGGGAGATTCACAAAGAGTGGACTGCAGCTGGAGTGAGTGCTTCAAGAACCACCACACACAGACGTATGAAAGACATGGGTTTCTGCTGTCGCATTCCTTGTGTCAAGCCACTCTTGAACCACAGACAGCGTCAGAAGCGTCTAAAGAGAAACAGGACTGGACTGCTGGTGAGTGGTCCAAAGTCATGTTCTCTGATGAAAGTAAATTTTGCATTTCCTTTGGAAATCAAGGTCCCAGAGTCTGGAGGAAAAGAAGAGAGGCACTTCATCCACGTTGCTTGAAGTCCAGTGTAAAGTTTCCACAGTCAGTGATGGTTTGGGGTGCCATGTCATCTGCTGTTGTTGGTCCATTGTGTTTTCTGAGGTCCAGGGTCAACGCAGCCACATACCAGGAAGTTTTAGAGCACTTCATGCTTCCTGCAGCTGACCAACTTTTTGGAGATGCAGATTTCATTTTCCAACAGGACTTGGCACCTGCACACAGTGCCAAAGCTACCAGTACCTGGTTGAAGGACCATGGTATCCCTGTTCTTAATTGGCCAGCAAACTCTCCTGACCTTAACCCCATAGAAAATCTATGGGGTATTGTGAAGAAGAAGATGCAATACACCAGACCCAACAATTCAGAAGAGCTAAAAGCCACTATTAGAGCAACCTGGGCTATCATAACACCTGAGCATTGCCACAGACTGATCGACTCCATGCCACGCCGAATTGCTGCAGTAATACAGGCCAAAGGAGGCCCAACTAAATACTGAGTGCTGTACATGCTCATACTTTTCATGTTCATACTTTTCAGTTGGCCAACATTTCTATAAATCCTTTGTTTTTATTGGTCTTCAGTAATATTCTAATTTTCTGATATGATGAATTTGAGATTTTCATTTGTTGTCATTTGTAATCATCAAAATTAAACAAAATAAACATCTGAAATATATGAGTTTGTATGTAATGTATGAATATAATATACAAGTTTCACTTTTTAAATGGAATTACTGAAATCAATCTACTTTTTCATGATATTCTAATTTTATGACCAGCACCTGTATTCTTTATTTCATAAACATATATCTTAGCTGGGTTTAAAAGTATTATGTAATATCATATCAATTGACATATGGTGCAGTTGATGGCATAAGTTTACAAAAGAAAACCTGGAGTGGAATCAAGATTTTATTATTTATTTTATGTAGGGAACTAAATTTCAGATTTTTTCCCAGCATGATTTTGTGCTGGATCGTCATTCTGCCTTGTAAAACTCCCTCTTCTCTCCTGACATCTACTTTGTCATTTTTTTATTGTCTTGTCTCAGAGCCAGAGGAGCCTCCCACCGGAGTTTCTTTCACTGTGATGAACAGCACGGTCAGAGTGACGTGGAACGAAGCGCAGAACGTCCGTGGTCATCTGCTGGGCTACAAGGTACCGTTTCTTTACAACTTCACCACTTAAACGTCTCACCAGGGAGCATGATGAGCTTAGTGCAGCATCCTGACTTTATGGGAAATATAGGTTAAATGGACAATTGATGGCATGTCCCATCTTAACAAATATACCTAAATATAGCGTGCTAAATTCTTAAACTAAATGTGAGAACTCAGCAAAATCAGCAGGTGTAATTTTTTTCTGGTGTCTTCCTCTTCATCAGATATACATCAGAAGGTTGGGTCCCCACAGTGCACGAGAGAGGAGGTCGCTTGGCAAACATCACCACATGAAGGAAAGAGACAGACTGGAGAAACACAAACCGACGAACGGGGACAGCAGGGTGGTGCATGTCCATGGTGCAAAGACTTCAGCTGAAGTCACTGATCTGCGTCTGTTCTCCCATTATGAGCTGAAGCTCACTGCCTTTAACAGCAAAGGGGAGAGCCCTCCTTCCCCTCCTGCACATTTCAACACCCCAGAGGGAGGTGAGTCCAAAATCAACTTATCCAGACCTCAGATTGCAGGTTCATGTAGAAACTTGCTCCCGTTTAGGGAAAACTGAGATTTTTCCAACCAAATAAAGGTTAAAAACCCAACTGATCATATTTTCAGAAGAACACAGTTCAGCCCAGATCAGGTATGATTAAACAAAATAATAGGAATGCTCCTGTCAGGGTTTAACCTATGAATGCTGAGTTCTGGTTTTTATATTGTCTCATTTTTTATTCTGACCAAGGGCGTAGGTTTGATTTCAACTTTGGTAGGGACACTTTTGGTCTGATGTCATTGGTCTTATGCAAAAATATGCATGCTCGTTTTTTATGCTTAACGTGAAAATCAGGGTGTGTTTAATTTAAAGAGAAAAGCAGCATTTCTTGTCACATTTATACAAATTTTATTAGCACTACACACATGAATGAGGAAATAGGACTTTTTCCACTTTGAAAAGGTTTGGATTTGAAATTAGCAGCGACTAAGACAGTAGGTAAATCTGTGCCTATTTAACAGAAATATAGTCTAAATATGTCTGTTATATGTGGATTTATACTTTCTTTTAGAAGATATAGAATTGTGCAGAGGTAAATCAAACTTCTTCTCCCTGGCTTTTAATCATGTCTAAGTGGACATTTGGCAAAATTTTATTTTAAATTTATTTTATTCTAAAATGTATTTTAATTGAAACATTTATCCTATTATATTTTATCTCCATTCAATTATTCTTTTTGTAATGTGTTTATGTATTTAAGCTTTCAGTTTTTATCTTATGTTACTTAACTGTGATTCCTGTACAGCACTTTGGTCAACCCTGGTTGTTTCAAATGTGCTTTATAAATAAAGTTTGAGTTGAGTTGAGTATTGTAAATTATAAACATGTTATTAACATCTAATTTTTGGTAGGGACAAATAGGTCGATCCCTATGCAAACCTACGCCCATGATTCTGACCCTTTGAGGACCATGACTTACAAAAACATTTTTGCATAAACCACATTTTTTTCAAACAAACATTTGGTTTAAAAGATAAAATGTGTTCTAGGTGTGAATCCATCAGAGCATGAAGCAATATAAACAGAGCCAGTCCAAGGCACAAGTAAAGAAATCAGCTACTTAGGACCATCACATCATCATAAATCCTATCAAATATACTTTTGACCTGCCTAACAGGAAGTGGGATCCCTAATAACGGAGTAAACCGTCTACTGTTCTGATATGTTCTGTAGAAAAACCAGATAAATCCCACAGTAAGTTATTCCTATGTTTCAGGGGCACATGTACACTATATTGCCAAAAGTATTTGCTCACCCATCCAAATTATTGGAATCAGGTGTTCCAATCACTTCCATGGCCACAGGTGTATAAATTCAAGCACCTAGGCATGCAGACTGTTTTTACAAACATTTGTGAAAGAATGGGTCGCTCTCAGGAGCTCAGTGAATTCCAGCGTGGAACTGTGATAGGATGCCACCTGTGCAACAAATCCAGTCGTGAAATTTCCTCGCTCCTAAATATTCCACAGTCAACTGTCAGCTGTATTATAAGAAAATGGAAGTGTTTGGGAACGACAGCAACTCAGCCACGAAGTGGTAGGCCACGTAAACTGACGGAGCGGGGTCAGCGGATGCTGACGCGCATAGTGCGAAGAGGTCGCCAACTTTCTGCAGAGTCAATCACTACAGACCTCCAAACTTCATGTGGCCTTCAGATTAGCTCAAGAACAGTGCGCAGAGAGCTTCATGGAATGGGTTTCCATGGTCGAGCAGCTGCATCCAAGCCATACATCACCAAGTGCAATGCAAAGCGTCGGATGCGGTGGTGTAAAGCACGCCGCCACTGGACTCTAGAGCAGTGGAGACGCGTTCTCTGGAGTGACGAATCGCGCTTCTCCATCTGGCAATCTGATGGACGGGTCTGGGTTTGGCGGTTGCCAGGAGAACGGTACTTGTCTGACTGCATTGTGCCAAGTGTAAAGTTTGGTGGAGGGGGGATTATGGTGTGAGGTTGTTTTTCAGGAGCTGGGCTTGGCCCCTTAGTTCCAGTGAAAGGAACTCTGAATGCTTCAGCATACCAAGACATTTTGGACAATTCCATGCTCCCAACTTTGTGGGAACAGTTTGGAGCTGGCCCCTTCCTCTTCCAACATGACTGTGCACCAGTGCACAAAGCAAGGTCCATAAAGACATGGATGACAGAGTCTGGTGTGGATGAACTTGACTGGCCTGCACAGAGTCCTGACCTCAACCCGATAGAACACCTTTGGGATGAATTAGAGCGGAGACTGAGAGCCAGGCCTTCTCGTCCAACATCAGTGTGCGACCTCACAAATGCGCTTCTGGAAGAATGGTCAAAAATTCCCATAAACACACTCCTAAACCTTGTGGACAGCCTTCCCAGAAGAGTTGAAGCTGTTCTAGCTGCAAAGGGTGGACCGACGTCATATTGAACCCTATGGATTAGGAACGGGATGTCACTTAAGCTCATATGTGAGTCAAGGCAGGTGAGCAAATACTTTTGGCAATATAGTGTATGTGGTGATTTGTATTTGTTTTTAAATCTAAGCCCAGTTTAACCAACAATCCTTTTGTGCTCCTATTTTATGTGTTTGATTTTGTCTTCACAGCTCCTGGTCCTCCTTCATCACTGAGGTTTGAAAGCCCCACAGATACCTCATTGGTTCTTTACTGGACTCCTCCAGAAGAAATCAACGGAAAACTTAAGGGATATAGAGTTCTGTACCAGAAAGGTAAATTTTTAACTGCTTTAAAGGGAAAAAAATAGTTTAATATGAGCTATTTTTGGTTTATTTTACAATGCAATGATTTAGAACAGGGTTTTGTGTTTCCTGCAAAGAAAAAGTTCAGATTTTAATAAAAAATACATGAAAGTATTGTCAAGGTGTAAACTATTTAGGAAGTGTGTATTTTACACGTGGCACTGAACACATCGGCTTGATTTGTGTTTAGTTTCAATGGGTGACGACAGTGATGTGGTGATGAGGGAGATCCCAGACCCCAAAGTAGACTCCTTTGAACTCAAAGATCTGGATCCCAGCAGCTCTTACCTCTTTAAAGTTATCGCCCAAACTGCTGCAGGAGACGGTCCTGCCATTGAAAGGATCAGCGCCACCCTACTAGAAGGAGGTGAGACAACACAGACTCCCCCCCCCCCCCCCCCCCCTCTTTTATTCCCAACATCCCCAGCACTTAATTGCAATATCCATCAGATAATAAATTCACTATTACAGAAGAGTGATACCTAATCATACAATGATGGTTTCATGATGGCTGTTGATAACAGAGTAGAATCCATAGAAGGAGCATGAGACCACCCCTTTCTCTGGATGTGTGTTACGTTGTTTAAGCGTGCAGTAAAACCTGCTGCCTTTGTCTTCCTCCTGCAGCTCCTCCATCAAACATCACGGTAGTTTCCGGTAATACGTCATTCAACCTAAGCTGGGTCCCTGGAGAGCGCCACAGAAACCATGGTTTCCAAATCTCCTACCTCAGGAAGAGTGGTAAGGAACTGAGAGAATATGATTAGAAAGCTCAGGTCAGCAGGAGATGTGTTTCTTGTGCAGAATAAACCCTAGGGCAACAACCTGTTTGCTGATCTCACTGTCCTTAAGATTCCTATTGTAAAAAAATAAAACAATTCAACTTAATAAAATATTTAACTTCAGAGAGGATTTTTGAGACCTTGCAAACAAGGAAGGAAAAATCTAATCATTTATTTAAAAATGTTTTTGCTTGTGTTCAGGAGACTGTCTTTACAAAGCATTCTTGTTCACAATGTTCAATTAAATTCAGTTTATTTATATAGTTCACTATTATACCAGTAATAGTATACTAGTTCACATCTCAAGGCACTTTACAGAGACAAGTCAACCAGTTCATACAGTCAGATTGGTTCAAAGTTTTCTATCTAAGGAAAACCAGCTGACTGCATTGACTCATTGACTCGACAGCTTTCTCTCACGCCAAGCATGCTTGCAGCGACAGTGGAGAGTAAATCTCCTTTTCAACAGGAAGAAACTTTCCGCAGAACCAGGGTGCTGCTCACACTGAGCCTGATGTTTCACCCATAATCCAGAGAAAGAGCAGAATGTTGCATTTGCTTCAGGCAGAGCTTTTTCAATTGAAACGTACACAAACACCATTATAGTTCTGGTCTAATATGTGGAATATTTAGGATTTTGTAGTGCAGGGAACTATACCTGTGGTAAAGCTCAGCCTTACCTGCAAAGGCATAAATAATCTTCAGTGTTTCAAGTGATCTTTTAATTAAGGCAGGTAGGAAAGAAAACTTCTGCTCTTGAAAAGTCTGCACATAGAGAGCTGTATGCTCAGCCATAACTAAGAGTGGTACTCTGAACTACGGAGAAGGGCACAAACCTCCATATTGCACCCTTTCAGCCCCTCTGGTTGCTAGGAGACCAAGAAGGAAAATGCAAAGGCTTTGTTGCTTTGTTAGTCTCTAGCAGAAGTTTAATAGGTTGAACTGTGGCGACACTCAGGCACATATTAATGAATGTTTTACAAAAAAAAACTACAAAATATCCATACTCTGCTTGAGCACTAGACAGACTGATGACATCATCAAAAACCCTGAAAATATTAAACCCTAATTCCAAAATCTCTTGTTATAAACTGCTTTGGCAGGACTGATGTACCAGAAAATGCTGTTGACAGCATGTGCACATAACAGAGAACACAAAAACTTCTGAATTTTTAATTCCAACCATAGGGGAAAAAATCAACCTATAAAGCATGAAAATTATGTTTTTCACTGGCTCTTCTAGGTTAGAATACAGGCAGACCAGGTAACCAGAAAAACTTTTTTAAATTTATGATGCTCCTCTTTTTTTACAGCTGGCGGTCAGTGGGGAAAATCAGAGCTACTCAACTCCACGCAAGGTTTCTATTCGCTGTCAGGACTCCAACCAGGAACAGAATACAGCCTAATGATTGACCATGATAACAGCACCCTGTGGCAAGGGGTGTTCCGAACCGTAGGACCAGGTGGGTTGGCAGAGGTTTAACCTGTTGGGATCAAATAATTGTATACATAAACTACTTCAAACTGCAGAGAAGAATAAATAAGAGGAGAACGCAGTAGCCCCATCTCTAAACAGCAAATGAGAAGATTTTAAGCCTTACAGATGAAATGTTTTCTATCTCACAGTGCCGTCAGAAATGCCAGGCAGGTTTGCCACCCAGGGCTGGTTGATAGGACTGATAAGTGCCATCCTGCTTCTGATCTTGATCCTCCTCATCCTCTGTTTGATTAAGCGCAGAAGGGGTGGAAAATATGCAGGTACACCTTCACTTATGATCTGCAGACAATGTGACATAAAGCATCTCGTAATGTTACTTATGTGGAGGAATATTTTTTCTACTCCCAGTGAAGGAAAAAGAAAAAAAGGACATCGACTTTGACCTTCAGAACAAAGATGAGACCTTTGGAGAGTACAGGTAGGTATTTAATAGGAAGAGTAAATAGTTTTCACACACACGTAATAGAACAAGAGGAAAATGAACGTAGACAGAGATGCTCACTGGCCACTTTCTACCAGAACCAGTTTGGATCCCTTTTCCCATCAAAACTGCCCTGATATTTTGTAGCATAGAGTGAAAGGTGTCTCAGAAACATTATTTTGAGATATCTGTTCATGTTAACGTGATAATATCCCACCTTTGCTACAAATAATATTAGTCCTCATGGACTTCTAACTCAGACTCGTTACTGTGAATTCAGTCCATGATTCAGACATTGGCTGTAGATAAGGGAGAGCAGTGGGGCGTCTCTCCTTAAAATAAAATGGAAACACTGCTGCTGAATGATTCCCAGAAACTCTTCTTTTGTTTAATCGCAGGGTTTCCTTCAGCTGTTTTGTGTTATTGTAGCTCTTATCTCTTTCTTTCCTCCTTCACCGCCTGTCCTGCAGATCCTTGGAGAGGTGAGGGAGTCCACCGTCCTGTTGTCATGTGCTTCTTTGTTGTCAACGGTTCGGCACGCTGTTTTGCTTCCGCACCAAGATAGTTTTTGTTTTTTGTTTTTCCCAGATCAATATTTGAAGTAATTATAAAAAATAGGACTTAAACAGAAAAAGGACTGGCTATTGATGATTGCTTTTCACCTCCACCTCATTGTCAACATTGCTTATTGTCCTCTACTTTTCCATAGTTTCTCTTTGTCACTTTAAAGCAAATGTATGCCTCCCATCTTTACAAATATCAGTATATCATCTTATGCTGCTTTAAAAGGGACTGCAGAACAGGTTATTCAGGGAGGTTATAGCAAATCTTCGGAAAACAGAACAGAACCTTTTTTAGTTAATAATTCAGATTTTGGCAGATAAGAACCATTTGCTTCATACTGCTTAGAGTGGCGCAACCTGCAACCCCACTTGGATGCTTCCTCACAACAAAAAAATCTTTCCTGAATGCACTTTTTGTTTCAGTTCTCTCTGCATCATTTTCATTTTACACAGGCTACAAGCTTGTTTCACTGTTGAGGCGAATAAAAGCAGTTTTTACTCTGAAATTCGGTCAAAGCTCAAGGTTCCAGCAGTGACACAAATACAAATGTTTTTTTGTTTTGTTTTTTGAGGAGCCAACAGAGCAATTCAGAACATTTAATAATTTTAAAAGCTATAAAAACTTGATTTTAGCGTTGATCTTTCTTCATAACATTGATGGTGTTCCCTTATTTGGCTTCAAGGTGATCAGTTTATTAATTTTTGTTTCTCCACCTGCTTTATTAAGACAAACCACAGGTTTCACCACTGGGATCTGAAGAGTTATGTTTTTTTTTTATATTCAGTTTTTTTGTCTCCTCTTCATTGCTTTTTTTCTTGGGATGAGGTCTTCTATTTTGCAGGAAGATACCATCACTCCTTTTATGTTAGCCAGAATTTCAATCCAGCTTTCATATCTATCTTAGACATAAAAATGGTTACTTTGCAGACCCTCTTGTAAATATAGATTCAGCAATACCTACCGTACTTGCTGCAAACATTGAACTAGCTCTGCCCTGGTGGCAGCATGCCCCCACAGTCCTCTCCTTCAAAGAAAATCACTGTGGAGGTTAGACATGCTGAACTTTTATTTTCTTCACTGCTATATAACTTTTCTCCTGAAAGCTCTTGCTGATCCAGAAAAACCTTCTTCTTCTTCTCAGAAGCAGTGTCCTAACTTGTGCTCCTGCTGCTAACAAACCAAAACCATATTTCAGCCTCATTAGTCTTCTTTTTAAAGCATTTCGGAAGTGATTATATTGGTTCAAGCAAAACTCTTTCACGTCTTCTTAAGATCTGACAATAAAGCACATTTATCTGATAACTCTAGGTACATATGTAACCCGAAGACCTGTGAGAACCCTGGATACCAGCCAAAGACTCGGCTGATGACTAGCTGAAGCCGACAGGTAGACTGGTAACAGGCCTGAAAAGTCAGCTGGTGACAGGCTGTACTGACTGACTGTACGTGAACTGAGTGCAAACAGGCATTGAGGAGACTGGATGCAGGCTGAGCTAACTGGTGCAAACAATCAAAAACATGTCCAGAGTCAGAAACTGATGAGAAATGACTGAGGGTAAGCCAGGCACAGGAACATAGAGAGACACTGACTGGAATGAAGAGCTAGTGATGGCAGGGTGAACACAGGAAAGCGAGCAGGGCACACAAACAATTGGAAACATCCTCATATGAGCTATGAGGTGATATTCTGACAGGGAAAAAATTAGAAAGGCAGGTAGAAATAGGTTGAGGGACAGTTAGGAGGAATTTGGATTAATGGGGAATTGATAAGGTGCATCTACTTACTTACTCTATTTGGCAAACTAAACAAGTAGGGAGAAGGAAACAGCTAGCAAGACCAAAAACAAACAAACAGGCCGGATTCATGACGGTTACTGAGAGGAAGATGCTTCTACTTTTTATCTAAACCAATATGACACATCCTTGAACCCCAGGACTCACTGTCCTGCATGTTTTAGGCATAAAAAACCTTATTTAAAGGAATAGGTTAATTGGTAGGTTTCTGCAGAAACCTGCATAATGGTACACTGATGAGGTTATCCTTTTTGCTGGAGGAGTGAGACATCTTAAACATGGAGACATGGAGACATGGCGCCCTGACGGCCGGAGATAACTGAGCTGAACCTTTTAATCCATTCAATGCATTTCCCATCATTCAATCTGCATCTCATTACTGTGAATCTAAAATTGTTGGAAGTTTTATCCCGAAGAACCAAAAAGGTTTATAAAAGCCGGAATTTGTGTCACTGCAGAAACATTTGCTTCTGACTGATAGCAACCGAGTAAAAACAAACTTTCTGAGCTGCTGCAGCTTTCTTCATATTTTCCAATGAATCATCATTAAAGCTTTCCATTTACAGTTTTAATATCCGTTCTACATCACTGTATGTTCCTAAGTTTTATAACTGGTTGTAACCGAGCATTGCAAAAAAGTATTCACAGCTCTTAACCTTTTTAACATTTTGTTGCATCACAACCACAAACCTTACTGAGTTTTGATGTGATTTTACATACCAGACCAACACATAGCAGTGCACAGTTGTGAACAGGGATTTACATAATATTTTACAAATTAGACATTTTTTGAGAAGTATGAAATGCATTTTCATAATAACTCCCTTTACTCCTATACCTTAATAAAATACAGAGCAATTAATTTCCTTTAGGAACAGATGGCATACATGCAGGTACAGAAGAGGATTAGGGCCACTGGAAAAAAAAAGTTATCTGATTTTTTAATTTTATTTCAGTTTAGTATGGGGAAAAAGTCAGAATTCTGACTTTAATCTCAGAATTCTGACTTTTTTTCTCAGAATTCTGACTTTTTTTCTAAGAATTCTGACTTTTTTCTCAGAAATCTGACTGAATTCTGACAATAAAAAAAGTTCTGAGATTAAAGTCAGAATTCTAAGATTAAAGTCAGAATTCTGAGAAAAAAGTCAGAATTCTGAGATTAAAGTCAGAATTCTGACTTTTTTCCCATACTATACTGAAAAAAAAACGTTTACTGATTTTTTTATTTTATTTCAGTTTAGTATGGGAAAAAGTCAGAATTCTGACTTTTTTCTCAGAAATTTGACTTTAATCTCAGAATTCTGACTTTTTTTCTCAGAAATCTAACTTTAATCTCAGAATTCTGACTTTTTTTCTCAGAATTCTGACTTTAATCTCAGAATTCTGACTTTTTTTCTCAGAATTCTGACTTTAATCTCAGAATTCTGACTTTTTTTCTCAGAATTCTGACTTTAATCTCAGAATTCTGACTTTTTTTCTCAGAAATCTGACTGAAGTCTGACAATAAAAAAAGTTCTGAGATTAAAGTCAGAATTCTAAGATTAAAGTCAGAATTCTGAGAAAAAAGTCAGAATTCTGACTTTTTTCCCATACTATACTGAAAAAAAAAAGTTTACTGATTTTTTTAATTTTATTTCAGTTTAGTATGGGAAAAAAGTCAGAATTCTGACTTTTTTTTCTCAGAATTCTGACTTTAATCTCAGAATTCTGACTTTTTTCTCAGAAATCTGACTTTAATCTCAGAAATCTGACTGAATTCTGACAATAAAAAAAGTTCTTTATTTAGATTTAAGTCAGAATTCTAAGATTGAAGTCAGAATTCTGACTTTTTTCCCATACTACGGTATACTGATATAAAATTAAAGAAAATCTGTTAACTTTTTTTTCAGTGGCCCTAATCCTCTTCCGTATGCAGGTGCTCTAAAGGCAGCTTAATGAAGATCACAAAACACAGCTAATTGCTCAGGCTAATAGGTTGCAAGGAGAGAAACAATCTGAATGAAACATGCAGTATGAAATATAAATATAGAAGACCCAGAAATGGAATCAGAATATTGTAAAGGACATTTTATGTGTACAGAAAAGTTACTTATAAGACACTGTATAAACAGCACAAGTATTAAATAGCAGGAGGAACTATTGCTCATCTGATGGAACATACTGTATGACGGTGCAGATATAGAATATCACAAACCTCTTTAGTATCAGAGATCAAAACATTAATCACTCTTTATCAAATCCGATTGAGTTTTAGCTGTTTAAGAAGAATTTATATTTGTGAAAAAAAATCATAAATCATGACCCAAATTTTTTTTTATTTTAACTATTATCTCCCTACTATGGTCTGTCTCATAGGAGTCCAAATACATCAAAAGTTTGTGGTAGTGACAAAATGTGAAAAAGTAAAAGGAAAAAGCTTATTCGTCCGTTAACAGTTTTTCTATTCCTGTTCTTCCAGTGATGGAGATGAGAAGCGCTCTGATAGTCAGCGCTCTCTGTGCGACGACAGCAAGCTGGGGAGCGAGGACTCCCTGGCTGAATACGGAGACAGTGTGGACATCCAGTTCAACGAGGATGGCTCCTTCATCGGCCAGTACAGCGGCCGTGCCGCCGTCCCCCATGGCAACGAGAGCTCAGGTCCGGCTTCCCCAGTCAATCCGGTCCCGCCGCCCCCCTTTGCTCCGTCCATGTCGAGCATCATCAACCGGCCGAGTTAGATCCACAAACAGCACCAAAAGTGTACACCTATACATGCATGCCTGCAGCAAAATGGAAAAGGGACTGAGTTCTCCCAAATCCACTGCCTGTTTCAAACACATTCAACAATAGACTGTTTACTGGAAGCATTTTCCTTTTTCCTCCTCTTGTTTACAGGTTTTACTCTGGATATAACCACAAACCTGCTAACTGCAAGATGAAGACAGTCTGGAGCTCCTAAATAAGCTCCAGGCTCATTTGGCTCGTGATATATTTAGAGGTAAACCCACAAATATATCTTTTTAATATTAATTTAAGCGTCTGTTTTGATTTGAATGCAGTGAGTAAAAGTTTACCAAACAAGTTTACCTTTTCAGCATCACTGCCATATTTTTGTTTCACAAAAACTTGGAGTTAGCAGATTTGTAATAATGACACACAGGACTACTCACTAAACTGATAATTTAATTGCACTGTAGCTGTAGCTATAATTCCTTAGAATGTTACAAATCTTTGACAGTTAAATAGTGAAGGGTTTTAAAAACTGGTGCAGACAAGACCATTGGAGGTAAAAATATGAAGCATTTATTTTTTTTTCTACCATAAATATTTAGCCTGGTTGATTACTTTTGTTTGTTTTTACTTAACCATCACCATTTCTTTATAAGACAATTTTTTTATGTATTCATAGACAAACAGTGGAGAACAAGAGCCCCTAGAAAAGATGCAGATTTTCTTTTAAAGGTGATGAAACGGTATTAACCACTGCTTCTCTGTGCAGCTTCAGTGTGCGACTAAATCACATAATCAAAGTAAAGTATGGATCTGGCATTTACTTTTCGGTGATATTTTTTATTTCAGCAGAATTGAGCTGCATCTTGAATGTGCCTCTTAGTTTTCCAAATGAAAAGATGTATCATAAGATAAGTAATTCAATTGACCAGCAGATGGCTCCAGTTTTAAGTGATGAAAATGGTTTTAAGCCATGACTTAAGTTCCACTCGCATCCTTAAACTGGAGTCTGGGTCTTCAGAAGGTTTAGTTGGGATAATTCAGACAGCAATGCGCTCCTATGCACGCAAATACAGCTCATAAAGTAGATGCAGGTCCACAGGAGAAGAAAGCATGAATGGATAAAATTATGGAGGCAGAAAGAGAATCTAATGTTTCCTTCTCTGAATGTAAATAAAACCTTAAGATTGTCTTTTTTTTACTTTATACAGCTTCTTTTATAAAATAACCAAATTGTTGTAATTATCTATTGACGTGTTTGATTTTGAGCGTTTGTAAGCTACAGACCTCCCACCCAACGTCCTCTGCTGTTGACTTTTCCTCTCGTGTCACTTAGTAGCTCGAAGCTTCTTTAGAGAAGAATAGATTCATAGAGAATTCAACCCTCTTCCTGTTTCCTTTTCTAGTGCTTAGAAATGCAGAAGAAATACAGATTATCATAACATCCTCTGACATAACGTAATATTATTAGAAATGCCAGAGCTCTTTTAAATGGATTTGGATGAGAAGTATGGAGGCTTTCTGATGAATCAGCTCAGGGAACTGATCAGAAGGCTCCATCTGATGGTTTCGTCCCAGACAAGAAGGCCAGCTCTACAGAAGCTGTACACCAGGGGTTCAAACTGGGACAAACAAACTCAGTCCCAGAAAATATCCGATGGGAGAAAGAGAATACGCTGCAATACTGAGATGTGCTAACTAACCTGCTTGTTGCATTGTGCGCTGTACTGTAAGCTGGCAAACTAACCTCAGATTGTCATCTAATGAATAAAACATGGACAATGCATAAACAACCATGCCTGTTTCCTCTGTTTAAGTCTGAGTCATATGGAGATGTTAAAGAAAAGGCGATCGCTGAGGAGCTGCTGTGTAGAAACTGTTGCTTCACAGCCGGAAGATCAGAGGCCATGTGTCTCATATTTCTGTGCATGCATGGATTCCCTCTGGGCTTTCTCGGAAGACTCCAGAAAAGAACATGTATGTTAAGATAGCTGGTTTCTCAATTGCCCTTAAATATGTGTGTGGTTGTCAGGCGACCTGCTTAGGGTCCTCATTTCTACCCCACTAACTACTGAAATTTAGCACCAAGCTCAGGCTACCCTGCAAGGAGTAGGAAAGTTTACAGAATGCCTACTGGATAGATAATTTAACAGTTATACTATGTTTTATATTTCTCAAAGGTTAAAACTTGGGTTTCAGGATGATAACACCCAATAGGGCTGGGCGATATGGAAAAAATACTATATCACGATATGGATTATTTTATATCACGATAACGATATATATCACGATATACCACAACTGATGTTGCATTTTATGTTTTCATAGTCCGTCAGATGGACAGGGTTGAAAAAAATCTTTCATCGCCTATTTTTTACCCATCATCTTGTTTAATAATATGAGAATCCCAACCCCAAACCAAGAACACCAGTTATGCAATTTGCGGCCTTGACAGTGAACAGTATAGAATCTTGGCTATTGCGCTGCAGTAATTAATCATTTAATATTCATTTGTTATTGACATTTTATAAAATTCCAAGGCCAGTTTTTTCTCTTGTCTTTCACTTACCTTGTTTTCCACTAGGAGGCGCCTCGCCTATTTAAGAAGAAATGTGTCTGCACTGGTAATACATTAATTAAAATGCCCACATGTTCTACTGGATAGGAGTGTCAGTGTAGTTAAAAATGTGATCCATCATACGACCTGTACCACAATTATGGGTGTTTCAGTTGTTCTCTTTATTTTTCAGCAGTCACAAGAGAAACGTGCTGCACAGTTTAAAAACATGGAACACAACAGTACTATACAACAAACTATAACAAACAGTACACACTAATACACACAGTATGATTTACTCTAAAGGGGAAAAAGTGAATGCTACAGCACCTTTGTGTGTAAACACAACACTCACAGGTGCAGTAGCCTTCACTTTTCCCCCCTTCAGAATAAATTATAATATCAGTGAGGTCCAGTAATGGATGCGTATGCTGTAAAAGCACACAGTTCATTGGTGTAAGCATATTAGTAAAACCAATAATAGTAAAACTAGCGAACGTACAAAAGTGCATAGCAATGTCAGGCTCATACCTTGGGCGAGCATCACTCCGGTGTGGTCCTCAGGAAAGTACACGGTCTGTAGACACCGAGCGCGGAGGGTCCAGTCCGTGATAAGGATGGTGAGACTCATATAAGGCTGTGTTGCTCTACTCATCCACATGTCCGTAGTCAACGCATAATGCGTCGCACCACTGCGTACCTCTCTCTCCACTTCAGCCCAACAACTAGCATATAAGCCAGGCAGCTCCGCTTTAACGGTAAAATCTTCTTGGGTGTCCATCATTCATTTTTTTTCAAGCCAGAAAGAAATTTCACGGGCTCTCTCCATCAGTAATGTCGCAAACGTATGGTGCAAAGCCGCGTGACGTAAAGTGGTGTAGTGTCGCAAAACCACGTTCTCTACACATTATCTTTTTATTCTCTTTTTTTTTTCGTTATATACACTTAGAGTTTGCATAGCAAAAACGCAAAATGTTATATTAACAGATTATATTAAAATGTATATTAGCAGTAATAATAATAATAAAGAAGTTTATCACGATAGAAAAAATAGAGGAGAAAGGTCACGATAGACATGTTTCTCTCGTCCTCACGATATATATCGCCATATCGCCCAGCTCTAACACCCAATTTAAAGGGTTTCCACCTGGAGAATTGGGAGGATTTGATGACAGCACTTTTTTTATATCCAGAATTTATAATCAACTGTAGAGTCTCCTATTGTCAGAATTCTTACGGTATTTTGCAAGATTAGGATACCGGTCAGCTATGGTCTAAAAAGCCAACAAGGCTGCCATGTTTAAATAATCTTTAAACTTCTTTATTTACACTTTTCATCTTTTGTATCTTCTTAAATCTGCTATCAGTTATTGTAATTGTGAAGCTCTAATGCAAACTATGTAGCCACAGTGCTGCAGTACAAATTCATCATTTAGCTGCTTCAGTAATAATTCTTAATCACTGGACAAAGAAAACAACAGGCTTGTGGTTGTGTAACTTAAACACAATGAAGATTAGAGTGAAATCTTTTCCAAGATGTATCAGCTTAATGCACAGCAAATGCTGGAAATCATTTTTATTGCAAAATAAGCAGACAGAAGAGCAAATTCATGGGTGTTCAGATCAGGTACATTTTATACAAGAGGTAGCCATGTTGGATTTCTAGGCTGAGGTTGGGGATACATTTATGGGTTCCATCCTGGTCATTTATCCAAAATGAGATGTTGAAATTAATTAAAAAAATATATATATATTTTTTTTTAGCTGCAAAACAGCAAACATGTCAGAAGTTTCCATATGGTGAATCCAGTTTGTTACCAAATGTCCAAATCAGCTACTTTGTGTTTGGAAAATCAACTGAAAAATCATCTAAGGTCAGAAATTGGATTCAGAAAGTTTAAGCTTTCCATTCAACCCCAATAATTACTAACTCTGAAAATAAAGCATGATAACTGCAGTGACAAACTAACAAATAATTCCTATTTAAATGATCGTGCAGTCTGATTGCATTAAAATTCAGACATACCTATTCATAACACTTGTCATCTAAAGACACTTTACAGAGACAATTCAACTAGATCATTCAGTCAGATTTATTCAAAGTTTTCTATCTAAGGAAAATCAGTCAATTGCATTGACTCAGAACACAGAAAATCTATGGGTAAATCCAGATATTACAGGTGATAACTGGTTAACAGCACTGTCAACTCTGCTCAGAAATAATAGTTTTGTATTTTCAACTTATTTTCTATTTATTTATTTATTTATTTATTTATTTATTTTACCACTGATCAGTTAAGAGAATGGAGGATAGTTTCTATCTTGTCATAACACTCAGCCAGTGGCGGTTCTAGACCAAATGTACTGTATCAGGGGGCCCGGAGGGGGCCAGCCTGTTTTAATGGGGGCACAGAAAAGCATGAAACAAAAAACAGGGCAAGGGATTCGAATATATTAAGAGAGCTGCATGAAGTGAAATTTCTATTCAACTATGTTAAATAAAAAATTAGGTCTATATACATTCATAATTTAGGAAATTCTACATATTTTTCACTTAATTTAAGTTAAAATTACAGTTTTCTATCAAATATGAATAAGAACTCAAGAAAAACGGATAAATTCAGCTGTAAAAATTTATATTTTTAATATTTGAAACAAAAAACATTTAGCAGATGAAAACTGGGATGCTATCTCAATACAACGGAAGCTATCACCAGTGTTGGGCACGTAACTTTGAAAAAGTAATTAGTTATAGTTACTAGTTATTTCTCCCAAAAAGTAACAGTAACTAGTTACTAGTAAAAGTAACTATTGCGTTACTTTTGCGTTTCTTGCCCCCGTAACCCTCACCACCCGGCCCCCACCTTCTCGCCATGTGTTTCAAAAGCCAGCTGAATATATAATAAATATATAAATAAAAATAAAAAAATGTTAAAAAGCCAGCTGAATAGAGTGGACGACAAAGACAAGTACCTGCAGAGAGTTTTGCATTTATTGCAACTCAACCTAAATGACATCAGGGGGGAACGGTATCTGATGGCCCTATAAACCCCCTCAGACAGGGGGCAATCTAGAGGGGCACTGGCCCCCGTTGGCCACTGTCTAGAACCGCCCATGCACCCAGCTGAAGCGCACCAAAGGAACCCAGAGGACGCATCAAGCATTGTCCCCACCTAAAGTCTGAAGATGTTTAGAGATGATCCAGAATGTGCGAACAGAACAGTAACCCAGACAGCTGGTTGGGACAAAATGTTCACTGATAGTGTTCACTGTTCCCTGTAAGAGGAGGAGGAAGGGAGGAGGGATAGGGATAAGTGTAGAGGACAGGTTTCAAGGATCAGACCGTGGAACTGGGCGGACAGCTGCAGGAACCAAGCGGAGGAGGAGATGGTGGTAGGATAGTCACTCAGCAGGACAGCACTGCTTCCGTGGCAGGGGAGGGGGCGGGTCCACTGTCTGTATACATGCTTAGTGCACACATGGTCTCATAACAGACGGCGCGCACACGCTAAGCTTTTAGGAAGGGGGCCAGCAGAGCCGAGGGTCTGCAGGACGGAACCCGAACCCAGGAGAGCGGACCGGGAAGGATGCTCCGTTTCCAGCGCCCACACGGTATCATTATTACCTATATAATTACATATATTATTCTGACATATTACCAGCTTCTCTTATTTCATCCATTCTTCAAAATCTTGTGCAGCTGAGTTAAAGTCCGAAGTGAGCGACCTTGTGACTTAAATTGCTTCAGATTACCTCTGATTAAAAAATTAATCTCTAAATTGAATACATTGGCATAATCTGGTTCATTTTTTCTTTGTTTACGTCATTGCTGTGGTCATTTCGCGGTCGGAGTGGGGTTTGACGCCTCGAGATGTTTAATCATAACAGACCGCGACACGTGCGCTCATGCCCGTGACCCTCCCTGCGCGCGCGCGCTGCGAGGATCTACATTTGGAGATAGCCTGCTTGGCGGGAGCGTCCGTGAAGGATGGGGTCATTTTAAGGTTGTGACGACAAGTTATCGCGTGGCTTCAGCGTGGTATGAACGAAGAAAGGAGTCCAGTAGAGTGCAGCCCCCTCTTTACTTCACAAAGCGCCCTACCCCCACATGGAGGAAGGCAAAGACCAAAACAACAACAACAAGCTCTGCTGAATTTAAAGTTCCTGGGGGACGTTGGGCCCTTGGCTCCTCTGCTCTCATTCATCCACAGCTATGCCTGACATTTAAATGAGTGGTGTTTTTCAGCAGGAAAAACAAAAATAGTATATGCAAAATAAAAGAATGCTATGCAGGGAACACTTGGTGCTGAGGTGGATTTGACATCAGAGGCCAAGTTTTAATGGGTTGGACTTTCTTAGTGTTCTATTCAGTGGTAAAACAATGCGGCTCCCTGAAGCTGTAATCGATTTGATTTCCAAGCAGGAGAAATTAATAGAAAATGGTGCATCTTGTTTGTGTAGGTGCTTTTTTGTTTACTGTGCCAGACAAACAGCGATCAACTGTGTAATTTAGAAGTTCCAGGCTGTAACTAATCTAATAGAACATTACTTTCTTATTCTGAAATGTCTTGGCTGTTTCAAGGTCCCTGTAAAGAATAGGAAGTCTGAACTGTCATGCTCCGAGTTAAATAAAATTATTTAATGATGCACTTCAGTTTGTAATTTACTGGCTTCAAGATGAACAAAAACAAAATAATAGAATACATAATTCTCAGTCTACATGGAGATTTTTTGGTTCCTATTTGGGAAAATATTAAAAACCATTCCTCTGAAGCCAAACCTTTAACTGAAAGTTTTGTGTCTTGTCAAACAGAAATTGTTTATTAGGTCAGTATCCTGCAATCATTTGTTAATACATTTCATTAATGAAAAAAGAATTGAATTTTTATTCTCCAATATTACTAAAAGCAGAAGCATCACAACAAACCCTACTGCTTTTAAAACCTGCAACCGATAAACGCTTAACCTAAGAATTTTATCAGTCCGAAGTTTGAGCTCCAACACCCAAGACAAGTTAAATGGACCAGAAGTTAGAACAAGGTTGGATTTTGTCTTATTTAGTTAACAAATATTTACCCTATAGATAATTGAAGCTGTTCTACTCAGGTGTAACAGAAGGTGTAACTCAACAGATGTAACTACACCCTTAAAAAAAACTTATTTTGGTTTAGTCTGCTTAGTTTGCTTTAGTGGCGCAGTAATTAGCGTGCAGAAACAATGTCATCGACATGGGTTTGAATCCGACCTGTAGTCCTTTGCTGCATGTCTCTCCACCTTTCTTGTGAGCCCACTGTAAAAAATACGAGCCTCTTGAACTTCTTTTGCATATAAACTGTATAAATCTGGCCTTAAAGGTGTAGTGGAGGACTTTCGCGAATCTTCGAAAAGACCTGCCCTCTCCACTTTAAAAAAAAAATGCACATGCACAACCTTGTACCCGCCCCTAAAGGGAACACTTTTAAAATGCATGCTAGAGTGAGGATGAATGGGCTCATGCACTCTGTGTTTAAAAGTTTCAAAAGAAGATTTGCAATTTTTCCACTATGTCAGACTCACCACCGGTAAGTGGAAATGGGGACGAGCACGCAGGACGGCCTTATGTAAACATCATCAAAATGATTGACAGTTAGTTGGACCACTTAAAAAGAATATCCTCCACTATACCTTTAAGTGTGCTGTCTTTGAAAATGTTTTTATGGCACTAGTGTTTTTTTGACAGTAGGCTGACAGGAAAGAGGACTGAGGTAGGGAGAGAGACATGCAGCAAAGGACCGCAGGTTAGATTCGAACCCTGGTCTGCCGCGTCGAGGACTAAGGCCTCCATACATGGGTTGTCCTCGCTAACCACTGCACCACCTGCACGCCCATGTTGACATTTTTGTGTAATCTTTTTAACTCTGAGACAATTGGTGTAAAACAGTTGTGGTTCTTCTCTATATGGTATGAAACTTTAATACCATAGTTGATTTATCCTGTTGCTGGAAACTGTCCAACTTGGTGTCTATGTCATAGCCCAACTCTAAATTTAAGTTTAAAGTGAAATTGTATTGATTCGTTTTAATTAGTGTGTTGTGATAAGAATTTGAATTTGATTCTAGAAGCAACAAATTAAGATTAAATATACTTTCATTTACTTTAAGTGTCTGAATTGATACCCGGCTGCCTCTAGTTTTGGTTTGGCAGAGTTTTACTTATCAGGTAGATGCCGACTTGTTAGAAATAGACTAACTTTTGCCAAAAAAACTAAATCAGTGATTTGTTCATCTATTGTTTTGAGATCATAAGTGATCAAATGTAAAGATAAATCAAAGCTTTGACTCCAGGTTTAGATTATTTGTACAGGAAATATGTTTTAAATCCAAGCAAACCAAATCATGCGCTTTTTTCTGGGTTTTTCAGAAGAACTCATTTAGAGCACTGACACGCTGTATTGGTGATTCATACTGAGTGTTATCTCTGTAATCTAACATGTGAAGCATGAGATCTCAGCCTCCATTTTTAACGACTTTACACAAGTCAATTCTTCGCTGCAGTTTCTGTCTCATTTGACTGAATCATGTTTAGAGAGCAGTCGAGAGCATTAATCAGAGCAGCCAGTAAGCCCAGGGTAGTTCTGGAGGATGTGCAGTGAACCTCAGCTCAGGTACACCTTTATTGTTGCATTAAGAAAGCCATCGTTTAAAGAAAACCGAAAGAAGTTGTGTTCACGGTTTTTCACAAGCCACAAAGCCATCAAACACATGGAAGAAGATGATCGCGTTAAAAAAGAACAATGCTGCAATAGTTTATGTGTAAAACTCTGTGGTAGGAAACTGGTGTCACATGATTCAGATCACACCCTCCCCAGTTGATTGTATCACACGGTGCAGGAGGGTGTTTTAGCAGAGATAGGGAGGTTGGTCAGAGTTTATCGGAGGATGGATGGAGCTTAATTCAGAAAGATCTATGCAAGAAAAAGCTAATATAGGCTACAAATGTCATTCTCTGACAGACACTAAATGTTGAAACAATTTTAGAAGAACTTAGCAAAAGTCTGATTGTTTTTTTTTTTTTTTTTTATGATTAGTATGACCCAGTTGTCTGAGGCAAATTTAAGCCATAGATTTCTTCTACCTAAGCTTTGAATTAAATCCTGCATTAATGTCAGAATGGACTACCGTATTTTCAAGACCATAAGACGCACCGTACTAAAAGACGCAGTCTCAGTTATGTGTGCCATTACTGTATTTAACACACACATAAGGCGCACCGGACTATAGGGCGCAAGTTTTATATACCGGTACATATCCTCTACTATGTTTAAATGCCTCTACTGCGTATTTAAAAATAGAGCGGGAGCAAACCTTAGTATGATTTTGCTTAATTCATGTATTTATTACAAAGTATTAATCAAACCTGGGAGCTGGCTGTGAGACAGACACATCGCTGATGACACAGCGCGCTGTGATCACTCCTCTGAAACAGTTTATTGACGCATAAATTAACTTAAAATGCAGAAATCTGCCGGCAGAATATGTTCGCTTTTATTATCCTGTTGCCTGCAGTTTAGATTATTTAGATGAAAAACACCTACCAGCCGCCGTGGTGAACCGCGAGGAGGCGACCCGGCCAGAGGCTGCTGTTGAATGTGATTCCTACTGACAGTGCACCGCTGGTATGTGGGGGTCTGAGCGGCTCCGACAGAAATAATATTGGAAGGCAGGATGGTAATCTGAATGAACTGACTGCAAGGATTAAGTTTTCAGGTCGACTTTCTGACCTAAAAAACTACTTTATTCCCACTGATCACAGCCAATATAGCTGGAAGACAAAGAAAGGATAGTGAAGCTCCGCCCAACGCGCGTCAGACACACTTTTGCACCACGCAGCCAGAGCAGCAAAGGTGCTTCAGCCGCGCATCAGAACTAACTGGTACAAGCAGCAAAAATGAAGCAGCAGACGCAATTTTGCTGCTCTTGCTGTCTGGTGTGAACGTAGCATTACTTTGAACGGCCGGTTCACACCGATGTCGAGCAGTTGAAGTTCCTTTGTCAGACCTCCCGCAATAACAGCAAGCACAGCGTTCATTTGTTTCACCATGTTTTTCACATCGGCTGTGAGTCACAGATTAACAGCGATGGTGATGCGTGGAAAAAACCACCTGGTCTCCTTACATTCACCTCCCTCGGCCACTCTTTCATCATCTCCTCAATGAGGAGATGAGGAGTTCTGCATAAAGCACATACCTGTTCTTTTATACACAATCCACACCCACACTTCCCGCTTTAACGTTCTCATGGTGGTCTCAACAACGTCCGCAGTAACAACACACATAGGGCGCGCCGCACATTTTGAGGGGGAAAAAAAAGGCGTTTATATACGCCTTATAGTCGTCAAAATACGGTAATTAAAGTACTGATCTATATCCAATAGAGCAGGGGTGCTCAAGTCCAGTCCTCAAGATCCATCCTGTAACTTTTAGATGCATCTCTTCTCTAGCACCCCTTGAATCTAAACACTCAGTTCCCTCATTTAGCACAGCAGAGGCGTGGTAATGAGCCACTCACTTGATTCAGGTGTGTTAGAAAGGGTTGCATCAAAAAGTTGCAGGATAGTAGCTCTTGAGGACTGGACTTAAGCACCCCTGAAATAGAGAATCAATGAGAAGACTTAAAAACTGATGTAAACAGACCCTCTATATTCACTCTGATTGAACTTGAGTTGTTTGCCAATAAGATGAATGTTCTAAGCTTTAAGAGTATTCATTTTTTAGTTCAATTTAACGTAGATGCTTTTATTTTGGCAATCATTTGAACTCTGAAAAAAACCCATTTCCTTTAATCTGTGACATGCAAATAAGTAGCTGCTTTATGAGACCTGGCTTGACACGATCATAATAAAGCAGCTCTTCTATCAGTCATTTAGGGTTTTTACCAATACTCCACTTCCTATTTTCCAGGGCAAAGTGTAGAGCTTTGCTGACTGGACTTTATTTGGACAGTAAACATGACAAACAGACTGACCGACCAATCACACGCTCCTTGATCTCTTCGGGGAGCAAAATATCCTCTTCGGCTCCTCCCATGCCGGTGACAATGTGAGAAAGTTCAAACTCTGCATGCTTAACTGGGAAGCTCCCTGTTTCTCCCTTCTGTTAAACCGAGACGAAGCAAAGACACTGACAGAAACACACGCAGCCGATTGATTAAGCCATGTCACAGAGCCAAGCGGAACTCACACGGACCCCTCTGGAAAAGACTTGGGTTCCATGGATGAGAAGCAGGCTGAGCAAACGCAGAGGCTGTGAGTAGACATGCACCCAGACAGATCCAGCGTTATTACCCTTAGTTCTGGATCTATAGGATGACGGGGTTTAATATTTGTGCATCAAAGGAGGAGAAATCTATGGAAGCATCTGTGCATAATAACCAATTCCTTTTTTTTTTTGGAAACATATGGAAAAACCTGAAGGCCATTCACCCCAAAGGGTCACTGTGGACCCGCGTGTCCCTGCTCTGTTCTGCAGTTAACAGTAATAAGCCGAACAAATGATAACATAAGACCAGGTGCTTAGAAAGCTGATGACTGGCAGTTTAAAGTGGGGATTACATTACAGACTGCAGAATGACTCAGTGACTTAAATGTAGTTTATTCATCTCCACTGAAAAGTAACCAGGTAGCAGTAGCACGTGTTCATATGCATAATATCTAATCTGATATTATAGATTTTTACATCCTCATATTGTTTTTTATGTTAACTGTATGTTTGCTTGTTTATGTGTGGCAGCTCATCACCAAAACAAATTCCCTCTATGTGTAAAAACCAATTGGTAATAAAGTTTTTCTGATTTTGTTTCTGATTGTTTGTGGGTATTTTATTTTATTCTAAATGGTACGATTAATTTGCGAGCACTAAGTGTGAACCCCTTTCTACGGCGGTTTGTAGAGATCGGTTTTAATACTTTGATCTGTTGTGTGTTGCAGCTTCGGTTCCCCAGTTTACCAATTCCCCCACCGTGATTGTGATGGTCGGGCTGCCAGCTCGGGGGAAAACCTACATTTCCAAGAAGCTGACTAGGTACCTGAACTGGATCGGGGTCACAACCAAAGGTATCATCAGACAGCAAAACACTAAAGTAAACATCAGTTCTCTCTTATAGATTGTGTCCCAACGTCCATCCTAACCTCTAAATCAGTCAATCACTATATAGAGCAGGGATTATAAAGTGGACTTTAGAGTGAACTCAGGTAATTGACCATTTAGCCATATGATCACTACTTTTTGCTCCCCGTTGCTCACATGACCCCGCACTGTGCCTGCGCCATCTTTGTTATTTGTCACCGCTGTCAGGAAGCGACAGCACATGTCGACAGCGGGCTGCTGTGACTGCAAATCCCATAATAGTGGGATTCTGGAATATATCTGCTCGTCTAGTGACCATGGCTGATCACTATTTTTCAAAGGTGCATTGTGGGAAATTTCGAGTCCACCACTTTTTCATCCACTAGCCGTTCGGACATTCATTTAAAATGGCTTAACCACTATATAGTGCCCTATATAGTGATTAGGGTGGACATTCGGACACAGCCATTGTTTCTTTCTGAGCCCGGTAACTTTCACTGGTTCTGGATCATACCTGTGAAGTCACCATTAACACATCTTTAAGATAAGATGCATGAAAATATACACGTAGTAACATGTATGCAACTTTACTCATAACACTATAGGTATACATACACCTTCTAGAGCTGTTACTGCAAACACAGCAGCCAGACATTTGTAGCCAGACGTCATGAGTACAAACCCAACCTGGGGTCTTTCTCCATGCATGTTGTTTCTCTCAAGGTACTCCAAGTTCCTCCCTGCAAAAACTCAATCTAATCAAGTCTTAAAATCTTATATTGTGGGGAAAAAAACACTTTTTTTATCTTAGATTATTGATAATCTGCTAGAGCAGTAAGACAGTTGCACTTGGCAGGACTTTTTAAATTGTGCAGATTATTGCAGATTAATGTAGATTATTGCACTTATTTTTCAAGTAGAATTTCTCCAAAAAGAGATAAAAAATCTAACAGTATCTACTCTTGCTTAACATTTCCTTCTCAAAACGAACTCAAAAGTGCTTTTTGGATAAATATAAGAATAGTTAGAAATGGTTAGATGGAAACTTTTTGCAGTGAGATCCAACACCCCTAAAAATGACTGTTAGGTTAATGGTTACTCTAAACTACCCTTAAGTATGACAGTGTGTTAAAGTGTGCATGGTTGTTTGTCCTGGGCCCCCCTGTTACACAATTCCTGAGGCAAAGAACAGTGAAGAACAGTTTGAGCAGTAATAAACCTTTTAACATGCGTAGACATTCTTCAGATCTGAGTTGTGCTGTGCTGTGTAACCAGGCTGAGATTCTGGCGTTGACTGAAAAGCAAGAAAGTATCTATGTCCAAAAGTACTGGACGAGCTGAATCAGAGGCACCACTGCAGACCCTGAGGTTATCCACAAATATTAGAATAATGATAGAAAACTGATTTACTAGGTCAGAGGTCCTCAGATAGTAGGACACTGAGTCCTCTGGTGTATGCTGATTTTAAGCCAGGAAAGTTTTTTTGTTTTTTCATCTCATTTATTGTCATTACACTGTCACAATAACAGAGCAACGAAATGAATTATCTGAATTTATCCACCCCCTTTGGGGAGCAGCATACATGTAAAATGTTTAATTCCTGGTTTGTCAACAAGAGGGAGAGCCAACTTCACTTTCTGAGTGAAGTCTTGACTTTGTTTGGCATCTTGCTGCTTAAAAAGAAAAAAATGAGATCATTATCAGGCATTACCATTGCTTTACATGTCTCCACTGCCAAATTCTGGATGTTGTCTCTGATAAACTGCAGGCTGTGGGGTCAAGTATTAGCATTATGGCGTGTATGTATGGGATTACCACTGGGTGATATCCATAATCTCTGCAGAAATACTCACTGTATTGAGATTGGCTCCAATGATGGCGAGCTCTGTTGTTCCAGTAAGGAAGGTGACACCCCAGACTATCTCACTACCTCTACCAAAAGCTGTTTGACATTATCAAGGCCAAACAGCTTGTGTTATCTGTTGGGGAAAACTACAGTCATTTAGAATTTTAGATATTTTTCTAGAAGAATGAGAAACACAAACAGAAAAAAAAATGTTTATAATCTATTGCTATGTCAAAAATTCTTACGCCATCTAAAACATTTGCATATTTTCCATCAGCCAACCATTGTCTGTAGGGTTGCAAGTTGATTTTTATCTTTGATTTTATTTGCACTGTGTAGCACTTTGAGATTTTTGTTAATGAAAAGTGCGGTACAAATTGGATTGATTATTATTATTATTATTATTAAGTTCCTTTCTCCTGCTTTCATTGGCTGAAATAAAGCTTATCATTTTGTAGCCGATTTAAAAAATTTTGTATATATAGTAGGGTTGCACGATATAATCGGCCCCCTATCGGTATCGGCCTGTATCGGCCTTAAAACTGAATATCGGACCGATATTTAACCCAAAATTTGATCAGCTTCTGAGTTTCTAAAGTCTAAAAAAAAAAAAAAAAAATACTACTTCTTCTTCTTCCTCAAAAAATTCTTTTTTACAGACTTAAAAACTTCTAAAGACGAGGGAAAAATATTGATACATTAAAATATCACAATATCTTCATATGCCGATATATTGCCATTTAAAAACACCATATCAATCTATTTTACTAATGAAATATTGCTATATGTCATTGTTATGCTACGAAATCCCCCGAAAATTCATGAAATTTTGCCATATTTTTATATGTTGATATATTGACGCGGTATCGATCTATTTTACTAACAAAATCTCACAAGAATTTGCAAAATATCACGACAGTTTGTAACAGAACAATTAAATTTCACGAGATTTTGAAAGTAAAATAGATCGATACCGCGTTTTTAAAAATCAATTTGATATCAGCATATGAAAATGTATTTGAGTTTATTATTTTTCAAAGTGTCAGAAATGGATAACAAAACTGCTATTTTCAATGACTACTTATTTTTGTCCAGCTTTAACATCGGTATCGATATCGGTTATCGGCTACATGAGATTTAAAATATCGGCATATCGGATATCGGCAAAAATCCCAATATCGTGCATCCCTAATATATAGTACATTGTATATGCCTACGGTAGCAAACCGTGGTACGATCTTAAGCATCCAACCATTGAGGAAATAAGGAAAAGAGAATTAAAATAAAACAAAGGAGGTAGCAACACAGAGCAGATGTGTGAAAAAAGTGGAAATTCCAAGATGAGTTGTGAAAAAGTGCAAAAAATCTATTGGAGGACAAGAGAAGAAAGACAGGAGAAGTGCTCAGATTGCATTAACTTAGTGTTAACTGAAGCTGGCAGATCAATGGATGCCAGATTACTTACTGCCACTAGATGGCGATGGCTTTAACCAATGTTCATGTCTGCTGTTTGTGTGCAGCGCAAATATTCTTTTAAGATTCAAAAAGGAATAAGTAAACACTATCAGAACAAACATTGGCACATATTGTTTTATTTGAGGATATGGATGTTTACATGTTTCATAGTACATGACTAGGCCTCTTTAATTTTTTTTATTATCTTCATTGTGTAAAAAAACATTAAAGTAGAGGTTTCTTGGCAATTTTATTTCAGTTATATCTATTTATTTTATCTAAATCTAAACAAGTTAGTTGCTTAATAAAGTTTTGTTTCAGACTCAGTCACTGATTTTCTTATTTGTAAAGTTCTAACTGGTCTTTATCAATAATAAAGTTGTCATTACATTCAAAATTGAATATGGTGTACTATGTAAACACAAACATAAGGTATAATTAAGCATTCCAAAGATTAAGATATACCACTACAGCACTGATCAGCAGAGAGGGTTTGAACATTTTCTAATGAGTAGAACCTGTATTTTTATTTTGCTGCTAAATCCAGAAATAGATTCTCCCTAAAGTTGGGGCATAGTTAAGGAGGATATATACACTTTTTGTGGTGAGGTTTACTGCCAAGAGGCCAAATGTGTCAAAGAGAAACAAATCCTACAGAGAAGATCCAAGGCACTCAACTTGGAACGTGATTTTAAACATTTGGGTGTTTGTTGAAATTGATTGCAAGGTAAAAAAAAATCAAATAAAATACGGTCAATAGTGTAACTTTCAATGTAAAGAATTTAAGACTGATCCAAGTTGACACTTGAACAAGCTAAGTTGTGTTTTAATTCTATGATTATTTCACATATGACTTACCATATGACAAGTTGGAAACTTCCTAACACACTGAGTCAATATATATAAAAATATAATTTAATACGCTACCCACCCACCCCCAAACAAAAACTCACATACACACACTTGTTGTGTCACACTATCCTTGTGGATTGCCTTCCATTCATTCCAACCATGACCCTTGCCCTAACCCTAACAATTACCAACACATAGCTGACTCTAAACTCAATTCACACCTTAGTTATAAACCTTAACCCCACCCCAAGAACACAACTTCTCCTCATGAGGACCAGTCGTTAGTCCCTCGAAGTACCTATTAGTCCCCAAAATGTTTCATATTCCTGGGAAATTGTCCCCACCAGGTAACAAAGACATGACCCCCACACACACACACGCCACACACACTGACACGTTTCTCTATCCATTCATTTCTAACCCATTTCTACAACCTGATCATCTATCCATAACCCAATACACATCTTAGCATTTGTACCCATGAGGGCCAGAGGTTGTTCCCAATGATGAAAGAAATATGCGCCCACACACACACACACATATATATATATTATGTTATGTTTTTCATTGTAATTTTAGGTGTGTTAGAATTCCGTAAAAATGCAAAAAAATATCACATGTGAAAACATATGATCTCCAGGGAGCTTTCTCAATTCAAGAATTGAGAAAGCTTCCTGGAGAGGTGGCGAAACGTCTTCAAAATCTTGGAAACCAAGTCCAGTGGATATTTTTTTGAATTTTTACGGAATGACTATGACCTGGATGACTGAGAACCTTCTTCAGCAGAAGGTGTGTTAAAAGTTAAAAAAGACCAAAATTGTAAATGTGGCGAACAGCTAATTAGATCAACACACAATAGTGAAAAGATAACATTGTGTAACATTATGTTTTTGTGTTTTTTTAGTATTTAATGTGGGACAGTACAGAAGAGAAGCCACACAATCCTACAACAGCTATGAATTCTTTAAACCCGACAACTTAGAGGCCATGACGATACGCAAGTATGAACTTTAAAACAGTCAACAATCTTTTCTACACATTAAATAAAATATTTCATCTACTATTATAATCACTTTTAAAATAACTATCAATTTAGCAGGAATTCATGCCTTATTTTACTAATCAAGCATTTAATTATACTATCTCTAAAATAAGGACTTTTCTTTCCTTAAAAGAAGCAGAATAAGTTTTTCCATGCTTTTATCATTAGGAGACCTGATCATTGCACTGCTGCTTTAACTGGTTGCTCAACAAAAACTCATCAAAAATGTTAGTTTGACCACAGTTAGGTTAGGAATGATTTCATTCAGACTGAAGTACTTTGAAAGCATAACTAACTGGGTCTCAATCAAATGAAGGTTTAGTCCTGTTTTATAATTATATTTTGTTCTGTTTACCTGTGAATACAGTGCCTGTGTAAATACGGCCCTAAAAGATGTATGTGACTACCTGAACAGGGACCGGGGCCAGGTTGCGGTGAGTTTACTCTAAGTTATTTCTACAAACAGGTTTGTAAAAAAATAAAAACAGGACTGAAAATATCCATCCATCTCTTCTACTCTTGAAAATTTTAAATTTAAATAGTTTGACCTTGAAATTATTCAAATTCTCTTTAAGTCATAAGCTGAAATGTTTGTTTTCTAATTGTTATTTATAAATATCAGATATCTTTTTTCCTACTTGAAGGTTCTTGATGCCACTAACACTACTCCAGACAGAAGAGAGGTCATCCTCAATTTTGGCAAAGAAAATGGTTACAAAGTTAGTTTTTGTTTTTAGGTTTTGCATTAAATTGTCAACATCTGTGTCGAAAAACATAATTCTACAGTTTCCGTGTCCTTCCTCTGCCTGTTTAGGTGTTCTTTGTGGAGTCAATATGTGATGATCCTGAAATCATTGCTGAGAACATTAAAGTAAGAATGAATGCGGTTTAAATTGTTATTTTAGTGTAAATTAAACAAATGTAAATTAGAAAAAAACTAAATAAATCAAATTGAAGGGGACACATCCAGAATCTTGGGTGTACTAAGAATCTTTTATCTATCTTTAAACAGCAAGTGAAGTTGACGAGCCCAGACTATGTAGGCTGTGATAAAGAAGAAGCTCTTGCAGACTTCCTCAAAAGGATTGAATGTTACCAGATGACCTACGTTCCCCTGGATGACAACAAGGACAGGTAGTTGCATGGCAAGCTTCTTCCACGGTTCCCCCCCTTTGCACAGGCGTCCTTCACAATGCATACCTTCATTTATGTAACAAGTCGATTCAAATTTTTACACACAGGGAATGATTGTGGTTCAAAGTGTTCATAATTTTCACATGTTGAAAATTTAAAAAAAGCTAACCGCACCAAGCTGTGCTGTGCTGCAGAACAGTACGGTGGCCCTGAAGTGCAAACTGCAACTACAAATCTAAAAGCGCAACTATATTAAGGAAATCGCAACTACATAAAGCAAAGCGCAACTACATTAAGAAAAACAAAACTATATAAAGCAAAGCTCAACTACATTAAGAAAAACAAAACTACATAAAGCAAAGCGCAACTACATTAAGGAAATCGCAACTACATAAAGCAATGCGCATCTACATTAAGAAAAACAAAACTACATAAAGCAAAGCGCAACTACATTACGAAAAACAAAACTACATAAAGCAAAGCGCATCTACATTAAGGAAATCGCAACTACATAAAGCAAAGCGCAACTACGTTAAGGAAATCCCAACTACATAAAGCAAAGCGCAACTACGTTAAGGAAATCCCATTTACATAAAGCAAAGCGCAACTACATTAAGAAAAATAAAACTACATAAAGCAAAGCGCAACTACATTAAGAAAAACAAAACTACATAAAGCAAAGCGCAACTACGTTAAGGAAATCCCAACTACATAAAGCAAAGCGCAACTACATTAAGAAAAATAAAACTACATAAAGCAAAGCGCAACTACATTAAGAAAAACAAAACTACATAAAGCAAAGCGCAACTACATTAAGAAAAACAAAACTACATAAAGCAAAGCGCAACTACATTAAGGAAATCCCAACTACATAAAGCAAAGCGCAACTACATTAAGAAAAATAAAACTACATAAAGCAAAGCGCAACTACATTAAGAAAAACAAAACTACATAGTTGCGCTTTGCTTTATGTAGTTTTGTTTTTCTTAATGTAGTTGCTCTTTGCTTTATGTAGTTGCGATTTCCTTAATGTAGTTGCGCTTTGCTTTATGTAGTTGCGATTTCCTTAATGTAGTTGCCCTTTTAGATTTGTAGTTGCAGTTTGCACTTCAGGGCCACCGTAGAACAGCCTCTTTACACTAGACTGCTAATGAGTTAAACAAATAGAATAATAACCAAATAAGTAGGAGGTCTAAAAGTTAAAGGAGTGGAATTGATCAGATCTTTTTAATTACTGACAGTGCTCTTGTTTCTCTTTACACAGGAGGTTATCTTACATTAAAATCTTTAATGTAGGCAGCAGATACCTGGTGAACCGGGTCCAGGACCACATTCAAAGCAGAATAGTCTACTACCTCATGAATATTCACGTGACACCGAGGTCCATCTACTTGTCTCGTCACGGGGAGAGCGAACTCAACCTCGTGGGCCGGATCGGGGGGGACTCCGGGCTTTCCCAACGAGGGGCAAAGGTGAGGAGTCAGCGCTTTGCTGGGACCTTCTACCTATGAACCATGTTTAAGGTTAATTCACAGAAAGTTTTTTCAGCACCAACAGACCCCAGAGCAGTGAAGACAGCTCTGGCCAGGTTGCTCTATTTTTTGTCTTTGTGGTGTTTTTTTTTATCTATTTTTTTACATGTCCTGTTGCAGCTAAACAGGCGTACCATATGGAGCAGATAGTGGAGCACATGGGCTGTTTTCAAAGGGTGTTTGAAAACAGCATCCTGATTGCAGGCATAACATCATTAAATTCAATCCAGTATCAAAGTAGGCAGACCACAATAATTTTATATTACCCTGTATGACCTTTAAGGTACGCCAGGCAGAGGGAGCTCTTTATACCCTTAGAGGGGCAGTTAGCAAAAGGGAGGGACACCCAGCAGCCTTCATCACCCTCAGTCAGCCATTCCACCTATCAACACATTATTGTGGCAAAATTCTGGTCATAAAAACAATTTTGATTTATCATCTAAATAATACATTGGAATTAGTGATGATACAAAAAAAACATTAAATGGGTGACTTTTTTTTTTCTTCTTTCATTGTTTACTATTGAGTCACTGGCAAATTTGAAGAATACAATTCAATGCTGTAACTACAGGATGTTTATTTATATAAATCACAGTTTTTTTATGTAGCTGGTGTCCTAAAGATGTTTTATATTTTAATATTTTTTTTCAACAGTACCAAATTCAAGAAATTATTGAAGAGCATTTTATAGTCAATGTTTATTGTTATCACAAAAGTACCAGGAAATATCTTGATAAGATTTGAAGGCCATATCGCTCACCCTACCATACAGTAATTAATGGTCTATATTAAGTTTTTATGGGACAAACAACTGTTGTTGTTCACTTCTTGTTATCAAATTTACACTTTTATTTTTTCACTCTTCAGAATCAAAAAAATGTTTTAAGCATCTGGTTAGTTGTTGATCCCCCTATAAGTTTTTGCATTGCAGTCTTATAACCCCCAATCGTTATAATATTGGCCAACTTTGGTAAAGTATTTTGGGGGTAGATGGGTAATCAGTCATGTAGATTATGCAGAAAGAAAGAGTGTGGGATAAGAACACAGCCCTGGGGTGCACCTGTGTTCAGGATTAGAACTGATGATGTGGGGTGTTCTTATTTTATGTAACCTTTGTCAGCAATTACTAAATCCAAGGTTTAGAACAAGCTAGTTAAAACTGTTTATAGGTTTATTAGAGTACATGTTTCGAGCTTAAGTGTAAATAAATTAGATCCTGGCTCATAGCTTGTGTTGGATACTCATTATGAGCCGAGGCTGTGCCTGCTGTATCTATACCCCCTTGTTTTTGTTTGATTCATTGTAAACACCGTTCTGGAGAAGCACTCCTAGTTTTACTGTGACCAAAGTACACAGATAAAAGCGTCTTTCAGTTCAGCGCAGATAACAAACCAACAATAATTGTGAAATCAGAATTCCAAGTTGAAGAATATTTATCAAATTATCAATAGAAAAATTAACTAAAGATTAAGTTTTACTAAAAGAGATTCAGAGTGCAAACAGGAACTCTCAATAGAAAAAAGTGTTGCATATTGCAATAATTCAACCTAGAATGAAAAAAATGATTTTCCTTTGTGTGCCTAATAGTTTGCCAGTGCTTTGGGTACATACATGCGTGGGCAGTGCATCAGTGACCTCAAGGTTTGGACGAGCCACATGAAGAGAACCATCCAGACTGCAGAGGCCCTGGGAGTCCAATATGAACAATGGAAAGCCCTCAACGAAATAGATGCTGTAAGACCAAAAGCCTCATCGCCATCAAGCTGTTGAGGAAGTCTTGCTTTCAGTGATGAATTTATGAATCTAGCATGACTTAAAATTTTACTAGAGTATGGAGAATGCTTCGTTTTATCCATTTTTTTAAATAAAATCCTCTCATAGATTTTGAGTTTACATCGCTAATTTGAACATAGATGAAAAGGACATAAATATCATACATAACATAGGAGTTGAAACTTTTTTGTCACGTTGTCGTGTATATCACAGCGATACAACAGAGCACACATCTTGGATGCTTTTTAACCTGATCTTCTCCATACAGGGAGTTTGTGAGGAAATGACTTATGAGGAAATTCAGGAACACTACCCTGAAGAGTTCGCACTGAGGGATCAGGACAAGTATCGATACCGTTACCCTAAGGGAGAGGTGAGTCTGCTGAGCTCAACAGAGAGAATTGTCCGTTAAAATTAAGCAAAATGCTGACCGAGGAATAAAATAACATAAAATATGCATATATTTTAATATCATTTAACCTTTATTTTTACAGAAAATCTGTGAAATAACCAGTTTTTAAAGAAACAAAAAAAAACTTGATATAACTGAAACTCTTTCTAGAGAGCTCACTACCCTCTGGTGGCCATTTTTGGAACACCTTTTATCTACTTGATTTTGTCCAAACAGAAGTCTTTGGGTCTCTCATGGCTTGTGGTTGTATCCTGTTACAGTGGAAATCTGCCAGTCCACATGTGGAGCCCTTAAGGCAGATCAGTCTTTTATTATTTTACAAATAAGATAAAATAACATTTTAAAATCATGGTCTTCAGATAGGTTTTCTACTCTCATACATTGATATATCTACTGCACCTATGTGTGAACATTTTCATTCCTGTTCCTTTTCGCTAGTCTTATGAGGACCTCGTCCAGCGTCTGGAACCGGTCATCATGGAGCTGGAGAGGCAGGAAAACGTTTTGGTCATCTGCCACCAGGCTGTGATGAGATGTCTGCTGGCTTACTTCCTGGACAAGAGCGCAAGTGAGAGGAACATAAGCTGAAAATCATGCACTAATATTCCATTCTGATTAAATCAATCTAATATTTCTGCTTCCCTGTGTTCCAGTCGAGCTGCCATATCTGAAATGTCCTCTGCACACCGTTCTGAAACTCACCCCAGTGGCCTACGGTCAGTCTCTGTTGCCTGATAAGAAGTCAGGCTCAGAACATTCTGCTCTGGTTATCTGAGGGGTTTCAACACCTCTGTATTTGTTCCCCCTTCAGGGTGTAAAGTTGAGTCTGTCTTTCTCAACATCGAAGCTGTGAACACACACAGAGACCGGCCAGAGGTAAAGTACCTGCACCATCTGTTGGGTTACATAGTGTTACATGTGACACAGCTGCTCCCACAGCACCTGAAGCATGGGGGACAGAAATGGGTTTTTAGTTCTAATGAAGGCATCCTGCAGGAACCACTACCATTTTCATCCCTACTGTTAAAGTGATGTCTTTGTGATCTGGTGAGGGTAAGGGGACTCTCTAACTGCAAAAACCGTTTCTGACATTAAAATGTTTCAGATACGTAATAAATAAATCAGACAAAAATAACCTGAGGAGATAGCTAAAGCAGTTTATAGGTGCTTATTCAATTTACTAAGCCAAACCTGTCTGAAAAAGAACTGGTTGCGCCACCTTCTGGCAGAAACAACGGCTACACAATATTTCCATCCAGGTCTTTAGATGGCAAAGCAGCCCCACATCATTACACCACCACCACCGTGCTTTACTGTAGATTTAATGCTCTGTTGCTGAAATGCTTTGTTCATTCGAGGAGTGGCGGCCTAGTGGTTAGGGCACAGGGCTTGGAATCCTGAGGTTGTGAGTTTGAAACCCACTGGGTCTTTGAGCAAGACCCTTAACCCCTGATTGCTCCCCAGGTGCTGCACAGTGGCAGCCCATTGCTCCCCAGAGGGAATAGGTAAAATGCAGAGAGTTAATTTCTCCATTGTGAGATCAATAAAATTAAATGAGGTGGAGAGATGCACAGTTTTTAGGTTCCACTTTTGTTTAGTTTTTTTTTTGTCCACAAACTGATTTTTGACCAACGGTCTTTAGGGTCAATAGTTTGTGGGTTATTCGTAAATGTGAGACCGACCTTTTTATTCTTTTTTAACTCTCCCATAGAGGTGATTTTTGTCTTCGATGGACATTTTCTGACCTCCTGTCAGTGTTGTCTCTCCATTTTTGGAAATAACTTGTTGTGGTGAACACTTCTTGGAAGGGTCTCCACTCTTCCATGTTGTAATATGGTTCTCTAGAGTTCCAAAATCTTAAAAATGGCTTTATAAGCTTTACTGAACAGATTTTATTCCTTATCCATGTTGCTTTTGGAGTTAATTTACCCTACTTCCTGATGTTGGGTAGGTTCTATTTCAGTAATTTTATCATTCTACAGGTTTGGCAATGATCAGTCCTGGTTTGGTTTAATCCTAGTGAATTCATGATCCAACCAAGTAACACAAAAACTATTCACTTTTTTTTTTTTTTTTTTACATATGGCCAGGTTGGGCAAGATAACTTTTTTCCTGAAATAAAAATAAAAACACTTTTTCTCAGTTTTTTTGTTTTTGATGTTAAAATTATTTAAAAGATTTAAGTATGACAAAAACCAAAAAAAGAAATGAGTGTTTTACTTTTGCTCTTAGGGTTACAGACAAATGAAACTGTTCAAAGTTAAAAGCATGGACGCTGAACTGAAAAATGAAGTAAAGAGCAATAAAACCACCAGAGTTTTCCTTTTAAATTGTGCTTTTGTTTATTAAAATCAGACAGACAGCTTAAGTTTGTCTTTCTCAGAACGTGGATGTGGACAGAGACCCAGAGGAGGCGCTGGAGACGGTCCCTGAGCACATCTAGAGGACATCTCACCTCAGCCTTCATTCTCTTCAGAGAACATATCTTATTTTTAATTTAACTAATTCAGATTTTTAGAAAATCGAAAGCTTAATGACAAAGAAAAGTTTCTTCGATGGCATCTTAATTCCATTGTTGGTGCACTTTATATGGTCCAGGCTGGGGTGGTCTGTGACAAAAACTGTTTTAAATGTGAAAAACTGACTAGATGACCTGCATGGCTGCTCAACTGTTGGTAAACTGTTTTACACTTCATCACTTCACCCTGTGCTGTTGTATTAACTTTTGTGATTTTCACTTAGGAAGCAATAAGAGTCGAGGTAAGCCATGGTGTCACGTTTAACTGTTTAGTGTTAGATTTGAAACTGTTGTTAAAGAACTGCCTGTTCTGTTATCAAACTTCCCAGCAGAGCCTGAGATCAATGCTTCAGTTTTCCTTAGATTAACGAGGTTAAAGCACTGGTTCTCAATCCCATCCCTCAGGACTCGCTGACCTGCATCTTTTAGGTGTCGCCCAGCTGCCCCACATCTGACCTAAACAAATGGATCATTAACATATTTCTGCAGCACTTAAAGGCATGCTGAGGAGCCATTTCAGTGGTACTCAGCTCCAGTCCTGAAGGGCTACTATCCTGCAGCTTAGGATGGGGATGGAGGGTTGGAGTCTGTTGTTTGACAGCTAGAAGGTTGTAAGTTTAAAGCTTCTTTCCAGAGTCCTAATGCCAGCGTTTCTCTCTATTTGGATGCTGAGTCGATCTGTTATCAGGCCTCAGTCACATACTAAGTATCTGATGACTTTGATCATTAAATCTTTGTTACAACTAGTTCAGTTCAAGGATACCAGGGGCGAAGTCTACAGTAGCCTAGAAGGAACAGATGACTAATTAAAGGTACACTATGCAACCGGTGTTGATTTTCCAGCGAGACTCCCCCCAGAGGGCGAAAGTAAAAGTGCACTGTCGTAAATATGCACAGCTGTTCTCCTGGTTTCTCCGTCAAGCCAGGCGCGGTTGTTTTGAGCTTAGCAGACAGGCGAACGCAACGAATGACTAATGCTGCGTTCACACCACAGCTGGCGCGACAGAAGCAGCGAGTTTACATGCAAAGTCAATGGTTGACGCGCGTCAAGGCGCAGCAAAAGGTCCCGCGGCTCGTTTTGAGCAGCAGGCCCAGTGCGTCTGAGCAGCTGAAGCAGCGCGTCGGGCGCGTTTAATCATCTGACGCAGGGAGAGAGACACAGCGCTGATGATCAGAGGCTATGATCTCTCCTCTTAAACAGTTTATTGACGCCTAAATTAACTTAAAATGCAGAAATCTGCCGGCAGAATATGCAGTTTGGATTATTTAGATGAAAAACACCTACCAGCTGCCGCGGTGAACCGCGAGGAGGTGACCTGGCCAGAGGCTGCTGATGAAGGGATTCCTTCTGTCGGCGCACCGCTGGTATGTGGGGGTCTGAGCGGCTCCGACAGAAAAAATATTGAAGGCAGGATAATAATCTGAATGAACTGACAGCACTGATTACGTTTTCAGGTGTATTTTCTCATTTAAACACATATTAAAACTACTTTATTCCAAATGATCACAGCAAATATAGCTGCAAGGCAGAGAAAGGATAGGGAAGCTCCGCCCAACGCGCGTCAGACACACTTTTGCACCGCGCAGCCAGAGCAGCAAAGCTGCTTCAGCCGCGCGTCAGAACTAACTGGTACAAGCAGCAAAAAGGAAGCAGCAGATGCGATTTTTCTGCTTTTGCTGCGTGAACGTAGCATAACGGCACAAGGATCGCCACTGTGCTAGCAACGAGAATGCTTTTAACTGGGGGGTGTAGCAGTTCTCGCCGTAAAGCAAGACTGACTCTCACGAGACTTCTGACCCTGTGGGTGCGGGTCGGTGCTCCTGCAGTTGCAAGTGCGGTATTTCCCCCACAGACCACCAGGGCGGCCGAGAATACCTTTGTTCGACCTGAAATGACTCATTTAATCATCCAAAACGTTATGGAACACATTAATTAACTGAAAAATGTTGCATAGTGTGCCTTTAAGTCATGACAGGGCCTTTGTGTTTGTTTTTTACCGTGCCTTTAAAAAGTATTATTTCCATTAGAGATACTTTTCATCCTGTTTTATGTATCTGGAATTTAAAAAAAAATGTAGTTTGATAGATTATCAATCCTCTGAAGGTGCTTAAACACTTTTATTGTTTAAAAAAAAGACATTAAAGGTGAAAACTGTTGTGCACAAGTTATCCTTATGCATGGATATCAACTTTCAGTAGTAAAACGTGTCTCCATGTTTTGTGGACTGTTAAAAGTTCCAGCTTATCCCAGTGGAAAAGTGGATCTCTGCAGGAATCTGCCTGTTTTAAAATCATCCAACATTCCTTCATTGTTTACCAAACATCTGCCCCTTCAGCAAACCGTCTGCTTCTGCCACCACCATGCTTCAGTGACAGGAAGATGTTCTCATGGTGATGTCAACCATTACAGAATTTATTATATATGCTTTTGGAGAAGTTCCCATTCTTCAGGGATATGGCTCAGCAGCAGTAGATGGGTTGCAGCTGTAACAAGTATATCCTTTAGTTCAATAGAACACTGTTGAAAAGGATGACCTATTATTTTAACTTCAGTACATTTTAAATGTCCTGCATTCTTTCTTTAAGGTGAAATTTGAGAAGGTTTTTATTATAGTGAGGCAGCCTGGGTTTCATACAGCTGGCTGGCAGTGTGCAGCTTTCAGCTTTCCATCCATAAAGCTGCTATCAGAACAGCAGCTTTATGGATGGCTTTATGCCATTAACCGTCCAGTACTTATCAGTGCTAAACCCCAGTGTTCTTTCTAAATGTTTGTTTTTGTCAATGATTGTCAAACTACGTACACTCAACTAGCAACCGTGGGAAAAGAGTTTTAGCAGCGAGACACTGTCTTATGTCTACAAACCCTTCTGTAGGAACCAAAAAATAAAAAAGTGGAGAATAATTTCACCATGGCTAGAAAATGAGAATCTTTCCTGGAGCCCAACCGCTCCTCTGTGCTACACAGTGGAAACACCAAAGCTGCTAAATTCTGATCTGGCATCGGTTACACCATTTCCAAGTTTGTTGGGGTTTTTTCTTTCAATCCACTAATAAGTTAATTTTAGGAAAAAAAGTAGCAAACAAGAGGCCATTTTTGGAAGAAAAAAAAATGCAGATCTGTTAAGCGAAGTGATGAATATTTCAGATTGTTATGATTGGTCAGCTGATGCATCAAGCAAACTTTCCTCTAATAAACAACAGCTTCCAATTCAGGAAAACAAGTTTTATTTTTTATTTCAAGCCTCTTTAGCTCATTAAAGGGTCTAGATGTATACTTTTCTGCTGTAATATTTCAAAGATTGTTACCAGCATTCCTTCCAGTGATTTTCTCCTGTTACTGTGGTACCAGAACATTAAACCAATAAATGTACTCCTCTTTTACGACAGCGTATTTCTAAAACCCCAAACTTCCAAGAAAAAAAAGCAACAACAAAAAAAACTTACTTGATCCCAAAGGGATATAACCATAGCAAGTCTCATACTTTAAAAATAAAACTAAACGAGACAATTTTTGTCATAAATATGAGTTATAACTCTACCTATATAAGTCATTAGTTGAAATGACATTTTAGAAAAAGAAATGCACTAAATATACCTAGAATTTATCAGTCACAACATCACTGCATTGCAAAAACCAAAAAAAAAAAAAAAGGCTGTTAAATATTTGGTCACATTTAAAAATAGCATGAAAACTTTTAGGTGGTGAAGTCATTAGGAGTTATTTCAATCAATAAATATATTTTCCAGCAGCTTTCCAGGCAGTTATCCGTTTTCCAAGAACCCAAAGCAGGAGGATCAAAGCACTGTAATCATTTTTCATTTATCACATCACATCTGACAACATTTCCCGAATGTATTGCATGTAATGGATCAATCTCAATCCCTACTCTGAAATTGAACATGCCTCACATAATTATGAAAGTTGAAATAATGACTTTGAGACCAATCGTTTTTATATGGTTTTTGATTTCTTTGAAAATGCAGAAACAGGCTCCTGAAGCTCTTCCTGATTTACCTGAAATCTGTTTTTAAATTCTACCTGTGGATTTCTGTTGCACTTGTGCACTTTTTAAAACCCATTTGCAAAGCTACTGCTTCATAAATGTATGGTAACTTCCAGTAAATGGTCGATTGGTTAGAACCAGCTTTTCTCTAAACTTTTAATTAGGCTGTGATTTTTCTTTACTTCACTTTCATGGTGTGTTTTTTTTTAATCATGATCTTAGCATTTCACCTCTGTATCTCAGTCAATCACTGTAATTTACTTTTAAGAACCCGGGTCTTTAAAACTGACTGCCTAACAGTGAAACATTGTTCACATTTGTTGTACAAGCTGTTGTTGTTGTAGCCATGCTGTGTGGATAAAAATAGGTGCCTGAATCAACTTCATGTTTGTACTGTGGTTATTTTTGAATTCCTGAAGTTATTCTGGAAAAAATGACACTTTGTTAGAATCTAGTCCAGATTTATCAGACAGAAACTATAGATTGAAAGTGATAAATTAACTCAACAGGTTCCTTAAATCTAATTTTTCTCTTCTGATAATATGGACAGTGATATCAGGGGAGCTTTTTCACACCCAGCTTCTTCAGAGACGTTTGTCATCATTTTATACCCATTTGTAAAAAAAAAAAAAAAAGAAAATATTTTATTTTTGCTAAACTTTACAAAAGCTAATAAAGCCTTTTACAAATATTTATCCAATTACAAAATCTAGTTAAGTTAAAAACATTGAAGCCTCACAACAATTGTGAGATGGCAGAAACTTCTGACCACGTCTGACCTCTGCAGCTTTGATGTACACCAAAAATAAACAAAATCTGGAGTAAATTCTTAAAATATTTCAAACACGTTGTTTTCCACACTGATGTTTGATCAGCGTCCAGACCGAGGTCAACTTTGGAGCTTTTACCAAGATGATGAGAAGCTGATAGCCTGGTTTAACTGGGCTGAAACTGGCAGCATGTCTGGAGAGTTTTTAGGAATGAATGAAGTTATTTTCTGCTGGTGCTGGCCTGGCTGGAGCTGGCGTTTTGGGACGAGCTGGATCCAGTGTGAGCTTCTCTGTACTGCTGACTCCAGCTCCGAGGATCCTGTTCATGAAGCTGAGGAAGTGAAACAACAGATTATCATCAGTTAAACAACCTTATGAATTGAATCTGATAGGAGTGCAGTTTGCTCATTGAAAAGAAAATACTCACCTGACCCATAAACTCAAGGATTTGAGCTTTGGACACCTCCATGTCGGCCCGATGACCCCAGCGGAATTCATACTCTATTGGTTCTGTGTGTGGGATTCTAGTATACTCCAAGTATCTGCAAACATTAGCTTAATTAAATTAGAAAAATTGTAGAATATCAAACATTATTAACCAGGAATTACAGATGATGCAGGTTAAAAAAGCCTGATGTACAATGAGAAGTGGTCCACCACATCCTGGACGCATAATGTTTGAAGTGTGTGTAACAGCCAGACCCTCTAGCTGTGCTGGCTGCTTCCACTCTTCAGTTAATCTGTGGTGTGGTATAAACCAGAGTCTATGGTCTGACAGAAACTGGCTCTGAACACACCAGCTCATTACAATACAGTGACTTGGGTTGGATTTGAACCTGTGACATCCCGATAGGAAGTCTAAGTATTAATGACCTGAGCCACAGCTGGATAACAGGTAAATGTGTGTTGTCTATGTGGTGAAACACTAAATCCCTTTGGTTTCTTAGGAACAGGAGTAATTCCTACCTCTGACGCACAAATTCTTCTGTGACAACCTTCCTCATATCACCAAACTCCTCATGTCTCTGGCTGGAAAGGTTTTTAATCAGAATATAGATTTTAATTTGATGAGAGACAGCAAGGTTACATAATTCTCCATAATCAACCTACTTAAAAAATAAAAATCTTGCCTTACCCTGGATCAACTCGGAGTTTCTTCAGAGTGTTCCAAATTTGGTCTAAGAAAACAACAATTTTAGTCTGATTTTGTCAAACAAATAGTCACTGCATCCATTAACAGCAGAAGTATAACTTGGAGGCCATAGTTCGACAAACAAATTAAACTCGAAAAGCAGCAAAGTTCATGTCAGTCACGCACGCATAGATCAGAATCGGCAAAAGCTACAAAAAATAATACCTTTTTACACCTCTGGTGTTCAATTAATTAAAACTAGACAATTATAGTAAAATAAAAGAGTGATTTATCAAAACAGTCTAAAGTTTAAAGATTTCTAATGCAAGCCCCATGGCTTGCATTAGAAAGAACCAACAAGATAATAACTCCACTGCTCCTTTTGACTTTCTTTAGCATCTTAATTTAACAAAGCTAGGGTTACCGAGCCTCTGCTTGTATTTTATAAACAGTTCATTCATTTCAACAATACTTTTTTGATCTCAAAGTAAAATAAAAAAAATTCAGTTGAACATTCTTTTTACTGAGGTTTCCTAAGGAATGACAACATTGTCTGATCCAGGTTCAAGTGGCAATAAGTACACTACACTGCACCCCCTTTTAAACACTATAGATACATATAGAAAAAAGATAAGCCTGTCATACAGCACCAAGTACAGTTTGCAGCTCCTTGCAGAGAGAGCAACATATTTGCAGAAGGATTGACTATCATCTAAACCAGAGGTCTGCATCATTTCAGAGCCATTTTGCCCTGAATCAGACTAGGGAAGTCATACAGAGCCTCAAAATACTACACAATTTTTTAATAAAACAAACTATTATTTTCGTCAAATATCTACAATAGGAAATCTGTTGCCCTCTTTAACAACCCACAATTTTTGTATTTTTAGCTTTTAAAGTAAGGAAAAACATTCTTAAATGTAAAATAACGATAATAATAAAACAGAATTTCCAAGCTAATTAAAAGAAAAATAGCTCTTAAAACATTTTTCTGTTGTTTTTTTTATAATGGCACTCAAAAAAAAAAATTCAATTTTAAATATTCCTAATAAAATCCACTACAGCTTCTGTATATTAAAGCACATTATTTTGTTCTTCTTATCATGTATAACCCTATTAAGAGCCATTGTAAAGGGTCCAAAGAGCCACGTTTTCTCAAAGGTTGCCAAAATGGTGTTTTGTTTTTTAAGAAACCCAACAAAGGTGCAATTAGTCCGTTTTATAAAGAAACAAAGCATCATGTAACTCACTCTCTCTGACAATGCCTCCTTTCATAAAAATAACACTCAGGATCACAAACAGCAGACCTGTTTTTGGGTTGCTTGGGCATCTATGAACAGAAAGAACATTTTAATTTAAACTTAATGCTGAAAGTTAACGCTAGAAACTACAACCGATGGATGCTTATACTCACTTGACTGGTGAGGCTGCGGCTGCAGGGGTATCCAGATTATTGACCAGAATATACATGTGATTTTTAGGGTCAATCTCAACCAGTTTTAAGCCAAACACCTGGGAAAAAAAGTGCAAATATAAATGACAGAATGACATTGAATATCAGAACTATATGGGAGCGGCTTTAACAAACCTGCTCAAATATCCGTTTTGCCCTCTTTATGATCTCAGGGTAGACGGTTCTATAGTCCTTCACAATATTTTTAACCAGTTCTAAGGAGAGAAACCAGCAGGAAGTTAACACCACACCAATCCGCTTATTAGACCGTTTAATATCTGCTCACCCTAATCCCCCATTCCCAAAACTGCAAAACCTTAAAATGCTTTCGAACTTAACATTATTTTATTACACACAAAAAGAAATACTAAATTAAAGTAATATGTAAATTATACTGCACTGAAAGATAATATTATCACTAATTTGTTTTCTTCCTCTGTCTTACAATGAGGACCAAGAAACAAATGGAATCTACAGAGGCAGAAACTCACTAAGCTCTTTGGTTTGAATGTGTACAGAAAAGAAATATACCAGTGACCACAATGATTTCTATGGTTCCTATCAAAGTTCTTTGACTAATGCTGCATTCACACCGGACGCAGCAGGCACAGCAGAAGCAGCGAGTTTACATGCAAAGTCAATGCGCATCAAGGCACAGCAAAAGGTCCCGCAGCGCATTTTGAGCAGCAGGCGCATCCCGTTTGAGCAGCTGAAGCAGCGTGTCAGGCGCGTTTAAGCATCTGACGCGCCGCAAACAGGCTGCTGCTCAAGATGGAGAAATTGAACTTTTGCCGATCAGAGAAGCTGATCTGGGAGCTGGCAGCGAAACAGACACATCGCTGATGACATAGAGCGCTGTGATCACTCCTCTGAAACAGTTTTTGACGCATAAATTAACTTAAAATGCAGAAATCTGTCGGCGGAATATGTTCGCTTTAATTATCCTGGTGCCTGCGGTTTGGATTATTTAGATGAAAAACACCTACTAGCTGCCGCGGTGAACCGCGAGGAGGCGACCGGGCCAGAGGCAGCTGTGGAATGGGATTCCTACTGACAGCGCACCGCTGGTATGTGGAGGTCTGAGCGGCTCCGACAGAAATAATATTGGAAGGCAGGATTGTAATCTAGATGAACTGACTGCATTGATTAAGGCCCCGTCCACACGAAGCCGAACCCTGGCCTAAACTCACAAATTTTTCACCAAACCAGCCTCTCATCCACACGAAGCCGGCGTTTCGGGGTCTGTAAACGATCTTTTTTTTATTCAGCCTTCAGAGGGGGAAGATTTTGAAACGCCGTTTTCGCGTTTCCATCTTTAAAGCTACAGTGTGTAATTTTCAGCGACATCTAACGTCCAGACTGCAGACTGCAGCAACATGAACATCTCCCCCCCACCGCTTCTCCCCCCCCAACAGTACGGCGAGCGTTACGGGACAAAATGTCTTCCACGACGTTGGAATCACCTACCTTCTCAAGTGATGAGGTTTGTTTACATAGATAATTTTACAGATAGTATTTAATTAGTCTGTGTAGGGTATAGATTTCATGTAGACTTTAGATAATAAATATACCCGTTATTTTTTCTACGTCGTTGTGACGTTTTGGTGAGCTGCTTTGCATGGTGATATAAACAGACGAAGTAATTGTAGTCATTAGTTTAACAGCGAGATTGTGTTCGCTGGAAGAATATATATTCCCCGTTTACAGAGTCCAAGTCTTGTTTGTGGCACGGGGGTTACAAGGCGAGGAAGAGGGAGAGGAAGAGGGCGAGGAAGAGGGAGAGGGCGAGGGCAGAGAGGCCGGGGTGGGCGTGCAGCTAGGGTCAGGCGAGGGAGGGGTGCTAGGGGGGTGACTAGAGCAGAGGAGGAAAGGCTTGAAGATCTCCAAAGGAGCCGGAGAGAAGTAACCGAGGTATATATCCAGAAAATTATTTTACAGAAAATTACTGAATCATTACCTGTGAAACGTCAGGGACGTTGCTGAATAAGTATACTTGAGAGTAACAGCATCATCACGCAGCATGTTATTATTTTAGACATGTCTGAGCATCCTGTACTCCAAAAACTGCAGTGATATTAGACAATTGTGTGTAGGATTAGTTACCTGTCCAAGAGAAAACTGGCAACTTGAGCGTCACTTTGAAAACCTTTTTCCTCCATCAGTGACTTCCATCGTGTAAATGCCGTGCCAATATTGATCCGTGTTATTTGTTGTTTCTTGTCACGCTTGCGTTTATTCTCGTCGTGTTTCCGCTTCTTAGATGACGGGGGTTCGGTGTCCGCCGCTTTTCGTTGTGATACAGAGCAGGCATGATCCTCCATTCATCTGATGTTTGGCCACACAGTGCCAAACAGTTTGCAAAGTCACTCACGCCTGCCGCCTTGTTCACCTTTCTTGTTACTGAGGCGCAGTATACCTGCTTCTTCTTCTTCTTTGGTTTCAGGCAGACTAAACGCTTCTCAGGCATAATACTGCCATCTACTGTTCAGTACCGTCTCAGTTAATCTCTCTCAACTTGCCGTAGTTACTTTCGAGCGTAATGGGAGATCTTGCAATCGCTAGTTTGTTGGCTCTGCGCTTGCCGTAGCGCAAAGATGTCTGCCTCCATGGCTGCGAGACCTGCTCCTATGTAATTATAAATAACGAATTCTAAGGCAACGCAAATATTATGGTTAAAAGGCTGAGCTCATAGGTGATGATAAATAACATAGTTATGTATAATATATTAAATTTCTGACTTTATATCCCTGTAATTATTACACACTGTAGCTTTAAGCTCTAACCGCATTTTTTTTTTACACGCATGCGTCATAGCGTCGCCTCTAAACACGCATGCGCGACACAGTATCACAACAACAATGGCGGCATACTGTGTTGAATGGTTGCTGCTCATGCTACTCACCCTGCTGTCGGACTTACAACAGAATCTTCTTCTTCTGGAATATCTCCAGGAAGAACAGAGCAATATCGACGACATAGTTCAGCACCTGAATTTGACTGAACCACAAAAATAAACCCCCAGGGCAACCATGTATAAATATTAGTGCGCATGCCCAACATTTCGTCGCCTATTTTTGCTTTGGCACCATAGCGCCACTTACCGGCCTTGCATACATTTTGCAGTGTTTTCATGCATTCGTGTGGACGATCACATTTATTTTACGTCTCCGTCTTTACGACAAACGTTCTGGAAAATATTAGCGTTTCGTGTTCGTTTTGACTTCGTGTGGTTTATAAGTTTTCAGGTGGATTTTCTCACTTAAAAACATATTAAAACTACTTTATTCCCACTGATCACAGCAAATATAGCTGCAAGGCAGAGAAAGGATAGAGTAGCTCCGCCCAACGCGCGTCAGACCCACTTTTGCACCGCGCAGCCAGAGCAGCAAAGCTGCTTCAGCCGCGCGTCAGACCTAACTGGTACAAGCAGCAAAAATGAAGCAGCAGACGCGATTTTGCTGCTCTTGCTGCGTCCGCTGTGAACGTAGCATTATTAAGCATCATTTAGGTAAATGGCCGAGAACAGAATCATAGAAGTGGTTTAACAACGGCAGCTTTATCAAAATGCAGAATAAATATTGGAACTCAGGAAGCAGAAGGAGTTCATCTTTCTGTTGCCTGGCTGCTGTGCTACTATACCTGCTCTGCGCACTGGGATCTTCTTCTGGTCTTTTACCAGGATGTACTGCACCACTTCAGCAGTCTGAATGACAGTTAAATAAAGTATATTAACATTTTTATTCTAACTAATTTTTTCTTTTTAAAACATTCTTTTTTTTCTCCCCATCAGTTTTGATTCATTAAGCAACAGCGCTTTTGAAGCTACCATGAAGAAACTTTGACTTTTTTTTTTATTTATTTCAGAATTTAACAATAAAGTTTACACAGAAATTAATGTCTTAAGTCATTTATATATATTCTGTTTTTTGTATATGTATTTTTAACCCGAAATCAACCTTTTTTTATTACAGTACAAAAAAATAATTTGCAGAGTAGGAAGGACATTAGGATGATATCTGTTTTAAGTGATACATGTTGATGTAGTTCTCTCTTTCTTTTGGTCTAATTTTTCTGTCAAATTAGAAATTAACGAAGGGTAATAATGCTTGTTTATACAGTTTTGGCTCGATTCTTGCTCTTAGTGAGTGGCTCTGTCAGAAAATTGCATATGATAGAGTTGGTATACTACAGTTAACTAATATATTGCTAAATTAGTTGATTATTTCAATAATCACAATTAATCAAACTATCTTTTCAACCCTGATTAATATTTAACTTTTCTGTGTTGTCCTGGTGGTCCTACCACTTTCAAACAATATAGATATGATCAGGTTAAGACACTAAGGGCAGTTAGAGCCCATCCAACTGGCCAACTACATTATAAAAGTACAGTGTTAATAACTGACACTTTAAATATTACATTCCAACACATACAGTTTTCATTCAAGCAGTATTTTTGTTCCTGTGATACTGCAAAGAAAGAAACTATAATTTGATATGCAGCTCTTCATCCAGCAGTGCTTAATAAAAGGTATTATTTGAAATTATAATATTCTTGGAGATAAAATTTGATATTTTTTCACAAATGCTACATACAATTCTGGTTCATAAGTGTGTTACCTTTTGGTCAACCTGCGCAGGTGTAAGTTTCTCCAGACCTCTTTGGACCTGGGAGGAGCTTGGCTGTGTAAACGTCACATCTTCGTCTTCCTCCTGCGTCATAACGCTGTTGGACTGCCGCTAGATAAAAAAATTAATAAATAAAAAAAAAACACAAAGTGACTGTCACAATCCCGTAGAAACGGTCACAGGTTAATGCCAACAGAACAATTTATTGCTGATGAAGGTTCTCAGTCATCCAGGTCATAGTCATTCCGTAAAAATTCAAAAAATATCCACTGGACTTGGTTTTCAAGATTTGAAGACGTTTCGCCACCTCTCCAGGAAGCTTTCTCAATTCAAATGTCTGGATCCGCAGTGAGTTTGAGTCTTATATAGACAACGCCTTGTATCGCTTGGAAACATGCAATAGAAACCGATGAATGGGTCGTTAGTTCCATCGTTAGCCTGTAATATCTGAAACTGTCTATGATTCTAGGGGTCGGTCGTTAAAGGGGGGATTGTCATTAAGGGGGGGATTGTCTCCTGTAATACCTGAAACCTGTCTATGATTGTTAAGGGTTGGTCGTTAAGGAGGTATTGTTCAATAGACATGATCCCTTCCAGATATCACCAAACCCCCCACCCCATCACAGAGGAACGAGGGACTTACCCGCTCCAGCCGGTGAACAATACCTCCTTAACGACCAACCCTTAACAATCATAGACAGGTTTCAGGTATTACAGGAGACAATCCCCCCCTTAATGACAATCCCCCCTTTAACGACCGACCCCTAGAATCATAGACAGTTTCAGATATTACAGGCTAACGATGGAACTAACGACCCATTCATCGGTTTCTATTGCATGTTTCCAAGCGATACAAGGCGTTGTCTATATAAGACTCAAACTCACTGCGGATCCAGACATTTGAATTGAGAAAGCTTCCTGGAGAGGTGGCGAAACGTCTTCAAATCTTGAAAACCAAGTCCAGTGGATATTTTTTGAATTTTTACGGAAGAACAATTTATTCCATTTAGGAATATGCTATGTTTGCCAAGTTATAACTGTCTAATTTTCAGTTCAAGCTCTATCAGCAGAGTCTGGTTAATAAATTCACAGAAAGAGCCAATAGTATCATAACATTTAAAAATTTAAAAAAAATTATGTACATACAATCATAACCACACAAACACAAAAATAATAGGATTTTCATGGCAATAACATATGGATCTGCCTGCTAGATTTCTTGATGAACACAGATTGATCAAAATGCTGAGATTATTTTTATTTACTTTAATATAGCAGTGATGATTCAACTTCATGGGACAAATATCTTCAGAATGAGACAAAACACCACATTGTAAAGTGTATACGTTTCTAAAAGCTGGACACATTGGGATTATTAACTTGCATCTAAAAAAAAAACATTTCTTATTTAAATTTAGACATTGTCAGGCCTAAATTTCTAGAATGTCTTTTTTATATAAAATTGCATACATCTGACTATATAAAATTAAATTATTTGAGATTTATCACCTGTATATTTTATTTTGCACACGTTTGAATAAGTAGTGTGATAATTATTTAAGTTTTTATGATCTGGCGAAACTTACATCAGTTTTAGAGTACAACTCAGTTACAATTCTCGAGTTTGAGTAAGATTATATGAAATGTTTTTGTTTTTTATATTTAATCATAGTTTATGATCAGGATTTTTTTGTATCTAAATAATTATAAGAGATGTTTTTAATGTTTTTTAATGATTGAGTATTTTAGTGTGGATTATATCATTAAGCTTAAACCCCAAAATGGTCATTGATTTAGACAAAAAAAAAAATATTCCTTGTGTGGAAAAATAAAGTATATCATTTAGATATCAACAAAGGTTAAAAGTGTTATATTCTTTAAACAAATAAAATCTTTCCTTTTTAAATCATCAAAAAATTTACCAATAAAAGTCAAACACTTATATAAACATATGTACATTTGAAAATATATTAAATCAAATTTTAATATTGTCCGATACAGTTTATAATCCTGCGTATATAGAGTTCAGTTTAAGAATTATTATAACAGCGCCCAGCAAGGCAAAGCAATACGAATCAACAAAATTGACGGGATAAGAGTTCAGTGCAGCTTAATGGAGAACAAAAAGATCAGCAGGGGAGTCATTGGAGGAGTTCCTCTAAAAATTTCTGAAAAAGAGATTCTGGAAAACATAAGCGGTGCAAAAGTAAAAGAAGTAAAATGGTTAAAAACAACAAGAAACGGAGAAAGATCTGACAGTTTATCAGTATTAATTAAATTTGAAGAAGAGCAATTACCAAGCAAAGTATTCATCGGTTACATCAGCTATAATGTTAAAATCTACAATCCTCCACCACTGAGATGTTTCAAATGCCAAAAATTCGGTCACATTGCAGCAGTTTGTAAAGGGAAACAGAGGTGTGGAAGGTGTGCAGGAGAACACGAATATGGTAAATGTGGAAAAGAAGCTAAAATAAAATGCTGTAATTGTGGTGGAGAACATACTGCTGCTTATCGCGGTTGTGAAGCAAGCAAAAGGTCTGAGGAAATAAAAAAAAATGAAATTTGAGCTCGGAATAACCTATGCTGAAGCTGCAAAAAGGTTCCCATCTCAGTCAGAAAAACCCAAACCTACAGTTCAACACACGGCAAATTTCAGACCTCTAGAGAAATCTCCAAAAATTGATGAAGACTCACTAATTGTTAAAAAGACAAATTTTGTTCTTTTCATGGTGGAAGTGATTAATTGTACTGCACAGACAACAACAAAAACTGAAAAAATCAAAATAATAGTGAAGGCTGCAGAAAAATATCTGGACATTAAAGATTTGAACTGGGAAATGGTTGGAAGCATAATGGGAGGACCGATGGGACCATCAGAAACTGGCAAAGTTACGATGACCTAGAGTTAAATTAAAATTATATGGGCAAATGTGATTTAGTATTATGTTGGTTTAAGTTACACAGGTTTTTTTTTTTTTATTTGGGGTGAATCGTTTCCTGTTTTCTTGCTTTACTCCATATCAGTTGGTGGCGGTAATGCACATTTCACAAGTTTGCCAACCGCCATAAAATCTCATAAGAAGAAGAAGAATTATTATAACAAACCCGCTGCCTCTGACCTGGGAAACATGGCGGCGGAACAAACCTGCTCGAACAACCCTGTTGGTTCATTGCACTTACTTTACTTTGACTGAGCCTCAGCGTGTTAGAGGGTCGTTTTCTTTGAGTCATGGCTGTAGAGCGTCTGGGGGAAAAAAGCATCTTATTTTAAAATTTAAGCCACAATTCAAACCAGAACCGAAACAGTAGGAAGTGATGGAAGGTGGCTTTAGCTGAGCAGCGCGTTGGCTTATTAAACGACGAAAAAAATCATTTATAAACAGCTTTTTACCTCACAGAGTGCGTCTAGAGTTAGGTTGCTCAATAGTTGTTTATAAAAATAGGCTAAACTATTTCACTCATTCGCTAAAACGACCGTTTCAGTAAAAAAATATAAAAAAAAACTGTTTTTGGATCGGCTGTTTCAGTTGTCGACTTCCCGCTACAACGTCCGCTGCTGACGTGGAATAGCCGCGCCTAGAAGGGTTGCAATACGTCAAGACCATCGCCATATTGGAAGGGTGGACATTGGCCTTAAAACATTCAAGTGACTGCAGGGGCTTCAGTTTTAGCTGAATTGAACAGATTATGTTACGTTCTCAGACAAATGGCATAATATCTAGAAACATACCTAAGTGTTCTGCTCAGGAATGTCATCAGTTGATTTATGTAAAAAAAAAAAAAAGTAAAACCCTTTATTGTCCAACAATGAGGAAATTCACTCTCTGGATTTGACCCTTCTCCTTGGGGAGCAGTGGACTGCCATTGTGTGGCGCCCGGGGAGCAGTGAGGGGTTAAGGTTCTTGCCGAGGAACACAGAGTAGAGGCTGTGGGGATCAAACTTGGTACTTGCAACCTCCTCAGAGCACAGGCGCACTGCTCTAACCAATAGGCCAACACTCCCCAGTTGGCATGAATCAATTGAATCCCATTTTCTAGGTATGCCAAAATGCTTCCTCCACCCCTTGGCCCATACTTTATCTGTGTTTTTAAACAATTTACGGATATTTTATATCTCATAACATCCCTACACTACATCTCTTATAACCTTGGAACTCTGCACACACCCTCAACTCATAAATAATGATATCTCCAAATCCAGGGTCATATTTAGATGAGCTTATTGGACCCCTTCAATTATTGGACCATAAACTAATTCATTTCAAAAGTTTGTTGGTTGTGGTATGCCGTATAAACCAGTCACATTTCTCCACACCAACCTTTATATACATGAGCCACGGGAATGATTAGAACTGTCATGTTAATTGACTATATCAATGACAATGAAAAAAAAATAAAGTTGTCATATGTGGACGCACTGTATTTACTGTATATATCCCATGCACCTTTTTCTTCCTTTCGCACGTTCTTCTTTGACTATTTAAGCAGATGTACATTTCTCCACTGTGAGATCAATAAAGTCAATCAATCAATCAGTTGCTATACCTCCACTCAGGTTATAATTAAAGAGTTGTGTGTGCACCTCATGGTTCAAAAACAGCATTTGGAAATGCTGTGGAGGACCATTTCTAAATGGAGACTGTTTTCTAAAACTGCAGTGCACAAGTGTTCCAGCAGGAGGCAGTAGGAGCTTTAGGTAGCTCCAAACTGTCGTTAAACCGAAAAAGAAGATGCCGAGAAGTAGGAAGCAGCAGGAGAAGAAGAAAAAGAAGAAGTAAAGGTTAACAAGATTGATTTTAAAGTAAGTATAAAATAAAAACATGACATGTAGGATTTAATGGTTTCTATACATAACACAGTAGAAAAAAATGTGTCAGTTTGACACGTTGTAGCAACTGAAGGTAACGTTTATACATAGTTCCTCGTGTTTACTTACAGCTACAAACAGACTTTATTTTTAATATGAATAATGAAACGTTAACTGGAATTAGAACTTCCGGTCTGAAGTTCTCTGACTTTTTTACAGAATACATGCGCAGTTTGGAAATAAATTATTTTCCAGGTTTGAATGACTACTGATTTGATTCCTTAACTCGCTGTCTAAGTTGTCCCATTCTTCATATTTCATTCATTCATTTCTTTCCTTCCTTCCCTCCAATTTTCCAACTCTCTATTCATTTATTCCCTTTGTTATATGTTTAAATAAAGAAGCTTTAAATGTGTTTAGGATCCTCTCCCTGTTGGATCTCATCAGGCTTTATTTAGTTCATTACAGATCCCTGGTAGCTTCATGTCACATCACAGCTGCCACCTCCATTCTTAACAGATCGATGTTATATTTGGAAAGACAAATACTTTTACTTTTTCAATACAATTAAGAGTATCTAATTCAGGCAAGGGCGTAGGTTTGATTTCAACTTTGGTAGGGACAATATTCTCCAGTTTCATTGGTCCTTTGCAAAAATATGCATGCTCTTTTTTATGCTTAATGTGAGCTTCAGGGCTCATTTTGTTTAAAGAGAACAGCAGCATTTCTTGCTACATTAATACAAATATTATAAGCACTACATGCTCTAGATGCTGTTTATCAATATTTAAAGCATCACTGGCTCTGATGAATGTGGAATTAGGACTTTTTCCACTTTGAAAAGGATTGCATTTAAATTTACATACTACTAAGACAGTGTCTGTTTAACCAAATATAGTCTATAATATGTGGATTTATCCTGTGTTTTCTTTTGAAGATATAGAGTTGTGCAGAGGTAAAACCCACTCTTATTTTTTTTTATCTAATATGCTCTCTCTAGATCATGCAAAATAATGCATTCAAGGGACAGCAAATAAATGTATTGTATTTACATGTGCACTGGAACTAGAAGAGGAACTGACACTGAGCATTTAAAGTATTAATATTAGAAGTTGTACATCTGGGCTGTAGTTACTCTGTGTAGCTAATTTCATGTATTTTATCTATGGCTGAAACAATCATATTAACAAATTATTTAAATAATCATGAACTAATTCAGTAATTGATTAATCGTAAACTGGAGTATAGGGCCACTAAAATGTGCCTTTAGCCGACAGAGCGACCCACTTAGAGCAGGAATTACACCAAGATTGTAAAAAAATTTGTAAACATTTAGCATTTAAGAAGTAAAAAAAAAAAAAAAAGTTTTTGTCTGTCCATATTCTCCATCCAGAACTCCTCCAAAGGAAACGTTTAAACGTTTCTGTTTCACCTGGTTTCATTTCATAAAAGATCTTCTTTGAGGAGCCTTTGGCTATCAGATTAAAAGATAAAATAAAATAAATCCTAACGTTGTTAACTTACATTTCTCAAGTTCCACAAATCAAAAAACTCTCTCCTGCTTCTTTACAGAACTCCAATCAGAAGCTTTCGCCTGTTTTAGTGTAGATAATAAGTTTTTTAATTTGGACTAGTTTCGTAGTCCAATATTAATTTATTTTAGCGTCTTTTTTTTTGCGCTCCAAGCACCCGCGCCCGCACACATACAGACTAGAAAACACGCAATCAGAAAGAGAGAAGGCGGAACTTAAGGCAGAATAATCAGAGAGTTAAACCGAGAGGAAAAGAAGCGGCTGCTGTATAGTAAATTATAAACATGTTGTTCACATCCAAATATTGGTAGGGACAAATAGGTCCGTCCAAAATTTTGGCAGGGACATGTCCCTATGGTCCCTATGCAAACCTACGCCCATGAATTCAGGTATACTTCATATTTTAGTTTGGTTTATTATTTTTATGAAGATTCACTACTAAACCCCATTTCACTTATGGTTCTAATCCACACTTAGATCAGTTAATGCTTGTCAAATATGAGAGATTATGACCCATGATATAAGAAAAATAAATAGATTACAAGCTCCTCAGCCTCTTTAGGCAGCAGTTTGGGTCATAAGGTTTCCTATCAGTCCAATGGGTGGTCAGGACCCAATCACTCCTGATCACCCATTGTTTGATTTGCGATCTTTCATAGTGTGGTGATTAGGGCTGGGTAGAAAAGATCGATTTTTGAATCGATTCCTTTACATTTTTGCAAAATCGATGTCTAGGGAATGAGATCAATTAGTACTTGACGTTTACATTCAAATGAGCAGGAAAGATGCACTCAAGATTACTTCAAGTCAGACAGCTGCAAATATAGCCAATAGGTTGAATGAAGACATTAACAAATGGGGGCTGACCAGCAAACACCCTGTAGTTGTTACAGACAACGCTACATATATGGTTTGTGCAGTGGAGATAATGCAGCTCATGCATGTCTGAGTGAGTGAGGCTTTACTTTTTCACTTTTCACAAACAAGTTTGCTCTTATGAGACAGTTTTGTTCACATCTCAAGTTTAAACTATCTGATTTACAAGTTTGCACTTTGTGTTTAATGTGACAGGAAAAAATAAAATGCATGAGAACTTTGAAACACAGTTGAACCACTTTCATTATTGCAAAAACAGATCAAATCGAAATTAATCGATTTAGAACTTTATTAATCAAAATCGAATCGATTCAGGACTTTGGTGAAAATACCCAGCCCTAGTGGTGATGTTTCCTTGTCTTGTCAGGTGACAGTGAGTGTAGGTAGAACCTCTGGAGAGTCAGGATGCCTCTGGAGGTCAAGTGGCCCTTCCCACAATGCCCCGCACTAGCATGGAGGGTCTCCAGCTCCTTTGTTATGGGAATGGTCGGCACGTATTCTTATATCTGGACCAGTAAGTTTTTAATCCCATTAATATATATATACACGTGTAAAAACAGGTATCCTTCTACAGCAACAAAGCAAATATACATTTAGTTTTTTTTTTCTATTCTTTATTTTTGTGACTCATTAGTTTTGTTTTTTTTCTTTCAGAGTACATGAATTACCTAACAGTCCACAATCAGGAGGTTCTGTTGGACCTGATTGACCACAGGCCGTCAGACACGCCCCTCATCACCTTGGCCAATCACCAGTCTTGTATGGATGATCCACATATCTGGGGTAAGACAAAGAAACGTTTAAAAAATTCCCTCTTTGTGGGTCTCAGTCAGAAGTAATCAGGATCATGGAAATAACAGTTTTTGTTTGGAGCAGGAGTTCTGAAGCTCCGGCAGCTGTGGAACTACAAAAAGATGCGCTGGTGAGTTTAACCCCGGACAGTCTTTCTCAGCCGTAAGACGTTCCTGATTTTACCTCCTGATCACAATTTAAACCTTTTCACCGGCACCTGAACAGGACGCCGGCAGCGTCGGAAATCTGCTTCACCAGAGAGCTTCACTCCAGGTTCTTCAGCCGGGGAAAGTGTGTTCCTGTCTGCAGGGGTGAGTGTGTAAAAGCTCATCATTTGTTTTGTTTTTTACCAGCTGGATGACTCACATTAGGTCTTCATCGCAGGCGATGGTGTTTATCAGAAGGGCATGGACTTTATCCTAGAGAAACTAAATAGAGGAGAATGGGTTCACATTTTCCCTGAAGGTATGTCCCTAGTTTGGCTTCTTTGTATCACCGCTGTCCCTTTTAGTGCATTCTTTGGGAACATTGCAAAATGTTTTTTCTTTTTTTTTATTCCCCATTGAACAGGAAAAATCAACATGACTGAGGAATTTATTCGACTTAAATGGGGTGAGTGGAAAAAAAAAAATATTCTCTGCCAAAACCTCTGATAAAGAGCAGAATCAAGAGAGCACCACTCAGGCAGTACATTTAGATGAAGCAGGAAAATCTGATTAATAGATATGTTACTAATGGATTCTTATTACTCCTGATCTTTATGTTTTGATTTTAAAAATCTCAGTATCATCATATTTTAAATGTAGAAAGATTAAAACTTTCTGCAAACATGCCTGCATTGCTCCAGCTTTGAGAAATAGACTGGAGGGCCTAAAATCTACCAAGATGATATTAAAACACCACCAGCAGCAACTGGCCCCAGTTTACCCTGTTTTTTTCATTTATCAGATTGAATTTGCATTCACATTGCATGTGTATAGTCATCTGATGCCTTATTTGAGCATCGTAAGCAGATAAGAGTGTTAAAAACCCAACTTAAACATCCGTTTGCATGTATAGTGTACTCTATGAAGGATTTTTAATGAATTATAAATATAGTTATAAATTAGAATTTCTAGTCATGTTAAAGGTTCATGGTCAAGCCCAACATTTCAATCAGTTTTCCAGTAGGAGGGATCCACGCTTTCATGTTGGCATCAGGTTGTAACTCGGCTAAATAAATGCTGCAGCTGAAGTCGAAACTTACACCAGACAGCTTTTTCCCCTATCTGTTATTCTATGGTTTGGGTTAGTCTGTGTCAATTATACCATCAGTTTTTTATTTTTATTTTATTTAGCTGGCAGGAGTTGCACCTGATGTGGTTGCCTGCTGCTGTAACTCATCTGCTTCATGGTCTGGTATATCTAGATAACACAACGTGATTATCTAGGAAAATCCATCATTGTTTTTTATTCCCTGTTTATCCATCTTCTACTCCATCTAAAAACTAAACACTAGACTCATACTTTAACTCTTCGGGTTGACCCGGAGCCTGGGCTTGGAATCTAAAGTGTGCGTTCTACCTTTATTTGGTGCAAAACCGTGGTCCTGTTCCTGAAAAGTTTGGATTGTCAGGTTGGTGCCTGATGCCACAGCAGTTCTTAGATTCTGCTCTCCTTTAATTAAACAAGGGAGAACCTATAAAAATGGCTCCTACTGTTCCCAATCCTACACTTTTTGTGCACCATGAAGCTGTCTGCTGAAACAACATCCCTGCTTTGTGTTTTAGGTGTGGGTCGACTAATAGCAGAGTGCTCGCTTAACCCAATCATCTTGCCACTTTGGCATGTAGGTAAGTAATGCAGGTCTGTAGTATCCCACAGGAAAAGTTAGCATTTGAAGCATCTGGTTAAGATATCGTTTTGATATTTTGCTCCATCTTGGCTACAAATCAGGAGGATTTCCATCAAATCTTATGTTTTGAATCATCCTTACCTGAATCCTACAAAGACATTTTTTTAACTTGTGGTAAAGGTATGTAGAGGGTTGCATGTGCAGACTCTAGCCATCAGATGGAGCTAAGCTGTTAATCTCTGTACTGAGCTAAAGCTGCGTGGAAGGTCCAGTAGACATCAGGGTTTAGTAGATTGGATAATCATCTTTAACTCTCAGTAGCTTCCTTATGCTTGGCTTTATTAGACTTTTAGGGGTATTTCTGTCCACCCTCCCCTCCAGCATTATTTCAGCAAAGCGCTTGAAGCATTAAAAATCTAAATGAGGCATTCAATTTTAATGAACTAAAAGCAAACTTTTTGAGGCTGTTTTTTTCAGTCAGTATTTCTGTTGTAGATTTGCTGCTGTGTTTGGGGTCGTTCTCCTCTTGGTTACTCAGTTGGGTCAAGCCTCAGTTAACAGACTAATGTTCTCACAATTGACTTCCGTAATAATTTGATTCTATGGAAGACATCATGCTCTACAATGGTCTGCAAACGACGTTTGACCCAGAGTTTGTGTTGTTTGCAAACCTCTGTGTTTGTCATATTCATCCAAGGATAAATAGTTTATAGTTCTAATCCAGCCTTTCCAATCAATCATAGGTTGTTCTCTAATTCCACTGTCAAGGAGCAATGTCTGCCCTGGGTTTAATCCTGGGAAGATTGGCAACTGTCTTCAATGCTTTTCCACTGGGTGAATATAACATTTAGAAGGAATGCAAATATTTTGAGAGGTTGAAGAAGTGTTGGGGATTTTCTTACATGATGGTGATCCGTTTAAAGAGATTCACAATTACTTTGTTGGACTTAGTCGATGGCTGTTCCTCCTCCTCAGGTTTGACTGACGTCCTGCCAAATGTGACGCCCTACATTCCTCGAACGGGGAACGTAAGACCACTGATACCTTTTTCTTTTAGATATTTTGATATTCTTTTTTTTTTAGCTTTGGTTTGCTTTGATTGCCAGTGCATTTCCATTGAGCATCAAATAATTACAAACAAAAAACCTAATTGGAAATGGGGCAATTAAAAAATCTCTTGGTTTTTATTTAAAAAATCTTTGCAATAGCGTGAGGTGATTTTTTTTTTAATGCCAAAACTGTCTCAAAAATTGTGTTTTTTATTTTGCAAAACTGTAACAAAAAACACTTTTTCCACATCACACAGTCAGGTGGCCTTCAGCTGGATTTATTACTGGCTAAAAAGATTACAGGAAGTGGTGCCTTTTTAAAATTTTTAATGCAAACACCACAGTTGTCAAATTATGGTTTATTATCTACAGTAGTAGAATACGTACAAGATTTTGTGCACATTTGTAATGTGATGTTAACGGCAGTTCTGCTTCCAGAGAATCACCATCCTGGTGGGTAAACCTTTCACTGTCAAAGAGCTGGTAGAGTCCCTCCGAGCTGAAAACAAGAGCCAGGTGAGGAGGACAAGGTCAAACTTAAAATGTACACAAGGAGCTGTTTTTGCCTTTTTAAGGGGGAATGTATTAACAGAGCCAATATCAAAAACAACTGATCAGTGGATTTAACGTGAAGTGTTAGAACTAGACATGCACCAATAGGAAAATTGTAGCAATATCACATGACCAAAGAAATACCCAAGGTCAATTCCCTCCCTCCCTGAAAAAATACAGACATGGCAACTACATGGTTTTAAACCATTTTGTATATTTCTACTCTTTTTCATGTTCCTATTATTTCCTAATGTGATTTTTTTAATGGTTTGTTTATAATGTAGTGTAATTTCTTTATGTGAGGACCCCAGGAAGATTAGTGGCCACTTATTTGGCAGCTAATGGGGATCCTAATAAAACTAAACTAAATGTTGGTTATTAATATTGGCCCAGTTTTAGTCATTAATTTAATAGCATCAATCCATCCATTTGGGGTCACGAGGAGTGACAAACAACCATTCATGCACACACTCACACCTAAGGAGAATTTAGGGAAGCCAGTTACCGGTAACCTAAAATCCTGTTTTTGGACTGTGGGAGGCAGTCGGTGTAGGGTGTAGGGCTCGGAATCCAGAGTTCAAGCCCCATTCCCACAGACTGCAACTCTGGGTCCCTGAACAAGACCCTTAAAGCTGAAGTCTGTAAGTTTTTAAAAATCACTTTTTTGTCATATTGGCTAAAACTGTCCCTATGCCCAGACAGCAGTACATGTGATATGTAACCTGTGAAAAAAACTGCTTCAATTGGTCCCGCATACTGCCTGTATTTCAATCTGGAATGAATAATTCGGGACGAGTCAAAACAACCAATCACAGCCAGAGGAGCGTCTGATGGAGTGTCAATCACAGCTCCCCCCCCCTCACCGCTTAACCTGCCGCAGCGCGCGGCTGCCGCAGTCAGGAGGACGCGCGTGGCAGTCATGGCGGAGCGACAGCCACCAGCGAAAGAGAAACTGCCCTTACTGCCCCTGCCGACAACTGCTTACACGGCAAACTTTGGTATAACCAGCATCTTATATCTAGCTGCTTGGAGGTGAGTGTTATCGCTCTTACCGGTTCACACTCCATACCGCGTACGCTGCTTGGACGCTTCTGGTCGCATGCGGTAGCTGCGCAGGTGCTGTGAGAGGGGTGGAGCTTGGAGGTGGGGCATGAGTGAAGCAGAGAGGGTGGGGGAGTGGCGTGAAACCTGTTTTTCTTCAAATTTTCAGTCAAAGTCTGCTCTCTTCTCAATGTTACAGACTGCAGCTTTAACCCCAAACTGCTCCCCAGACACCGCAAATGGCAGCCCGATGCTCCCCAAGGGGATGGGTTAAATGCCGAGAGGGATTTTTGTTGCGCTGTACGTGTGATAGAGACTGACACGGGAGTGGATTTTCACTCCTGTCCCGTCCCACTCCCACAGAAAAAAATTGTGTCCCATCCCGATCCCGGGGCAGAGTAGAAATCTAAATCCTGTCCCGTCTCACTCCTGGTGAAATTACTCCCACTCCCATTCAGAATGACTCCCGCTCCTGCACCACTCCCATTCTTGTTGTTTTTGAGCGCGGGTGAAAAACTCAGAGCGGAAGCACTGTTGGTTCTTGGGTCGTGTAGTTTTTTTGACTCGCATTATAGTGTAGGCTTCAAGGAAAAAAAACTACAAAATGGCGGCGCCAGTGATGGATTTTTTTTCTTTCTATTTTATTTTATGGCATCGATCCTAGTTTTTTTTAGTTACTATTGGTTTGCTCCCGCTAATGTTTAATCCTGTACCGTCCCAATCACGTGATCGTTACTAATACTGACTCCCATCCCACGGGAATCCCGTGACCCGTTGGATTCCCGAAAAAATGTCAGTCTCTAACGTGTGACAATGTAATGACAACAAAAACACTGGAAAAAAGTTAAAACGAGTCCCGTATTTGACAGGATATTTATAAAGTTGAAATTAATATGCGGTTATCATTGGAAATAGTCTTTAGCAATCTATATTAGCCATTAGCATTGCTAGCTGTACTAGAATGGAGGGGCCCTTATTGTGGGACATAGATGCATTCCATGCTGCACTCTAGCCTTCCTGTTAAATGCGTAAAGTTTTGCTCTCTCTTACAGCTGCAATGAGCCACAGATATTGTCCATTTTAAATTACTTCTGATCATAATAATACCTTCTACTTTTACTGAACTTTTCTTTTAGATGGAAATGAGAAAGACGTTGACCGATTTCATTCAGGAGGAGTTCAGGAACCTGAAAGCCCAGGCTGAGGTTCTTCACAGACAGATAGAGACCAGATCCTGAGATCCAGTTTACCTGCAAACACCGAGCGGCCCTTAACCTGCATCAGAGGGTAAAACCTTCAATACAGGATGAGTTTGGACACCTGAACTTTTACTTCGGATGAGCTCCGTGACACGCTGGATTTTGTGTTAAAATGTGAAAAGAACACCTTTCTTGAATGAGTGTTTTCTGTACGTTTTATTATACATAAACCCAACTGTTTAAGAAAAAATGTTTTAAAGTAATTTAGCAAATGTAATTGTTATGATGACTGAATATTTTGGGTGAATGTTGGATCCAGACATTGTTTCTGCAGCAGATTATGAATTATTTGTTCTTTTTATTTTCAGCACTTACCTCTTTATGAACCGGTGGTTCCCAGCTCAAACCTAACCTGTGCCTCTGAGACATTTTTACATTTCTTTGTCATCAGATTTTTTTTTCTAATAATTGATTTTAAACCATTTCAGTCTTGATTTAGCTGTCAGTATTTAGACATGATTGGAACATATTAAACTCTGCAGGTTTTAAAACTTTGAGGGAGTCAAACAACTGATGTCAGACTAATGGAACCAGTTCATTACAGACCTTTATAAAGACGATGATTCAATCTTATTTTATCCTGCTTAATTCATTTATGTTTGTTTGGATGATAAAGTTGGAGAACTTTACATTAAGCTGCTCTTTAAGACACCAATAGGTATTTGAAGCATCCATGAAGCGAGGACAGCGTCCTGCTTTACCAGCGTGCCAAAGCATCACTTATTACTATTCAAGGCGTGTTATTTATATTTACCAATATAATTTAGATTTTCTGCTAAATTCTCTTCCCTCTTCCCAATAAAAAAATAATAAAACACTGCAACATGAGTAGTTTGACCAGGAGTAAAGTGTTATGAATTTGAATTGATGGTTCAGACATTCAGTTTACACCAAAAGTTGTACTTTGTCTTTAAGGTTTTTCCCTTTATATGCTTCTAACCGTTTTTAAACGTCTGAATTTACTACAACTTTTTATTTTTATTTTAATGCAGCAGTTTCAGTTTAGAGTGGGATAATATATGCTTTTGCATTCATGTGTTAGTTTTATGTTGATTTAATCTCATGTAAATGTATACGTCAAAGCATCTTTTTATTTTAAGTTAATTCCTTGCCTAACCTACCACTTATAAAATATATGTTTTCTGTCAAATCACAACCAATCTAAACACATTAAACTGTATTTCTCTTTTCTTTTTTATATCGCGACCTGAATTTTTCAGTGAAAGCTCATAAACCAGGATCTCTTTTACCTGCTTTTGATCCACGTAAAGCACAGCAGAGAATGCAACTTAAAATGCAACATTAAGGGAATGGTTGTTCCACTTATGGGTTAAGGAATTATGTTTCGTTTGGTTTGCTGTTTTTACACAGTGATCGATACTTTTCTCGTCTGTGTTTCTGTCTGAATGCAGATATCTATTTAACTCCATGTTGCTGCAGTCATCACTATCACAGCTCTGGTGTTCTTGCCTTTACAGCCTGACAACTGAACACCAAGCACTGATCCGTGACATTCTTTTTGGTGTTTTATAAACATTATATAAAGTTTAAGGATAATAATGCCAATATGGAAAATGTTGGATATTCTTTAAATCTATCAACTTTTTAAAATCTGCCGTAGCTTTGATGCGGAATTTGTATGACTTCTCTGGCTTCTCATAAGGGAAAGAAAAACATTCATTTGCCTTCACTGTCACCTTTCTGCCATTGCCACTCCTTCCAGCTGTATGCTTTGAATAAAGCACCTGGCTTCTTAAGCTGTAATTGTCATTTCTCCTTTATACTTTATGTCAGTGATTCCCAACAGAGGGGAACTCGTACCCCTAGTGGTCTATAAGTGCATTGCAATCAGAATCAGATTTATTGCCAAGAAGGCTTGCACTTATTGGTGTTTTTTTTGTTGTTTTTTTTTTTTATGTATGGCAACCTCAATTGTTTTTTTTGTACATGACTAAAGAGATACAGGCCAGTTGAGGCATTTTAAAGTCTATTTTCCTGTAAAAAAAAACTAAAGGGATAAACATAAATCTGATGTCTTGCACATGCGTGTTGACTATGTGTATTGTTAGGTTCAAAAATGTAGATAAAAGAAGGACTGAATACACAGAGAGGGATTTTCAACAACAGCTTCCTGCAGGAGGGGAGAAAGAGCCAAATCCAACACTCTCTCTCCCCAACCCACCTCCTTGCAATGCCTTATTTATTAACAGAACATAACACATGGTTACAAAAGAGAGTATTGTTCTGACAGGACAGTTATGTATGCTGATCTGACAGAACACCGGCTTCCTCCCACAGTCCTAAAAGCATTAGTGTTACGTTAAAAGGTGTGTCTAAAAGGAAAAAAATAAAAAAGAAATCATAAACCTACATTAGAGTAGGTGATACATTGACATATCTTATGTTTGCAGGTGATACTAATTTCATAAATGGATTGTAACTGTAGAAAAAGAACTGATGAAGTTAAACAAGGGTTTGTGTTAAATAAGCCATCGTTAAATGAAAGCAAATCCAAACTGATGATGTTTGGAGGTAAAAGGACCAATAAAGAGGTTTGAAGGAAAGGATACCAGAGAAAGGTAACCTTGTTGCACCAAACAAAAGGCATACGTTCAAACTTGGTTGAAGCCAAATGGTATGATGAAAGCAGTCTTTTCCATACCAACTTGATCCACCTCCATCTGCCAATATCCTCTTGCAAGGTCTGGGGTAGAATACCAGGAGGTGTCCTAGATCCTTATATAGACTGGGTGGGAGAGGCCGATAACGACCACGGCTGGGGGGTGCAGACCCCGTTGGTATCTGATGCTTGATAATCCCCGTGCACCCAAAATCCTTATCATCCTCAAATCCTCATCATAGCAAACATACTTGTTCACCTATGGAGGAGCAGTTAATTCCGTCTGTTGACCTGGAATCTGCCCCTCTCCCTGCAAGGATGTAACAGGATGCCCTTCCGCTGGTCCAGCTGTTTCTGTAGCCGGAACACACTGTACATCAACCTCCATGACGTCGGGCAAAACACCAAATTCTTGTTTCTCGTATATATCAGCGCACACTACATAGTAAAGACACTCTCCCATAGTAAAGATTTGAAAGTGTGCGTCCTATATTCCATTCTCCATGGTCACTCAGAGGTTCCCCCATCACGGTATAAGTCGGTCCACCTGCACCATCAGGCACCTGCATCCAGAGGACCACTTCAGACTGGCAGGGGGGGAATTACAAATTTACTATTAGGCAATACTAGGCAGTTGCCTAAGATCCCAAGTTCCTGGAGGCCCAATAAAACTACAGAGAAAGTTGAAACAGAAACTGTCTTAGTGGAGTTTGAAATAAAAGAACTGCTGAAGGTTTTCTTTGGTTTGATGAGATTTGGTTTCAGGGATTTCATGCCTAAACCAGTAAGATGTTTCAATCTTCAGGAATTTGGTCATGTGGCAAAAATGTGTAAAGGAAAAAATTAGATGTGCCTGATGTTTCATGAATATGGAAAAATGTGGAGTAAAGTGCTGTAGTGGTGGAGTAGACTGTTGTAACATATGCAGAAGCAGGTAAAATGGTGGAGAAAAACAGATAATTCAATAGGTTATGGAAATGTTTGAAAGGCAAACAGAAGAGGGGAAAAAATGGTGACTTTTATTGCAGGAGTAATAAATGCAACCTTAGATGTGAAATCAAAGACGGAAAGGATTCAGATTATTGTTCAGGCAGCATATCATGATTAGGATTTGAAGAATATTCGATGGAAAGATATAAGGGGAGAATAATGTAGTCAAGCAATTCAAAAAGGATAATTTCAGTCTTACAATAGAATGCAAGGAGTCTTTTGTCAAATGGTCAAGACTTTAAACAGTGCTTTTATTTGTTTAAGCTGCCAGTGGTTGCCACTATTATTCCACTCTTTATTTTCATTAGTGTAGTCTTTGTTCACTTTACAATAAAAAAAAAATCTAAACAGTAGTGAAAAGTTCGGTATTCATTCTTTTCCTGCTTTGTGTGCCAACAGTCATGGCTGCTAAGTGACAAAGTGCAGGCAAAGATGGTTGGACCTGTTTGAATCCGCAGCCAAAACTATTCCAGTCTTATTTTCATGGACTTTGAAGGATCCAGTCCAGATAGACCGGGTCCTTGGACGATGCAGCCTTTAAAATCAAACATACTCTATATGCGTAGACGCCTCATTGGACGCTGTCGGAAGCGAGGGCGACGTGCCTAGAAGGCAGCCATCTTGAATCAGACCAAAGTTCAGACAGCTGCTGTGAGAATACATAGGAGGCTCCTTTAATCACATGAAAGAGGAGTCAAAGATAATATTACAATAATCTCTTACATGTCACAACCCCTTAAAAAAACAACATTTTATTATGAACAAGATAAATATTTTACAAATTTCATAGCTAAAATATGGAAAAATAAAATGAAATGACAACAAAAAGAAATGACTCCCAGCTTGAGCGGCTTGTTTCCTGTTTGTTTCAGACTATATGGGTCCAGTCCAGCAGCTTCAACAGCAGCCGGTTCTTCAGCGTCCGCAGCCTGCTGCCGTAGTTCTGCTGCAGCACGGAGGCCATCCTGCAGCGCAGCGCCTGCAGGCGCGGCAGGGAGCCGCAGTCCGGCACGTTCAGCATCGTGTGGAAGAAGTCCAGCCACAGGTCGCTGTGGGGGTTCCTGCAGGGAGGAGAAGATCTCAACAGGCTGTAGGTGAGGAACAAAGGCCAGACCCGGAGGTTCCATGACCTACCTTCTAAAGACGGCATTGGTCTTCCACACGCCGCCGTGGTTGCTGACCTGCATGTAGCTCCCAAACAGCATGTAGTAGACCGTCCCTGCCACCCCAAAGTAATCCGCCTGGAAACATGGAGGCACAGAGGAGCCAGCTGAGACCTGCAGCTTTCATACCTGCTGCTAGTTCTGGTTGCTTTCCAACCAACAACAGGAACAATAAGCCGCTTTGGCTTCCCCCTCATCTGATCGCCATGGTGATGACCAGAAGGGGCCGGTTACCTGGTAGGTCCACGGTTTCCTGCTGAGCATCTCGGTGCCCTGGAGGCCTGAGGTCAGACATCGTGCGGTGAACGCCGTGCCTTCTGGTAAGAGCTGCATGTCGATGCTCTTGCTGAGGTCGATGAGGACGAGGCCGTGGTCCACGCTGTCCGCATTGAAGCCGCTGTCGTCCAGGAACCTTAAGGGACAGAAAAACCATGTTCATCCCGTTAAAGACGGAACCTAGAACAGCCCAGTGGAACTTGCGGCGCCCAACCTCTTTCCCAGCATCAAGTTGTCAGGCTTGATGTTGGCTTGGATGATGCCCACGCTGTGCAGCTGCTCCACCATGTGTAGGATGCAGACGCTGAAGTACAGGACCAGGGGCTGAGGCATAACCTTCTCGCTCATGGTTCTGTAGATGTTCACAGCGTTCTGGAAGGAGCAAGCAGAGGCGGTTAGGACCAGCAGCAGCCGCCACCATGGAACAGATCGGCGAACTCGACAGACGGACCAGCAGGGTGCCGTACTTGTGCAGCTCCCCCAGCATGACGCTCCCGTCCTGGAAGAGGTGTGCAGAGTGGATCCTGCTGAACAGGTGGCGGACGGCGGGCTGCAGTCGAGCATCCAGGCAGGTGTTGATGTAAAACTCCCAGGGATTGGCTGGTTTCTGGACCTGCAGGCAGAACCACATGTCAGCAGAGGGAATCTGTGCTGTTGGTTTCTGGAACTGGAACACGGTCCGGATTCATGGATTGAGGAATATACTTTCTGCGGCTCTGTTGATAAATAGAAAGTCTAATATACTCCTAGTTAGCGTGCTACCTGGAGAAGCTTTATGATGGAATGACCTTCATGGCAGAGGTGTCAAGTAACAAAGTAACTTTGTTACTGTACTTAAGTACACTTTTTAGGTATCTATACTTTACTCCATTGCTTATTTATCTTCCTACTTCTGATTTCTACTCATTACATTTTCACACAAGTATCTGTACCGTACTTTCTATTCCTTAAATTTTAAAAACAAATGTTAATCGTTACTCTTGGCTTCAGTTTAATGTTTATAAATATTTATTTCACTGCATGTGCGCCATCCAATGCAGATCATTGGCGCCATCCACATATTCAATCTGCAAATGCAAATTGTCTATGCCATGCTACAATGTTGGATTCAGAAAAAGATGTTGAAATGTCTGAAAGGTCGGACACAGCCAAGAACATATTCAACTCAGCTGGGAAAACAAATAGTAAATAAAGATGGATTACTTTTTAAATTCAGCTGATCTTTTATAAGAAAAAAAGATTCTCTTGATGGGAAATTCTTGTCATCAATTAATCAATAAAAAACTGGATCAGCTTCATACTGATTCCTTCCTCTATATCTAGCAGCTCTAGCACGTTGTCGTGTTTCTCTGAAACGCCTCTGAAGCTGCAGGCTTTTCTGATCCGGATAACAGACCCAGTGGCCCGGAGCAGCCGGTTTTGGTTTCTCATGTTTCCCACTTGCTGAACTTGTTTCCACCTTACCTTTAACACCATCATCTCAGCGGTCCGGGGATCCGTCGCTAGGTAAACCGTGGTGGAGGCTCCCTTCTCGATAATGCAGTCCACCCTGAGGGACGAGTTCCCTGCAGGGACAGAAGACCCGGTAGAACCCTGTGAGTAACCAAGATGATCTAGAACATTTGGTTCTGCTAGACCTGCTGCTGAGGGTGGCGGCCTGGTGCAGCAGATCTGCAGGCTTCCTACACCGAGTGCTCTGCTCCAACCAGGCCGCC